GGGCTAGGGCTCTGGGCCAGGGATTTAAGTTTGGGGCTAAAGCTACCGTAACTTGAACCGTGACCTAACCGTGAGCTTTTTGTTGAATGATTTACTACGCCAACATACGTGTATATCGCGAAATATAACGTAATAACTTTATTGTATATATTTTTAACAACAATATTACTCGTGAACAATTAATCTTGTTATTGTAAACTACTTTTTTTGCTACTTTTTACAGCGTTTTTAATTTGTATTTATTTCATCTCTGCCACTAATTACATTCGGTCGAAAACGCAACAATTTTAGTGTAAAACAAGCAAAAAGTAACTACAAAAACATTTTTTTTCAAAGAAAGTTTAATTAAAAATCAAACAAAGTGCAAAGAATAAAAATGCTAATAAGCTGAGGTTGTAGCATACTCACTGAAAACGGTATATTAAATTAAAATAATAGTAACAGAATGAGAATTGAAAGTTTTTTAATTCACGTTTATGATATAGATATGAGCACAATTAGACCTGTAAATTGACCGGGCCGAGCCTATTTTTTCTGCCAGGTCTCTTCAAAACGTGCTTTTGTCTGGGACTGAAACTATGCTTTTGGGCTTCGATTTGGGCTTTAGATTTCGTGGTGGTCTAACTCGATTTACAGAAGACTTGCAGCCAGGCCGTGCCTAGTGAACTCTGTCTAGCCTTAACATAAATTTAAACGTGAGGTAAAGTTAATGTTTATTTTTTCATTTCGGGACCTAAACTAGGCTCTAGGGCTTTGGTTTGGGTCACGGCCTTTGTATTTACAGTACTCTCTCTATATAAGCAACCCGAAGGAACCGACATTTTGTGTTTATTATAGGGGGTGTTGTCTTTACAGAGAGACTTTTTAGTGCAAATTGACTTGGCGTGCCCAAATTTCTTGTTTACTATAAGGAGAGTTGCTCATACAGATGGTTCACTATATAGAGAGACTACTGTACATGCGCCGGGTTGGCTTTTTCCAACTTTGCTTTGCCCAAGCCGAGTCTAGTGTCTGAGGAGTCTAAACCAAAAACCCCAGAAGTCCAGCTTAGATTTTAGATCTGACTTGTCGCGGCCTTAAAATTCGTTGCAGTTTAGCCCCTAGATGGAAAAGAGAAAGAGTATTATGTTTCTTTAAGATAAGGAAAGATAAGTTAAAGGCTCACTATCCTTGACAAAAATAATTGAAGTCTACTGAGTAACAAGGTTTCCTTTTATGTTCTTTTGCATTACTTTCGTCGCTATTTATAAATGTTGTACTTTAGCAACCATACGGTATTATCATGTTATCAAATTAGCCAAAGCTATCTCTTTAAGAAAACGAGCTGATGACAAGACAAAAATCACTTTGTTACACTGTAGTTTTTGCGTGTTTTTGCCACTTTTTATACGATATCATCAAAGTTAATATCGCCTTTACAAATGAAACATTTTCATTAATTTCGGAATTGACAGTTTTGGCGTTTTCTTTCTTTTGTCGGTCTTTTTTGTAATTGCAAAACACTCTTGGGCAGGGTTTTCTGTATGATGATAATGTACTTGGTTCTTATCTTATTTTCACGTTTTCATTCTTTGTTTTTGGGAGTTACTGTCAGAAATGGGAAAATAGGGTGATTGGGAGAGGGAAGCCCAAATGGCTACAATATGCAATTGTAAATCATTAAAGTGTCAGAGAAAGGACAAAGAGTAGTTTTGGCAAACGATCTTGTGATAGGCTTTTTATAAGAAAAATAAAGTGAAAGAAAGCCCTAGCCCAGAGTCTTAGCGCTAGCCCGGAGCTTTAGCCCAGAGCCCTAGCCTAGAGCCTTAGCCCAGAGTCCTAGCCCAGAGCCCTAGCCCAGAGCCCTAGCCCGGAACCCTAGCCCAGAACCCTAGCCCAGACCCTAGCCCAGAGCCCTAGCCCAGAGCCCTAGTCCAAAGCTTTAGCTCAGAGCCCTAGTCTTAACTTTTGCTCTGCCGTAAACCAATTCCTAGTTTTGGCCCAAGTCTTTGCGTTTTTCGTAGCTTTAGCTCTTGTTATGGCTCTAGTTTTAGCTTTAGCTACAAAACAGGCTCAGTCTAGGCTTAAGTTATAATATTTTTGTGGCTTTAATTTATCATTATCTTTGTCCTAGCTTATTTCAAGCCGGATGATATACTTTTTTTTGACTATAAGACGTTTTTTATTACTTGAGCCACCTTTACCATCATACAATTTACTGTTTGTAACTTCTTCAGCTACTGTAACACCCAATTATCACTTCTGTTGCTAACCTTCAAAAACACTGTCTATTTACAGTTGTGTCGATCAATTTTATCTGTTTACAATTATCAATTTTGATACATTCGTTGACAGATGGACTGTAATTTTTGCGTTTTAATTGTACCATTCCACAACAAAACCAGTCTTTGCATTTGTGGCTTCTAGTTATATTTTAGGTCGTTTTTGTTGAGTTTTTGAGAGTTTTGAGGGTGGAGTAATATTATGGTTAGTATTGAGCTGAGCATTTTTAACTGTGAGTAGGTTCACATATAAAAAGCCTTTTTGAGGGTAGGGGATAATAAACCGACTAACAAGAATGGCATTGCCATAAAACGTGCTCAAAACGTGGCATTTTAAAAGTATCTACTTTAACTGCAAAAAAAAGTATGTTTAGAAATAGTACTACAATATTTTATTACACCAATATTTTACTTGGAAGCACCGTAAGAAAAGGCTGTAAAATGTAACAGGACATGCGTGTCTTACATTTCATGTCTGTCTTTTTATGATTTTTGATAAAAAAACAATCGAAAATTAAAATTTTTGAAATTTTAAAGTCAATCACCCGAGGCAAGCACTTTAATGATTAGTGTTTTCTTAGCCATAAGACATTGTTTTATTAGTTTTGCTTGGCTATATCACATCGTAAAATCCATTTTTGTAGCTTACTTGATACTGTAACACACAATTATCGCTTCTGTTGCTAAATTTTGTAAAATACGGTTTGTGTTTAATAGTTTCTAAAAATCGATAACGTAATGCCACAAATTTTCGAAAAATCATTTTTTCAAAAATTTTTTAGAAATTTAACTTAAAATTCATTATAAAATAGTATGTTCGTTAAATTTTACAGCGTTTTGATTGTAAGACATATTACGAGCAAAAGAATGACACTAATGGGCATGAATAGTCGTTGACCTTTCGCTACGTTTCTAATTCGATTTTAAAAAGGCAACAGTTTATGCTAATGTTAGTAAAGTGGTATAGTCTTTTTGCTATTTTGGAGTGGTATTTTTAGTTTTGTGTAAAATCGTCTTAAAACTATTGCGTCAGGGAGTGAATAAAAACGTCTTGTCGTTTTTTAATGTGAATTTTCGTTATTTATTTAAAAAACGTCAAAACTTTTTTTTGATGAAACAAAACTTCTTGGAGATAAAAAGTTTGTTAAAATAGTTCTGTGCCTCCTAGACCTAAAAATTTGATGTAAGAGTGGCTCAGAATTAGTTGAACAAAACGTAATAGTTTAGTGATGGAATTTTTAGACTTGTGTAATTTTTTAAAAATTGTTTAGGGAGGGGTAAAATGTTTTAGCGTTTTTTAATGTGGACGTATAAGTTTAAAAACGACAAAACTTTTTTTCATTATATTCATTTGTTCAAATAATACTGGGCTCTGTAAACTTAAAAATTTGCTTTGAGAGAGGGCTCATAATAATTTGAACAATCTAATACTAAAGACAAGTTTTAAATCTTATTACGTAGGTGTATAGCTGGTGTTTTCAGACATTGAAGGCAACAGGGGAGAAGAGAAGGGCATTGTAAATATTTTTCTTTCAAAATTTTAAAGTTTTCGGATTTTTTTGTCTCATAAACACATGATAACTTTGCAAAAAATTTTTTTTTTGTTAATATCAGTCACATTGTTTATTGTTAATTAGCTCCGGAAACGCAATATTTCTTTAGCAAGTAGAGTTCTCGATTGTAAGCATTTTTATCATATTTTTAAACTTTTAAATCTTCACAATAGTTTAATATTATAGATAACCTTTGAGATGTTATTTGCAGTGCACGTGTTGAGGGTTTGTTTGAAAGGGTGTAGCAGTAGTAGGAAGAGGGTATGTTAATATACTACGGTATAAACGGGGAAAGCAAAATAGGTTATCGTAGGTTATAGAAAGGTAACTTATGGTATAGTACGGTAAGGTGAAGTACAGTAAAGAAAGGTAAAGCATGGTACATCAAGGTGAAGCAAGGAAGGTTACAGTAAAGTCAATCATGACCATATGGTAGAGTATAGTAGGGAAAAGACAAAACAAGCTAAATTATGGTAGGGTAGGGTTAAAGCAAGGCAAGGCAAAGCAAGGCAGGCAAGGAAAGGCAAAATCAAAGGCAAAGGCAAAGGCAAGGCTTTGGCTGAATAATTTTTGCATTTTTAGCTTAATTCCGACATTTTTTGCATAAATTTGTAAACTTTAACTTGTAGCTCTCTCGCAACAACAAAACATCTTTAAGAAACATTTCAAAAATAAAAAAAACCAAAGAGATTTCTTTGAAAATGCAAAAAACTGATATTTATTTGCCTGCCGCCAAACACAACGATCGTTCTCTTCGTGAATGTTTTTCCACCGTTCCGTTAATGTTTCATTTCGGAACGGCCGTTCGTCCCATTCCCCTTCCCAATGTGCTGCAGGTGAAATTAATGCCCTCGAGCGGGGTTTTGACTCATAACAGAGAGCCGTTTTCTGATATTAGTCTAAGGGAAGTGTGCGGGAAATCATCATCATGACTAAGTTTTTAGATTTTTGGAAAAGTTTTGGAGTTTTGAGACAAATTTGTAGGAACTTTTATGGATTTTTGGCACTGTATTTAAGTTTGACAGCTAATGTTAAAGGAGGGGCAAAATGAAGATGGCGAAGGTTAATAGCCTTTCATCGTGATTACGTATACGAATTTTTAAACGCATTTTTTTCTTTTTATATATTTATTATTTTATCACTTATAAATTAAAAATTATATTATGAATTTTTTCTTTTTTAGCCCATGGAGATGCTAACAAGCTTGGGCGAGCGATACTGTTTAGTATGTGGTGACAGTGGTGCTGAGAATCATTATGGTAGTGTTTGTTGCAAGTAAGTTTTTTAGTAATGCTTTTCCTCAAAATGAAAGGTAAAAATTTTATTTCATTATTTAAATAGTATGAGAAGGGCAAGGGCTAGCACTCTAGACATTGGATTTGGTAAGGCTAGTCTTGAGGGTCGGCTGTGAGGCTAAGAAGCTTTGGCTTACATTAGCTGGAAATGAATTTTTATACATATATATTATAGTATAATACCAGCTTGACTGTCAAGCCGTGTTTATAGAATTTTCGTAAAAGTAAATAAAGTATAGTTTAACTAGCTTAAAAATTTGAAAGATGAAAATTAGATAACAATTCATGTTTCACCAAATTTCGAACCATTTTTTAACTTTATATTAGAATACTTTCAGCGGGTGTAAAGGATTTTTTCGTCGCTCAATCCGAGCTAAACGGGTCTATGTTTGTGCTCATAATCTTGGCTGTAACATTGTTAAAGGTGAGTCAATTTTATTAGATTATATTGTTATTTTTATTCTTTACGCCTCTATGTTTACTTTTTAAGTTTTATGCTAGGTCATTTTATCAATTTTTAACATTTTAGCTAAACTGTGTTAATGTTTTAGTAACTTTAGATTACTGTTTATAAAGTAATGGTATAGTGTATATTTTGAAGATGTATCCGTAATGAGTAAAGCCTTGTCGTCAATTTATATTGGTTTTATTTGTTGATAAACGACAAAACTTTTTTGAAACTTTAGAATCGAAATTTATGCTGCTATACGGATTAAAACATTAGTTTAGTGTTAATTTTATTATTTTAGGTATTATATTTTACTACAACTTACTTACTTTTTTATTTCTTCAGAATACCGAAACTGTTGTAGAGCCTGTCGCCTTCAAAAATGCTTAAAAGTTGGCTTGAATCCTGGGTGTAAGTTCACTTTTTTGTGAGAAAGAAGGCTTCTTAATGCCATTTTCAATGATATCTAATCTAATAATGATGATTTTTTTAACCTAGATTTACTTTTTTTAAGATATAAACTGCCTTTTCGCAATTTTTAAAAATTAAACTAGATATAAAAGCTTTATTTTTAATGTTACAGTAGTCCAAAGTGACCGTCACGAATCCTCAAGCCCCACCGACTGGTCGGTGGAAATGTACGAAATCCGAGGTAATAATATTGGACCAATGCGGAGTAAAAACGTATCCACACATCTACTTTCAAGTCGTTCTCAATATGATCCTCGAATCGAAACTCGACTACCTTTTGCCACCTTTCCGAGTATTAATACTCCGCCGAGTATTGTGCGACAAAACAGTATGGTCATTCAGGTGGGTATTGACGAAAAAAGTTATTTTTAGAAGTTACAACATACACGTAATATAATGTATCGATTATTTGCTAAAGCAGTGCATAAAATGGAATTCAATCACATGATAAAGGCTTCTTAACAATTTTTGTCTAATCGCTTATCAAAAGAAGAATATTCTAAGGAATTTAAGATGAATTACAGTACTTAATGCTTTGTTACCTAAAAACGACAAAATTTTAATTGTAAATCTTTTTTTTGACGAAAATAGTTAGCCTTGCCTTAGCCCTAACCTTAGCTATTGCTCTAGCCTTAAGCTTATTTTAGCTCTGGCAAGCTCTAGCTAGCTATTTCTCTAGCTTGACCTCGACCTATCTTTTAAAAAAATTATGAAAAAAAGTCATTTTTAATTTGTGACGAAAAGGCATCTTTTTATACCTACTACAATATCATAGACACGAAACCACTCTAGTATAATATCGTCAATTCACTTTGTAGGCATCGAACGCTCAGATTTATATTTTTAGCTGCAAAAAATAACTGAAAACACATTAAAAGTTGCCTTAATGGCAGTTTTTGTAAAGGAAAACCTTTCGAGAACAAGATCAGAGAACAGTTTTTATAGCGCAAAAAAGTTAACTAATCTATATTACATGATATGTTAACTTTACTAATCTGTATAATATTATGTTTTAAACAAAAATGTAAATTGTATTACACCTTTTATATAAAAACCATTAGTATTATATAGATAATCTAAGGTGAGGGCAGGGGACGGCTAAAATAAAGCAAGATTACGAAGGGCTAGGGCTCTGGGCTAAATCTACGACTAAGGCTAAAGCTAGGGCTGTGGCTGGGCTCAAAGCAGCCATAGTTTTTTGCGAATTTTCACAACTTTTAGAATTTTTACATTATTATAAGCATGATAATGCTGAAAAATAGGTTTGGTAACCCAAAAGACCTTGTAGACAACAAGAAAAGGTTTTTTAAACAACATTTATTATGGTAAAAGTCTTTATTAGTATATTTATTTTGCAAAGACTTATTTTTTACATTTTCTGACTTTACTTCAAGCCAGGTGTTTACAACTTTGTTTATCAATGTCAATAATAATGTTCTTATAAAGGTTAAGGGTTCGAGTTTTTAGGAATAAAAACAAAAGGCAAATGTTTAAAAAGAAAAAAGAAGTAACAAAAAAGGAAGTATAATATAATATGTATCGTACATATAATACTCAGAGCGTAGTAAAAATTTTTAATTGGAAACGGAAAACGGGTAAAATACGACAGGACTATTTTGAGCTGAAGTTTGCGCTAGGGTTTTTTTTTAATTTTAAAAGCGGTGCTAAGGAGACGACCAAGACTGGGGTTTCGGGTTATGTCTAGGGCTCTGGGCTAGGGCTCTAGGCTAGCCACGTGCTTTGACACTTTTTCTTTAAAACTTTTTAAGCATTAGGTTGATCACATTATTCTGTGCTCCTTATTCACGAAAATTTGGTTTGAGAAAGGGCCCAGAATTATTTGCACGACCTAATGCATTATTTATATTATCACGTATACTTTTCAGGACCCCCAAATCAGTTGTCTATCAGAATGTGACATCCCTTCTACCTCAAACTTGTCCTCACCATCAAGCCTTGAATTTCCAAATAAAACTGAAATTCAATCCCTACCTTCTATTACAACAAGCTCTCCAGGCTACTGTAGTGATATCGTATCTACCAGTGGAGCATGGAACAGTAAAAGTGGTATAACATCGAATGACAGTGGATTTTCATCAGCATCCGGGTTGGTCATGCAGTATCAAATGCTGGTAAGGGTAAACTTTGATATTTTTGGGCTGGGCGTGGGTTTTTTTGAAATTTTTTTTTAAAAGTTTTTAAAGTAAAAAAGAAATTATAAAAACAACTTTTAAAAATGAAATTTCAGGCCCAGCCAGACTTCCTCCCCCTCGGCTGTAAACAAGCCATACCAACCTTCAACCCAAATGACATCTTATCAGTGACAAACTACTGGAAATGCGTTGACAATTTCCTCGACACATATCGCGACACATTCGTATCCCACATCGGTAGTACCGACCTAGAATACTTTAACAACCCCAACTTGACAACTGAAGAAAGCTTCCTCCACCCTCGAGCTATGGCCGCGAGATCGGCCATAGATTGGGAACCACGAACTCCAGGCCTAGATCCCTTTGTCAGAATATGGCTACGGACTAGTTTATATGTAATTGACTGGATTACTCACATTCCGGAGTTTTTACAACTGGATGTTAGTGATCGGATCACGTTGTTATCTGATAGAGCGATCGCTGGCACTTGGGGCAGTGTAGTACAGAACACGTTGATGTACTACGAACGAAACCCTGGCTGCACGATGAAAATGATACCATTAACTGGCGGATTGTACTTTCCAATTGACAATCCAGAGTTGTGTGGAGTTAGCAGAGAGTAAGTTGAATATCAGTAGTGAAAGCATTTATGTTATTATTATTCTTGACAGCCTTCGTTTGTTCTGTTGTCTTGTTGTATATTACACGCCTAAAGTTATATTTTATCGCTAAAAGTGAAAAAAAAACAGTTGAACAATCGTTTACGCTTTATAAATATTAAAATCGCGTTTTTTTGCGGGGCATGTTTGAGCGTATAAAAAAGCAACTGATTTACAGCGCAGGCTGCAAGATGAATTTTGCGGGCGCAGCGATAAATTAGCTGTTAGCAACATTAAATTGATAAAAGTTAATGAGATTATTGCAAGTTTACGTTGATTTTACTTCATTTTACTTGTTTTATAAGTGATTTTGTCTGAAAATCAAAATTTAGTTCATATTTCATAGAATATATGCTCATAGGTCTATATTTTCTCTCAAAAGCCTTATTTAACCCTAATTTTCGTCAATTTTAATCATCTAACGACCTAAACTATTTCTCTAACTCCATACTTTGTCCTTGACTATTGCTTTGCAGCTGAATGTAAATTATCTATGTTTAGGGATGTTTTTAGAAATTATGGCTATGTGGTGCAGTTGTACAAGTTGGCCTGGCAAACGTTGGTGAAGCCATGCATGGAGCTTGGAGTTAGTGACGAAGAGATGCGAATTCTCCGAATCTTGAGTGTAATGTGTCCTGGTGAGTTATTTATTTGGTGTTTATGATTTTAGGATAATGTTTGAAAAAATTTACATTAGTTTTTAAAGGTTTTTGGATATTACACATGATATTGGGGGTTTGACGGGTTAAAAGCGCTGTTTTTGGTAGTATTTTTGAAAGAAAAGATAGTTGGGACGATGTTGATGCTAATAAAAGAGTAAGTCTGAGCTGGAGGATTATAAAATAGGGAAAATATTAAGCTAAACTTGGTCACTATCAGTTATTTGGTTTTTTGATATTACACTGCATTTTGATGAAAACTATGACTTTTTTTGTATTAAAAAGGTGCTTCAGGATTTCTTGATTTATGTCATTTTACCAAGCTAGAAGTTTAAGACTCAAAAACCGATTAAAAATTATGTTATCTTTGAACATACTCGCTTAAATTCTCTAATATTACAAATTATTGCTCATTACTTCTTTTCTTTCATGATGTGTTATATTTTTAGTGATAGGGATGAGTGAAGGAGCTGTTGATCTTGTCACAAGGACTCGAAGATTCTACTTGAACGTGCTTCAGAACATTGTACGTCGACGTGAAGGAATGGACGTTGAGAGAACGATGCAGAGAGTGGCAGATTTGTTGTTATTGCTGACGGCTTTTGATGTGAGTTGTTAAAAAATATTTTTGTATGGTTTTTAGGCATTACGTTTAAAATTTGTTGAACTTTAAACGATTTTTATTGAAGATATGACGTATTATCTTATGTATGCTTTCAGAAGATAGCTCACGTTGAAGACGAAAATATGGCTGTAATGTTGTTGTTTGGGCTTAGTGACTTTAATGGTGATGTTATGGAGAATTTTCATTTGAGGAGACGTCGACTGGTCGATAATACAGAAGCTACGACTAGCTTGCCTACTACTGATATTAGTTTTAAGTTTAACGAGCCTTCTAGTGTCTAAAATAAGTTGGATCTTGTAAAATAAGTTCTACTGTGATATAATATTACATATTTTGTCTGTAGCTTGTTATAATGTCATATATCTTTGTCATAGTGCTGATATATAGATATATAAAGTGCTTTATAGGTATAGGCAGTCTTATGTTGTACATAGTTTTAGTTTTTTTGTTATTCATAGTTAAGTTTTAGTTCAGTAGTTTGTCTATGATAATATAGGTCTATGTTGCATTTAAATTGTAGTTTAGACTAATTTTAAAATTTTATGTTACCTAAACTTCAAAAATAATATTATTTCAAGTAATCTCATACCAAAGTATATCAGCCTATTCACATAAAAGTATTTAAAATTGTAAAGTTTATGGAATATATAATAATATGTAGGTCTTATATTGTGTAATATTTAGTTCTCTACCGGTATAGTCAGTCTAGTGCAGGTTAGTACACTTTAAAGTCTTGTAGTAGTCAAAATAGGTTAGTATACTTATATACGTGTTAACAATATTGTTTTACAGAGTAATTGTTAAAAAAAGATACAGTTTAATAAAAAAGTTAATATCTTGTTGGTATGGAAGTTTTTTAAACCTGAAAGGCTTGTAATAACCTATTTTTTTAGCATTTCAGGCTTATATTATCCTTAATTTTAGCTTTTCCAGACTTATATTATTCTTACTTTTAGCTTTTTCAAGCCTATATTACCCTTTATTGATGTTTATTCTAGTTTTGCAATCATTTTTCAACATAAACATTGTGTTTTCAAGCCACGCCGAGTCCATTTAACCAATGTGCTGATAAAAATTGTAAACAAACTGGCATAGATAATAGCTAATTCTGGTATTATATTATCATTCGGGTATATTAGTGGTGGTATTTGGTATTATCTTTGTATACAATTAGTTTGATTGGCTATTTTGGAGCTGTAAAACTATTTTGGTACAGATTGCACTTACAGTGCGGTTTATTTTTGGTATTAACTTATATTATCCTTGCTATTTGAAGGTCATTGGCTGTTTTTAGTCTTAGCTTACCGTGCCTATCATGAAAATTCGCAGTTTGGTACTACTGGTACACTTAGTACTACTAGTGAAGTCTGCACCACCTATGGGCACAGAACAAGACGGTAAAGGCTGTAATAAGCAGTACTTTGACCAAGACTCATTTGTATGTACATGTAGCGTCACTTCTGGTTGTGATTCGGTAGAACCGGTTGGTACCATCAAGGATGACGAAGCTGTGGTATATACAACATCATTGGATGGGGATAGGCTCACGAGGACTGTTGAGAACTTTGGAATATACAAAGGTGGGTTACTTTAGTTGAAAACGCATTATATTTAAATTTTAAAATTTTTGAAAAAAGGATTGGGCGCAGATCGAAAAATAAATTTTTACATTTTGCCATTCTTTATGTGACTACAAGTCAATATTACCTCATTTTATAAATTTTTAAGTTGCAGGACACACAAACAGCTCATATTTGATAGAATTAGTATCAAACACCGACTGGCTTCAAAAGATAATCGGCTTTGGTGGCGCCATTACTGATTCAGTACAAGTTGTATATGACATTGCTGCTCGTAATAGGCTGAATACTCTTTTACTGGATCAATATTATGGACCTAACAGTATGTTTTTTGTTTTATATTGTCTTTTATATTGTTTTTGGGTTTTTTTGCTTCATTTTGACAACACTGGCTTCTGCAGCCTGCGGAAGGCTCGGGGGCAGCTTGTTTTTTAAAAGTTGGTTGATTACGGTTTTCAGTGGTAAAACATTGTGAAGTGAAGGCAGGGAACTTTTCAGGTATCGAATACAGTTTGGGACGGATTCCAATTGGCAGTTCGGACTTTTCCGAAACAGAATGGTCGTATTTGGAAGAGCCTGAGGACTATTTGCTGAGCAAGTTTAGTTTGGCCAAGGATAAGAAGGTTAGACTTAACTTTTGAAAACTTACTTTGATCTTTTTTTGAAATTTTGACTTTTTTTTTAATTTTTCGGGTTTTGGATCATGGTTAATATAGAAAACTGTTAATAATGTGAAGTTTTTTGAATACACTGGCTTTAAAATTAAATATACTGAAATTATATTGTTATAGGTACCTTTAGTACGTGCTATTCTTCAAAAGAATCCGGAAATAAAGTTGTTTGCTTCGGCATGGTCAGCTCCAGGATGGATGAAAGATACCGGTCGAATGAGAGGTGGTGGCAAACTACAAGGAGGTCTGAACGGGATATATTACTTGACTTATGCTAAATATATCTTAAAGTGAGTAGACTCATATCTTGTGGTTATCATTTTTGTCAATTTTTAGATTTTTCAAAGCCTACGCAGCTCAAGGCATTAACTTTTGGGGAATGACAGTCCAAAATGAACCTGCAACTGGCGCTGTCGCTGATTATAGGTGGCAAACCATGTATCTTAGCCCGGCTATGCAAAGGTAAGGATTAGACAGATGATTGCTGAGGTTGGAAATTAAGGACAGTAGGGCAGCGTTGGGTAGGATAGGGTACAGTAGACATGAGGAACGAGCCGGACCTGATTTTCAGGCACGGTCCAATTTTTTTACGTGCAAACAGCCCGGGCCTTGATTTTCAGGCCCAGCCCGTTTCTCATCTTTAGGGTAGGGTAGGGTAGGGTAGGGTAAATACTAAAATTGCACTTTAGAGACTTTGTTGATAAACGACTGGCACCAATGCTGAAGAGTGACAACGTGACAAAGGATATTCTTATTATGGCTCATGATGATCAAAGAAGCGGAATTCTGGAAGCTGCTAAAGAAGTAAGTAAAAAGCATCTTTTGTTGTTCATTATGTAGTTTTACCAATAATGATTGCACATATTAAAGTTTATTTTAAAAAGTTTAGATTTACTCAAAGAAAGTTGAGCATGAAGTGGACGGTCTTGGCGTACATTGGTATTCAGCATCTGAATATGAACCTCTGACTGATGTGCACAAGATTAAACCGGACAAGTTTATATTGTCTACGGAGGCAAGAAGATTTTCACTTACTTTACTATAACTACCCTATCGTATCCTTACCTATTTTATTTACCCTATCCTACCCTACCTTACCCTACCCTACTGTACCCTACCCAACTTTACCCTATTCTACCTAAAAGCAGTAAAAATTTTTTTAAAATCACAATTTTAAGATTTTAAAAACCGCTTTTTAGGCCTGCAACGCTGACCACGATGATGAACATCTCCCTCTATTTGGCAGCTGGGAATACGCGCAAAAGTACGCTCACGATATAATTCAGAATCTCAGGAACTACGTAGCCGGCTGGACGGACTGGAACATTTGGCTGAACGAACAAGGTGGTCCCAACTGGGTGGGCAACTTTGTAGATGCTCCAATCATCGTTGACACTTATAAGGGGGTTTTCTACAAACAGCCAATGTACTACATAATGGGACACTTTAGCAAGTTCATACCTCCAAACAGTTATCGACTAAAGTTGAATCAGAATCAGGAGAATAAGGAATTGGAGACAGTTGGGTTTGTCACTCCCGGACTTAAATTGGTACTAGTGGCACATAACTGGAGTAAAGACAAAACGTTTGAATTGCTTGTGAAGAAGAGCAATTCAAAGTCGGCTGTCAAGATTAGTTTGGGGCCGAAGAGCATCAAAACCATTATTTTTAATAATTAAAGGACCAATGAGGGTAAATTTTCTGACTTTTCATTCCGCAAAAAATCAGGATTTCCAATCGAGACCGCGAACTCCAAAAATTATTTTTTTCGAATTATTTTTGTTGAATTTGTTGTTTCTTGAAGTATATTCCAAGAAAAGCCTAACTTTCGTTCTAATTGTTGAAAATATTACAGAAATAACATGGTTTTACTGTTTTTGAACGTTATTTTTGTTAACTGTGTCAAAAAGTCGTTTAAAAAGTGTAAAATTCATGAGTTTTCTTCTTCTGTTTCTAATCTGACGTTGATATTCGCTCTAAACCTTCATTAAATGGATCCAACGACATCGATTCGATTAAGATTTGCAAGTCTTGACATCAATTTAATATGGGTAGAGTCTTTTAAACTCCAAGAATGGTTTGATTTCGTTTTTGGTCAAAGTCTGGTATGTTATTGTTGTTTTTTGTTCGATGCTTTAGGTTAATATAAACTACAGGTTGTTTGGAAAGCGTAGAAGGACAAAGGAATGACGCTTTAATAAGGTAAAGTTTAAGTGGACTTCAAAAAGAGTTGGTAAAGATGTGGAAGAGTGTATCATGTTGTTTTAGGTAACAGTGAGAAAATTTGGATTGAAAGGAAGAAATGAATTCAACGGCAACTCTTCGGACATGCTTTCATAAAAAATTAACATCAACTTTGAGTGTTGAAACCTCGTAATTCTCATAGTGAGTTGGTCAAGCGGTTTCCCGATTTCGGCCAAAGTTTGGTAATTTAAATATTGTCAATGCTTTAGGTTAATATACACTAAAAAAGAGTTTGGAAGAGAGGTTGATGAGCTTTTTTTAGACGGAAAATTAAGATTTTGTGAACTCTCAAAGGTTTCGAATCGTATATATCAATATAGAGGTTTGCGCATCTTTTATGATGTTTTAGGTAACATTTACTCGAATTTGATATTAAACTTTATAATTATAATCAAATCAATTTCCACTAGCTTTAACATCACATAACGAATTAGCAGCACAATCTTATAAAGGGGACAAAAATTAACCTAAAACAATCAACAAACCAACAAGACATTATACTTACTTCAACATCTATTCAAACCGACATCAAACTCTTCAAAAATCTTTATCCATATCAGAGTCTTGTCCGTTTTCTTTAAACCATGTCCGAAGAGTTGCCGTTGAATCCATTTCTTCCTTTCTTTTTCTATTTTCTCAATGTTACCTAAAACAATATGATAAAATCTTCCACATCTTTACCAACTCTTGTTGAATTCCACTTAAACGTTACCTTGTTAAAGCATCATTCCTTTGCCCTTCTACGCTTTCCAAACAACCTGTAGTTTATATTAACCTAAAGCATTGAGCTAAAAACAACAATAACATACCAGACTTTGACCAAAAACGAAATCAAACCATCCTTGGAGTTTAAAAGACTCTACCCATATTAAATTGATGTCAAGACTTGCAAATCTTAATCGAATCGATGTCGTTGGATCCATTTAATGAAGGTTTAGAGCGAATATCAACGTCAGATTAGAAACAGAAGAAGAAAACTCATGAATTTTACACTTTTTAAACGACTTTTTGACACAGTTAACAAAAATAACGTTCAAAAACAGTAAAACCATGTTATTTCTGTAATATTTTCAACAATTAGAATGAAATTTAGGCTTGTTTCTTGGAAGATACTTCAAGAAACAACAATTTCAACAAAAATAATTCGAAAAAAAATAATTTTTGGAGTTCGCGGTCTCGATTGGAAATCCTGATTTGTTGCGGAATGAAAAGTCAGAAAATTTATCCTCATTGGTCCTTTAAAAGGACTGTAGATCGGTAATAAAGGTTTAGAAATATTTTTGAAGAAATGAAATTTTTGGAAAAAAAGCTTTGATTATCTTTTCTTACCTTGGCTTTCCGTTTGGCAGTTTCCTTTCCTGCTTTATTTTTTCCCTAGTTTTTCTAATCTATAGCTTTACTGTAACTTTTGTGGTACTCAATCGTATATTTATTATATATAATATAGCAAGGTAATAATTAATTTACTGTAATTCAACGAGTAATACAGTTACAGTAGCAATTGATACAGTTTCTGAAAGCACATAAAAAATGACATCTTATGTTGGGTTTGCAACAATAACTTATAAAGAATTTTTCTGTGGTACTTATATTCATCATGTATTATATAGCAAAAAATATTTACACTACTGTAACTCGACGAGTAATACAGTTACAGTATCAATTGATACAGTTTCTGAAAGCACATGAAAAATGACATCTTATGTTGGTTTTGCAACAATAACTTATAAAGAAATTTTCTGTGGTACTCGATCGTATATTCCTCATGTATTATATAGCAAAATAATATTTACACTACTGTAACTCGACGAGTAATACAGTTACAGTAACAATCAATACAGTTTCTGAAAACACATGAAAAATGACATCTTATGTTGGTTTTGCGACAATAACTTATAAAGAAATTTTTTGTGGTACTTGTTCGTATATTCATCATGTATTATATAGCAAGGTAATATTTAATTTACTGTAACTCGATGAGTAATACTGTTACAGTAGCAATCGATACAGTTTCTGAAAGCACATCAAGAATGACATCTTATGTTGGTATTGCGACAATAACTTATAAAGAATTTTTTTGTGGTGTTCGATTGTATATATATCGAGTGTAATATAGTATCCGTATACTTTGTTAACACCGTAACTTGACGAATAACGGAGCTACAGAGACAGTCGATACAGATTCTGAAAGCACATGAAAAATGACATCTTGTAATTGTATTACTCGTTGAGTTACAGTAATGTTAATATTTCCGTGCTATATTATACATGATGAATATACGATCGGGTACCACAAAAAAACTCGTTGTAAATTCTTATCATAGCTTTATTCTAACCTTACCTTAAAAATTGTTCGAAGCTTGCTCTATTTTTATTGTAACATTAATGTTAACAATGGCTCAGCTTTTTTTTAGCGTATATATACCCTTCTTTGACTTTACTCAACTTTATAATGCCTTATATAGAGTTGAGTTCTTGCTCTTAAAAATTGATTTCTATGATCATGGCATGATTAGTATTACAATAATATTAATAATTTTTGTTATGATGTTTTATTTGAAACTAAAAATTTGCAAAATAATCATATGTTTTACATAAATCACTCTTTAGTCATCTTTTTTTGGTAAGCATATAAACAAACGTTTTGGCTTTTTGAAGCAGCTGGGACTTGAAACAACATATTATGTTACACTAGAAGTTACAAACCTGTACTCTACGGTTTTACTCTGTAATTTTAAAAAGATACTGTAAAAGATAAAGCATCATATATCTGCTTTACATACTATGATGCACAGCATTGCAATACCGCTGGTTTTACTCCTACTGCTACTACACACCGTACTATTAAAATCTGTGTTGTCAAGTACTGCAGAAGACTTCTCGCTAAGAGAATGTAACATAAAGTCATTTGGCTACGACTCTTTTGTATGTCAATGTGATGCTAGCTATGGTTGTGACAATATTGCACCAATAGGTAACATTGAAAAGGATCAAGCTGTTGTCTACACAACTTCTATGCATCAACATCGATTGAATCGTACTGTGATGAAGTTTGAGAAGTATGGTGAGTATAGGGTTTTAAAAACGGATTTGGGTATCTTACCTTACCCTAGCTAAATATACCCTTGCCTACTTTACCCCAACCTATCTTAACTTACGTTATCTTACTTTACCTTACCTTCTGACCAAACAAAAAACAAACTTTTGATAGTAATACAGTACTGTTTAGAACCCTCAAACTCTTCGTTCACTCTCAAGGTCAATAGTACTGCCCAACTTCAAAAAATCATTGGATTTGGTGGAGCTATCACAGACGCGGCCACTTCCGTCTATCTGAAAGACAATGCACTGAAAAAAGTTTTGTTAAGACAATATTATGGACCTGATGGTAAGTCAACTTTTTATCTTTTTTATTGTTGTTCAAGGACAGGATATGGCGAGTTATTTTTAGCGTTTTGCTTTTTTGGGGGTTGGTAGACCTGATAAGAGAGCTACTAATATAGATTCGGTCTCATACGTAGTCGAAACAAATTTCAAAGGGCAGGGCCAAAAAATTGAGGCTGACCTACTCTAAGTTTTCAAAAAAATGAACCTGGTCCGGCTTCTTCACAGGTCTGGGGATGAGTGATTTTAGTCGAAAGAGGAAAGAATAAAACAAAATATTTTTGAGTTGATAAGAGGTACTGGTAATGCCGAAATGATGATTTCGATAAGGGGATGGAAAGGTTTAAAGCAAATTTTATTTTTTGAAAAATTTTGCAAAAAAACATTTTTTTGAAAAAGTTTGGCTGGTTCCTTTAGCTATCTACTGCGTTCTGTGTAGTATTATCCAAAGCACCTTACGAAGGAACTGTGGATAGTACTGGCGTATAGTCTCAAACACAGCTTCTGTTTTTAATACCCGGTATAGTTCTACCCACCCTTTGACTTCACTCTGCTCAATCTTTTCCTTAAATCCTGGAAACAAAAAAGATGTTTATTTAGTTTTTTGAAATTTAGGTATTGAATACAGCATTGGACGAGTGCCAATAGGAAGCTGTGACTTTTCCGAAGGGAACTGGTCTTATTCAGAAACACCTGATGACTATATGCTAGAACATTTTGGCACTGATCAGGATTATAAATTAAGTTATAAATAATACCACGGAGTTAAGATAGGATACTTTACGTTACTCTATCCTAGCCGTTCAGAGGGAGGGTGGACGGAGGCGGAGTCTCCCGCCCCAAAAAAAAATTTCGAAAAAAGTTGAACGTGGTCCCCCCAGCGAATTTTTGGAAAAATTTTTTCGACTCCTGCCCCCAGACCAAACGTCCCCGCCCGGCCCTGGTAATTACTGTAAAAATAACTAAGTTTACCGTACTATATTTTTAGCCAGAACTGCTACGAGAAATTCTTCGTCTGACTCCAGAAATCAAGTTGTTTGGTTCATCATGGTCAGCTCCTGGTTGGATGAAGGACACTGGAAAGATGCAAGGGGTGGTAAATTGAAAGGAGGCTTCAACGGTGTATATTATTTGGCTTATGCCAAGTATTTGTTAAAGTAAGGCTTTTTAAAAACATTTATATTGTAGTACAATTCTAAGCCTAAAAATTTAAAATTTTTTAAAATTTTTTTAAAAAAAAGTTTTCAATTTTAGGTTCTTCAAGCTCTACGCAACCCAAGGCATTAACTTTTGGGGAATGACAATCCAAAATGAGCCTAGTTTTGGCAGTGACTATAACTGGCGATGGCAAGGCATGTATCTTAGCCCGGCTATGCAAAGGTATGTTACCATGATTACTATGGGTTAGAAAAAAAGGTAGGGTAGAATAAAGTAGGATAAGGTACTTGGGATTAGAAAAATAACCCCCAAGGTTAGAAATTGAAAAACAATTAATTTTTAAAAAGTTTTAAAAATTTTGAATTTTCAAATTCAGAGACTTTGTCAACGGACGACTCGCCCCACTGCTGAAGAGCAACAACTTGACAAAGGATATTATCATAATGGCACATGATGACCAGAGAAGCGAAATTCTGGGCGCTGCTAAAGACGTGAGTTCAATATTGGGGCTCTTACTGAAATTGTAAAAAATTAAATTTTGAAATTTTAAAAATTAGTTTTTTAAGTTTAATTAGGTTTCAAATTTGACTTTTAAATACTTACAATTTAGATCTACTCAAAGAAAGTTAATCATGAAGTAGACGGTCTTGGCGTACATTGGTATTCATGGTCTGCGTATGAACCTTTGTCAGAAGTGCACAAGCTGAGGCCAGACAAATTTATATTGTCCACGGAGGTAAGGTGATGTTACATGCCTTTCCCTTCCCTGTATATCCCCATCTTGGTTGCCTTGCCTTGTCTTGTCTTATCTTGTCTGATATTGCCTTGTTTTTCCCTACCCTAATATCCTCTTTCCAGGCATGTAACAGTTACTACGACACAGATCACATTCCCCAACTTGGCAGCTGGCAACCGGCTCAAAACTATGCCCACGATATAATCCAGAATCTTCGAAACTACGTAGCCGGCTGGACAGACTGGAACATTTGGCTGAACGAACAAGGAGGCCCTAATTGGGTGGGTAACTTTGTAGATGCTCCAATTATCGTAGACACTGAGAAGGGAGTCTTCTACAAACAACCAATGTACTACATCTTGGGACACTTCAGCAAGTTCATACCTCCAGGCAGTTATCGTGTCAATTCGACTCAAAGTAAAAGTGACAACGGGTTTGAAACTGTTTCATTCATCACTCCAAAGCAACAAGTTGTGGTGGTTGTTATGAATACATCTGGAAAACGAAAATTTGATATTGTGGTGAAGAAAACTAACTCAACGTCGGCGGTTAATATTACACTTGAGCCGAAGTCTATCAAAACTATTATTTTTAATAACTAAAAACGTAAATTGAAAAATAAACTTGCAATCGTGAACTATAAATTTACTTATTTGTTTTAAAATCCATTTTAGACTTATATTTTGCTTTGTCTTCCAATTCTTTCCAACTCCAATAATATTTGTGACACTTCGTCAAAAACTCAATAGTAGAAGCCATTTTTCTCGAAAATATTTTTTGTTACAAATTATTGTAATTCACAATTAAAATACAAGTTATTACTCTTACATTTGAGTACTTTTATATTATTTTAGGCTTTGAAGTTGGTTTTAAGTTTTGTGGTTATATTGTTTTAGATTGGTAACATTATCTTGCATTTTTAAGGTGGTTTTGAACGAATAAATGCTCTAGTAAAAAAGATCTACTGGTCTTTCTTTTTGTAAGTTTTAAGTTGTTTTTGTAATTTTAGTTACATTCTTGATATTTTTAAAGAAAAAGAATGTTGATGTAGCTATAGGTATTGGTAATTCTTATATCTCCGCGGTTTTTGCGTGTTTTCTTAAATTTTATTGTTTACAAGCACAATGTAAATTAGTTTTCTTTTTTGTTTTAGATCAATTTGGGTTTGTATTTTATGAATTTAGACCCAAAATGCCTAAACAAAAGGTTCTTCGGCGAGAACACCTCATGCCATTGTTTTCTGACAACTTTGACAATGTTGGTCAACCGATACCTGCAACACCGCGTGAACGGGTAATGGACAGGCATTGGGAGCCGATTCAAGAACAGCTGGCTATCATTGAAACGTTGAAGGAGAAGAATACGGTTCTGAGGCATTTGGGTAGATGGCCAAGCAAAAATGTCACTGTGGACATGGGAGCTGCTGCAAGGGACAAAGACACTGATCTACAGGATCAAGTTGAAGTTACGGACATGTTCTTTAAGGCTTGTAGATGTAAGTTCAATTTTTAATAGTGTTTCTTGATTTTTAGGGGAAAGTAGAGAGCCGGTCATGGATAACAACATTTTTGATGGATTAAAAGGTGTTGGTGTTTGTCTTTACAAAAGCACACCTTTGAAAGTTTATTTATTATCTTGGGTGTATTTTTAAATGACATCTAGCTATTAGTTTTGTATATTTTTTTTTTGGGAAAAGTATTAGATAGGTTCATGGATAATATAACTTTTTCTTTTAAAGTCAATTTTCAGCTTTTGCATCACCTCAAGCTGTGGTTTTTACTTTTATAATTATAATAAAAAGCAAGAAACAGTGATTAAAAGCAAAAAAACTTGTATTTTACTGTAAAGTTAATGTTTAGCATTGAAGTTCAATGAAACACTGTATGGAGACGATTTTGAAGTGCCGCTGGCCATGAATGCTGCAGAACTCATGGGTAAGACCACAGATTGTGGTCTAGAAAGGATTGAACCGTTTTTTCTTACAGAGGACAAAGTTAATGTGAGATTTTTGTTTTTATGAGGTTTTATATTGTTTTAGGTCTACTTTATTCTGAAGCTTGTAAATTGTTTGTTTTTCTTGTTCTTTTTTCGATTTTAATGGAACTATGGACACAGTATATTTACACATGGCTTTCTAAGCTTTTAATATGGTGATATATTAACAGAACAACATACTTTCAGTTCATAAAAAAGTGCAAATGGGCCGACATTGACTACATTACGATCTGTGATACCCAGCTGGCTCTAATGGCTTCATGGCTTGTGAATGTTGAATCTCTAGATACAACAGTATTCACCAATGTACTGTCATTACATCCAGAAACCTGTGATAACGATATCATGCTCAAGGCGATCATAAATTCATGTAATTGGATTGTGTCAATGTTTATCAACTTGGTCGAATCTGCTGAAACTATTGTTGAAGATGTGAGTTGATTAAATGATTGTGGTTGATTTTAGTGGGTATTGTCTTAATATTTATAAGGTTATTTAAAAATAGCGGCGATTTAAACTTGTTTTATTTTTAAAAAAATAGTTTTTGCAGCCTGCAGGGGACATGTCATACGATAAATTACGTTTTTCTAGTTTTTACCCGTTTATTAACGTAGTTTACTACAGTTAGGTGTTAAAAATAACGCTCTTGGTTGTGAAATGTTACTGCGTTGATAATTTGTCATTTTGATTATTGGCTTACTGTAATTTTTTAATGTTTTAGGATGCAATGAACAGAAAGACGGTTCATCAGTTTTGCTCACCCAATTATGTTGATGTAATGGCCTTCTTGGACGAGGCTATTGAACAAAACAACTTGGAGAATTCTTTTAACAAGGTGAGGTTTAAATTTTAAAAAGTTTTTTTTGAAATTTTAAAAATGAAAAATTTTTTAATTTTGAAAATATTTTTTTAAATAAAAAAAAATTGAAAAAGAACATTAAAATTCTTTAAATTTTCGTCTTCTAGGACCTCTACATAGCCACAGACGGCGAACTAAAGCCATCAAGACCATCGATCCGAACCCTAAAAGAAGCCATCGCCGTTCGCCTCGAGTTCCTCAAATCTCTGATGGAAGCCATTGGCAACGCCTTTCCCTTATTAACCAGAAGCCCCGAGGGCGTGGAAACTAAAAACGATCGGAAAAACAAGAAATTGAAGAAGCCGAAGAAACGAAAACCCTCGGATCCGGAGCTTCCGAACCTCAGAAACATGACCAAATGCTTCAGATTGGCATATTCTTATATCAGCTTGTCGCTGGACACGGTTGAGTTCGGGCGACCACCTCCAGATGGCTTTGATTATGAACATATCAACAGGATTCGGAACATGGGCAATGTGACAAAGGATAGGACATTGTTCAATGAGGAACAGAGCGGAGTTTACGCTAAGAATCCGGATGGTAAGTAGCGTTGCTTTAGCTTATCGTAGCTCTATGCTAACTAGGGACTTGATCATGGTTGACTGTAGTCTTATCTTAGCTTTGCTTCATCTTATAGCCTTAACTTATGAAAAACTTTAATTCAAAAAATTATTTTCAGGTGACTACAGCTGGGTGCCCCCAATCGTACCCAACCTCAGCTTCCATCAACTCCCCAACAACTTTCCTCACGAGGTCAAGTTGGTCAGTCGTGACCGAGGTCTATATTTCTTTGGCAGCTTTATCCAAGAACTATACGATGCCATTCTTATGATACCACCAGTTCCGTGGGCTTTGGATGAGGTTTTTGGAGCTTTTGCCAAGTTTCAAAAGCTGCACGTCGTAGCCAGAAGCTTCTTGGAGCTGACGATCTTGACGTCGAAGCTGAAGATTCTATGGTACTACAACTTGGAGGATTTGACTGAAAATGGCATTGACGACTTTTCATGTACTTACAAGTTGAAACAGCTGTTGTAAGTTGAGGGATAATGTAGATTTAGGTATTAAAAAAGAGGTTTTGTCATGGATAATGTAAATTATTGTCTAAAGATGAAGATTTTGGAATGGTTGATGATATATGTATAAAAAGCTTATTTTTGTTATGGGTAATATAATTATAGCTATAAAAAATATTGTTTCGTGAAGGATAATATAAATTTTGTTTCAAAAATAAGCTTTCTACGTACTAAAATACGATTTTCAGCTACCTAGCCACAATGCAATCATTGTTCTTCCAAGACCCTCTACCTCACTTCAACCTAGACGAACCAGAATGGCCAGTCATGGAACCGGACGAGCTAATCAAACTGTCTCCCTTCGCTTCAGGCCTAACCGAGAGAGAGGCCGAAGACAGACAAAGCGAACTGAACAGATTCAGCTATGCCAGCACTTTAAAACAGTTCCTATACGACATGGGAAGGGTGCACTCACATCATCTTCAATATCTGGTACATTCGACCTATCACTTCAGGAGCAAAATGTGCACAAACTTGGCTGATTTATACGCTAGCTACCTGCCGAAGGTGAGGTTTTGTTGAATTTTTTTGAAAATTTGAAAGAAAAGACTTGAATTTATATTGAGCATGGTGTAGTCAATATTATTTTCTATTTTAATACAAAACAAAGCAAAAATAAAATCTACTATAACATCTTTTCTTCAGGCCTTGACTCTCGAGCTCACCATGGACAGATCAATGACCTCGTACAATCGGAAAGTCTTCCAAGATCACATTGAACTAGTGCGCAAAACTGGCATCCAAAGACCATTGCCACTTCGTTTCAGTGGATGTCCTGCCTTTTTAAGCACTTATGTACAATATCACACCTTTATGCTCTGCCGAATGCACATTCAGCAAACCCTACATCTGGAAATTGTACCAATGGGAGAGTTGGACATGGTCCTGTTCATCTACTTGTGCGTTCTGAGGAGGTTTGGGTCGATTCTGAAGAAACAAATGATGGGTTACAATTCTTTTACGAAATTACGTAGGTTTGGAGAGTTTTTGGTAGATTATATAGGTTTAAAGGGGTTGTCAGGAGACCTGAAAGGAGGTTCATTAGGCCTGGCTCAGGGTTGGGCTAAAGAAAAGTTAGAAGGGGCCGGGATTGAAGACTTTGTTATCACTGATAAGCTATAAAATATCAATCAATCTACCATATTTTACATTTTTCAGCCATTCCCGACACCTTCGACCGCATCGTGGAGGAACGCCAGATCCTGGAAGCCCGTGCCCAAGCCACAACCTTCCCCAACATGGTCCAAGTGGCGGCCGAAGTCCAGATGTGCCTGGTCGTGATTGCTCTCATTCAAATACGAAAAAGGACGGCTGCTTGCGAGTACCACCCAACGAAGGCACATTGTTTCTACACAGAGTAAAACAATCAATCCCACAGAATGTTCGAGAAGAGTACGATTTGTGGAACTTCACCCCGAGCTATCAGGACTACAAGATCTTCTTGAACTTTATGTAGGTTGAAAAAGGGAAGGGGTGATGAAATTTTTGGATTTTTGAAATGGATGGGGTTTTAAGGTTAATTTTGTAAAAATAAAATTTTGGGCGGGGTAAAAACTTTGGGGGGTGTGATTTCAAATTTTTTAAAAATATTTTATTACTCTTAATAAAACAAAAATGGAAATTGGCAGCTTTAAAATTCATTTAAAAAAGTTTTGGGCGGGGTAAAAAAAATTTCGGGGGGGCGTTTTTGAAATTTTTTAAAAATTCTTATTTGCTGTTACTAAAACAAAAATGAACTAAAAGCATCAAAGCTTAACTAAAAATGACAGTTTTTCCTACTTCAGGACCCAAGACTACCTCAACGATCGACCACCATGCAAATCGACTGAAGAACTGTGCACCTATGCCAATATCAATTTCCTCCGGGCCAAAGAACTGTACATGCACACAGAGAAATCGAAGCACTATGTGAAAGAGTTGGGAGCCATCAACAGTTTTCTACAAAGGCTTAGTGAGGGGCAATACAAAACGGTAAGGAGATGTTGTTGTAGGTGGGTTTTGGGGGAAAAGTAAATTTTTTTGGCGTATTTTTGTTGCTCAAACATTTTTTAACATTTTTATATAGTTATTAAATTATCTTTTGGTAAGCATATATGTACGTTATGTCTATTTCATATCCTTTCCTTTTTAGAAAAACGCCTTCAAGTTGACCTTCCCCTACCTGGACAACATCATGATCTTTGACATTCGCTTTCCAGGAACGGCCGAAATTCAATCTCCACGAATTACCAGTCCCACCCTGAATCCATCGAGAACTGAGAGAAAGAAGGTTCAGGACGATGATGTGGACAAATTGGCACAGGACCTACAACATGTTCAAGTGGCTGGAGATAAACAGAAGAAGAAGAAGGGAAAAAAGTGAAGGAAGAGGAGAATGATTTGGAAGTAGAATAGTTTTTATTGTTGTATTGAATTAGAGTCAGTTTTTGTACTATTTTTGATGTTGTTTTAGTACCTTAAAGTAGTGTTTGAAATTTAGTACTTGTTATCGGAGTACCAAGAGGTACTATTTTCTATATTTTTAGTACTTTTGGTGCTGTTTTTTAAATTTTGGGTTTATTTTTTGATGATTTTCATGATTGTCCAGTTACGTTTTTACTCTTTTATGGTTGTATCATCAATCTCCTGCCAGTTTATCAAAATTATTATCAAGTGCCATTATTTTATGTTATCCATGTTTGATTGAAAGCATCTCTAATTAGTTTTTCGTTTGAAAATGATTTTTTTCTTTAAAATTTTGATTTTTATCGATTTTGTATGTTTTGCCTGATCTTAAAGGTATCTTGCTATGTAAGATTGGTCAACAAGCGGTGGTATTAGGTCAATGACTTTATCATTATTTGTTGGTAACTACTTTGATAATGATTTTTTAATAGTAGATTGTTCATATAATTCTGTGCCCTCTAACTTCAAAAATTTGCTTTGAAAGGGCACAGAATTATTTGAACGACATAATAGTAGTTTATGTCTACCTTACCAACTCAATTTGTTATAATAAGTTATTCTGCCAACGATCAGTGATAGAGTAGTTTACTATACCAAGTCTGTTAAGAAAGCGTTTTTACATTACCGAGGAAATAACCGGTTATGATTGTGCTAACTCTGTTGAATTTGTCCAAAACGGTTATGCTTTATATCTATTTGTCTATCACAATATATTATTACATTAGGTTGTTCCATTTTTTGTTCAAATAATTCTGAGCCTTTCAATTTCGAAACTTTGCTGAAAGAGGCACAGAATTATTTGAACAACCTAATAGTCAGTTTTTAGAAGGTTTTTTGATTATTATGTTTAAGTAAAGTATACCTGAAGATCTACCCTCAAGTCATGAATAGTATACATCCACCCCAAAATGGTAATATAGATTCACCCTCAAATTATGGATAATATAAACCCATCATCAAATCATGAATAAAATAGTCCTTTATAAAGCTAAAACAAATACTTTAGAACGCTAAACAGACGTTGATCAATACCCGGTCGGGTTCATATAGACCGGTCGTCGATAGTCCGACGTGGTCTGTAGCCGCCCATCAGGAGTCCGGAAGATGGCTTGTACCGTCGCGAAAGGTGGGTTCATTTCTGTGAAGTTGTGGCCATATGAGGTTAGCTCGTCTAGCAGGACCTGGAATTATTTTAAAAATTTTTTAAAGAATTTTAAAATTTGAAAATTATTTTAAAAAAACGGTATTATTCTACCTTAGGCACTCCCTTCTCGAAAGCCGTCTTAATCGGAGTGAACTGATTGTGAAACCGAGGGAAATCGACCGCCTCCTTCACTGTCTGATTGAACACAATCGTCTGTAGAATGACCTGGGAAACGGCCGAAATGATCTTCGACCCTCCGGCAGCTCCAATCGCTGCTTGAACCTCCTTGGTCTTGGCATTGTAGATAATAAGTGGGCTCATACTACTCAACGGTCGTTTGCCCGGCTCAATGAAATTGGCTTTGGCTGGGGTGAAACCGAAGAAATTCTTGGCTCCGGGCACAGAGAAATCGTCCATTTGATCGTTCCACACTATTCCCAGACGTTCCGATCGGATCAGGGAACCGAAACTGAAAAAATTTTAAATTATTGTTGGAGGGGGGGGGGAAGTATAGGAAATGAGGCTATGTTCATGTAGAGTAAACTATAGTAAGCCTAAGGGTAGGGTAGGGTAAGGTAAGATAAGGTAGGTAGGGTAGGGTAGGGTAGGGAAACTCACATATTGTTGACAGAGCTAGTAAATGACACAGCATTGCCTTCAACATCAATGACCGAGATCTGTGACGTGCCACTGTCATCCAACTGCTCTTCCAAAGCTCCATATTCCTTTACTTCCAAGGTCTTATCATTGATCTTCTTTACAATCTCATCCACAAACTCATTACTCGTCAGGTTCTGAAGTACATTCTTAACATCGTGAACATAATCCGGATCCCCCAGCTGTGTTCTCTGAGCATATGCAAACTTCTGAGCCTCGATAAACCTATGATAATATTCCGGATCACTGTAAACCAAGTTCTTATCACTTCCAATCGGATAGAACTTGGCCATGACATTCAGAATCAACTGTGTGATAACCGAACTGCTCGAGGGCTTTGGGCCGCATACTGTAAGTTCCTGACCAAAGGGTACTGTAGTCACAGGCGATTCATCAATCTTGCTCTTATATTGTTCTAGGTCTTTCTTGGTCAAATATCCGCCCAACTTTTGCCATTCGAATGCCATTTGATCAGCCATTTCACCACGGTAAAAGGTTATTACTGGGTCACTGGATGTGGCTAGTTTACGATAAGTTTCAGCCAATTTAGGGTTTTTGAGAAGCTCGCCTTCTTTGTATAATTGACCGGTCTTTGGATTCACAAACACCGATTTCATGGATTCAGAAGCCAGAATCTCTTTCTCACGGACTTCTAGATTCACTTCCATTAGTTTTGTTACGGGGTAACCATGGTTGAGAAGGCGTACCGTAGGCATTAGTAAGTCGGACCAGGCGATACGACCACTGGCGAAGCGCTTGAAGGCTGACCAGAGACCGTGCAGCTCTCCTGGTGTGGCTATTGATTTGGGACCTGAAAAACGATGTTTCACTCTTACTACAAGCTCTAGCCCAGAGCCCTAGCCCAGAGCCTTAGCCCAGAGTTCTAGCCCAGAGTCCTGGCCCATAGCTTTAGCCCAGAGCCTCTTTTCCAAAAATTTTTTTCAAATTTCAAAGGCGGACCACGTTCAAATTTTTTTTTTCTGGAGTAGAGGTCCCTTCTCCTTTCCCCCCCTCCGCTCTTGCTCGGCTTTGATCATAGCCTTAATCTAACAATCTTACTTTACTATCTTTGTGGCTTTAAGTCCTAGCCCTATCCAGCCAACCCTATATTACATGTCATATCCAAAAATCAACCCACCCCTCCAGTATAACCAGCTTTGTATCAGATGTTTCTTTCTTATTTAAAAAAAAATAAAAACATTTTAAATAATTTTTTTTGTTTCTAAAACCACTATGAAAACTAGCTTTTGAACATTTAAAATCAAATTTAAGTTTTAAAAACTCACCCAAAAAAGCTTCATCTGGATTACTGACGAACGTATTTTGATTCGTAGCCAATGGAGCCGTTTCTCTTGCATCCAGTGTACGACATTTGCCATCTTGCCTGCAATTTTTTTTGACTTCATGAACCGTATTTTACTTAACTCTTAACACAAAAAAATTAAAATTTTAATTTTGTGCGTTCTTTGAAAAGCTCATTCATATTTGAACACCAAATATTTTTAAAATTTATTTTTTGCTTTTTTGATATTTAAAAGTTCATTTTTTAAAGAAAAACACATGTCAACATCCAAAAATAAAAAATAGCTATATGTCAAAAGTCACCTGTCATAATATGTCATCAAGAATCCACCACCAAGGCCACTTGAATGAGGGTGAAGACCTCCAATACAAATTCCAACTGCAATCGCTACGTCTACTGCATTACCACCTTGGAGGAGCATGGCACTGAAAATGAGATTTGCAAATAAAAAAAAATTGTCTTGCCCGGTCCTGCCTTTGCCCTGCCTTTGCCCTGCCCTTGCCCACTCAAAACTCTGCCTTACCCTAATCTACCAAACCTCACCCTACCCTCTCACTTACCGTCCAATCCCAGAACAAATAGAATTGTCACTAACAATGGCCGCTTTGGGAAAGTAGGCCAACAAAGTTCTGTCACTATTCTTCGGCCAATCTGATGGTTTTAGTTCTTTGGCTGATAAAGGAGATAAAGATGATGAAGAACAAGTAGCGTCTTTGAATACCAAATATAATAGACCTCCGAGTAGTACCAATATCAGTATTAATACTGCTGTCAAGATCCATGGTAGACCTCTAAAAATATGTTTATGAGTTTTTGCAGCCTAATTTCGAAGTTTTAAATTTTTCATTTATAAAGATGTCGTATATGATTTAAAAAATTTTAACTCTTAAAAAATTGACATTTTGCTTGAATTTAAAAAATCTGCAAAGTTAAGGCAATGTTATTAGCTAAAAACTCACTTTTTCCTAATTTGTTTTATGCTAGCTTCTCCATCTCTTCTGTATAAGCCATTTGTGTCTGACTCGGGACCTCCACTCATGATTTACTTTTCTAAAATTTTAAATTTTATCAATAAAATAGCTTCAAAGTGTTCCCAAAACATACATAATACTAGTTACAGTAAAACACCTCATTAGTATGAACCGCGAGTTACAGTAAAAACTTTAGTATGAACCATCATAATACTAGTTACAGTAAAACCTGTTTAGTATAAAACTCGATAACATAACACTATCTTTATAATAACAGCTTTTGGACCTTTTGGTATGGGGGCGAGCAGTGTTTGCCGGACGGACCGAAACAGAAATTTTTGCGGACCGGACCGGACCGGACCCAAAAACCTGCGGACCCGGACCGAAGAAAAAGCTCCGAACCGGTCCGGAAAAAAATTTTTTTTTATTTTAAAAAACTGTTTTAAAAATTGCAAATAAAACATATTTTTAGGAGTTTTTAAGCAAAAAGAAAGCAGTTTTAGCGCTCCTTGCTTTTTTTAAAAATTAAAAAATTTTTTTTTGCGGACCGGTCCGGACCGGACCCAAAAATTTGAAGTTTGGACCGGACCCAAAAAATCGCCGGACCGGACCGGTGAAAAACGCTCCGGACCGGTATAGGCAAAACACTGGGGGCGAGGATCGAAAAAATCCAGAGGGGGGACCACGTTCGACTTTTTTTTATAAGTTTTCTTTGGAATAAATTGTAATTTTAATACATATTTTCAAACAAAATATCCTATAATTAAAAAAATTTACATAAATTTATTGTAGTCTTTAATTATCTAACCCTGGTATCACTCTGGACCTACTATAGCGCTACCCTCGCTGTACCTCTACCGTAAGCTACCCTCCTTACCCTACTTTTTAATTGGATATCTTGCCTTATTCTACCTTATTCTACACTACCACGTTCTTTATTTATCCTACACTGACTTGCCCTTATTCAGGCCTACTTGTACCTTGCTTTGTCACTACCATGGCTCTTGCCATGAGAGGGACAATATACACATAAACGCGACCCACCTTGCACTTTTTAACTCTTTATTCACAGTACAAAACAACCCCCCCCTTCATTTCCTTCTCAAACCCTTACCCTACCTTCTCTTATCTCCCCTCTTTTAAAAATTGGCAAATTTGCGAAACCTAGCAAATTAAATGCACTCCTAAATCTCTTGAAGTAGCCAAATGAATGGTCAAGAGAATGAGAAATTAGCGAAGAATAGGGCAATCAGTTTAAGAAAGACATGTGTCCCATTTGAAACAATGCCATCACCCCAACAGCTGATTCACCCCCAAAACTGTTTTACATGCCTGTGGGGGTTCTTGAGAAAAAAACATGAAGGAAGTTGAAAAAACAGAGGTTACGTGAGGTTATAAGTTATGTTATAGCGTGTTATGGAGTTATTAGCAGCCTAAGTGCTTGAGAAAGATGTTGTAAATGATTTAGTGCTATGACAATAGCAAAAATATTAGAAATAGTGCCATTTTTTATTGGAATCACAAGTTCTCAAAAAAAATTAAAAACCAATTTTTCTTGTTCAAAAAGTAATGAGCCATCAATATATTCAAAAATTTATAAAAATTAAATCTTATATAGGCACCTTCAATAATAGCCTGCTTTAGACAAAAAAAATCCTGCTTAGCTTTACCTTGCCCCTACCCTAGCTTACCCTACTTTCTTCAGCTTTAACTTTAATACAGTAAACTAAAAAAAACCGTTTTTTGTTACACTTTCTCCGTTTTTTTACACTTTTTATAGTTTTTGCTATTTTCAAAGCTATATAATGCCGAAAAAAGCCAAAGAAAATATTTTAAATATATAAAAATGTATTTTTGATAACAAAAAGTCATTTTTAAATCCAAAAAAAGCCAAAAAAGCTGTTAGGTCTCACCGAGATTCGAACTCGGGTCGCAGGATTCAAAGTCCTGAGTGCTAACCACTACACCATGAAACCACGTTTTCAAAGGTTTCAAAGCCACATTTCGGAACTTTTAGCTTCGACTAGAGAGCAAATGAACCGTTTTTTATACTGTAGATAGTGTAAAAAAGTGTTTTATCTTTTGTCACATCAATATTGCAAAAAAGGGTCGTGTATAAAATGGCAGTTATTATAAATTTGAGAGGTTAAAAAGTAATAAAAAATAGCTTGTAATTGAGGGTTTTTTGGTAAAATAAAGGTAGTTCTAGAGCGGGGCTGGGCTGTATAATGACAAGAAAAGAAGGGGAGAGAGGATGGGGAACTAGAAGGCGAAATCAACCCAAAAATCAAAAAAAAATTTTTTTTTAATGCTGAACATCTACCCTACCTTATAATACCCTACCTTATTCTATTCTGCCCTACAACAACCTACCCTATCTTACTCTACCCTACCCTACACTACCTTATTCTGCCCTAAACTACCGCAACCTACCCATTCTTAATCTACCCTGGCCTAAATTCAAAAAATTTTTGAAACTCTACTCTACCTGCCCTGAAAATATATTTAAAAATTTTTTTAATTCAATTAAATTTAATTAAAAATACGTATTTTACAAACTTTTTTTCCAAATTGTTTACAAAATATCCCCCAATAAACGTAATTATAGGCCATTGGACAGGATTAATCCAAACTTAATCTGGCCGATATAAAACAAGACTTGTGGCCCAGCTTCGTATTGTCAGAGACTTAAGAAACAGTTGGCGTTGCGCGACCGGTCGCTTCGTTTTTTCGGCCATTTGTCTCGAAACTTTTGAATTTTTTGGCATTTTTATTATATTATTCACCGTAATCCGATCGTATATACGAAGGGATTTATTTTGGGATGAATATACGATATATGTTGAAGGGTAAGGGGTTGTATGATAAAGAGATAAATATTGAATTTAAAATTTATCAAAAATAGAAATGTAATACGTTAATTCATGTAATATATAGTAAATACTGTACTATATATACTATGTGGCATATGCTAAAGCTAAGGCCATGGCTAAAACAAAGGTTAAAATTAAGGTTAAGGATAAGGCTTAGGCTAAGGCTAAGGCTAAGGCTAAAGCCAAGGCTAAGGCTAACTGTAGAGGTAGAGCTTGATGTAGAAAAGTAAGCCATAATAAATTAAAATTATTTAAAATTTTATTTACAAGCACACAGTATAAGTGAAAAGTATAATAAACAAAAATAACACCATAGTAAGTAGTGTTACAGTTAATATCTTTGGACTTGATCGTTGTCGAAAGCTGTAACTCTTTGGCCTCAGGCAATATTGTGCATTTTCATCAGTGATAAAGTATGGACATTGAGGGCGAGGGCAGAAGAACGGCCGAACCAGCGGTTTCCATTCGCTTTGACGACTGCCTGGCTCAATCAGCTGATTCCAAATATGGCCATGGAGCAAGGAAAGCCCACGAGTTGAGAAGTGGACACAGTCCACGTCTAGTATTGAGATGTCTGGACTGAAAATAAAAAATTTTATTTTATATTTAAAAAATAAAAAAAATATTTTTAATTTCGACTTACACTTTTTCATAGTAAACTGGTCGACTTTCGTCTACAACGTTGAGCACATCCACGTAGAAGTTTTCAATTTGATAATTTCGTTTTATCCGATTTTCTAACTAAAATTCACAAGTTAGAAATAGCAATACCCTACCCTACCCTACCCTACTCTACCCTACTTTATCTTACCCTACCCTCCTACACTATTTTATCACACCATGCTCTACCGTATGCTTCAAAACCCCTACCGTACCCTATATATTAAAGTCCTAAAACAACCGTACCCCTAATGTTACCCTAATATAACCAGTCCACACCCTTGTCATTATAATATGACATGTGCACCGTGCATCTCAATCACTACGACCAAGCATTACCTATTTTAAAATATAGCCTCAGCCTAGCTCGATACTGGTTCTTCTCTAACCCTACCTAACAAATCCCTCTTTCCATATTGCTTAATCACCCCTTCTTTAAGCCTTATACACACAACTCTAAATTCACAAAGCCTCCTATCCTATTACCTATTACTACTAGGCCATTAACTTCTGTGCCCCCTCTCAAAGAAATTTTCCAAATTTTATAGCTTTCTTACCGTAGTCCAAGCTCCGTCACCATTAGTAGGATCCAGTTTCCACAGATTTTGCATTTTTTTGCAAAAGAAAAACTTTTCCGATATTTCTTGATGTAAATTTAAATGTGCATTCCGAACCACAGTAACCATCGTTTTGTAAGGTAACTCGGAATGTAAAAGTTGAATTGATTGTAGAATGTCATCTGCTACTAAGTGAAAGGGTCGACCAATGTGAGCGTCCTAAAAATAAGTTTTTAGCTTGTAAGTTCATCATGACCTAGCCTGAAGCCCTTGCGAAGAACCATAGCTCTAGCCCAGAGCCCTAGCCCAACAAGTCGGCATGAAAACAATTAGGGGCGGATCGAACAGTTCCAAAAGTTTTCGACCCGGACCGGCATGAAGAAAATCGTAGATGGATCAGTCCGGCAAAAAACTGGAGATGGCTTGGTTTTACCTCTAATCTGATCCCACCCCGCTTTCTTACTGTACCTTACCTTATTATCAGCAATTCATTTTTAATACCTAAAAAGCCAGTACAACAGTACAAAAACCTACAAACAGTCCAGGGATAATAAGTATAAATTTCCATTTTTGATCATAATCAGCCGTTCGCTTCATCATTCGGATAACATGTCGTGTCCAGCTTTGAATATTGTTATGTGCCAGATTTGATTCAAAAACCTCCAGTTTTGCTCCCATCAAACGAAAAATCTTGGCCAAGGATGGGTTTGTCGACTGGGTTTGCATTGAGTTTAGGCATTGGTGGCGGAATACTGTAATTTTTATAATTTTAAAACTTTGTAACAATTTTGGAAAAAATGAAAAATGTTGACAGCGAGTAAGAACGGCGTATTTTACATAATTATTTATAATATCAATCAAAAAGTTTTCAAACAGCTAAAAGTACGACCTGCGCCCGTTGTTACGCAGGCTGCACAATGAAAAAAGGCGTTTTGGCGCTTAAAATTTCGTAAAAAAACAAAATGATATAACATATAACATATTATGTAAATTTTTTTTATACTCTGTTCCTATGGTGAAAACTTTGTTCCTATGGTAAGGCCTTGTGATTTTTCTTCGCGTATTTTACAAAAAAAATATTTTTTATATTATTTTAGGCTTACCTTGACCATCTCGCTCCAAATTCACAGTTTCATTCTCTCGCTTCACCAACTTTATCCCAGGACGACAAAAAGTGGTTCCATGCCCAATTTCCGTGTACAATTCGATATCATTCACTTTGACAAAATGAACCGAATCTGAAGCCGGGCTGATAAAATGACCACATTTCCGCAGATTTCCGTACAATCTGTCGTCGACTGGGAACTCTTGGCCAAAGCGAGCGGTCTGGTTTTGCTGGAAAGAAAGTTTTTACATGAAAAGGAAGATGATCACAAAACGGAAGTTTTTGTTATTTTTATGGAATTAAAAAAAAAGAACTTAGGTTACGTATTTATACAATATAATTATAGAATATTTTATTAAAGCTAAGTCTGTAAACAAAGTTATTGCGATTTTACCGAAATAATTCCGCAAAACTGCCATTTTTTGCTTTTTTCCGCTAAAACTTGTTAATCTGGCCTTGTAAACAAAGTTTCTGTCACTTTTTAAAAAATTATATAAAACCTGAATATCTTACCTGTATTTTGACAAAGCGGTGCCATTCCTCAACCAGTCCATCTGGTTCTTTTTGAGGGTCAAAGTTGAGTTCTAACGTTGGGAATGGGGCAAAAACGCACAGAATGTTATAAAATAGGTAATATACGACATGATACTTGCTCATTTTAGAATCAATAAGGTAGTTGGGAGATTGATCTTGGTTTTGACATTAATTTTGGTTAAAAATAATGGCATTACATTAGGTTTTTGAGTTTTTCTTTAGGGTAATATAGCAAATTTGCCTTTGATAAATGGATCTTTTTTGAAATTTTTAGTTGAAACAGTAGGTAAAAGCCTAAATTTGTAGGTTTATGAACAGTAATTTGAAATAATAGGTCAATAATGTAAAATTTATATAGGTATTAGTCCAAATTTTGTAGTTATAGTCAAAAGAATTCAAAAAACTAATGTTTTAGGTATAACCTACAACAACATGAATTTTAAACACGAAAAGTGTCGGTAACAACAGCTATGAAGCATAAAACCCTCATGGAAAGTATTGTAAAGTCGGCGTGAAGTTACCAGGTAACTTTTAATTACCGCGCTGGGGGGTTTTATTTCGAATACTTGTTTCTCTTTTTCAAAAAAAATCCGAAATTTAATCCGGCGAAAACTTTTTTCGGAATTTTTGTGGAATAATTGGATTATTGCAACATTTGAAATCAGTGGTAAAATACGAAGGGTCGTCATCATCATGCTATTTAAAAAAGTTTTGTTGCACGCTGCGAGTGACATGTTATACGACAACTTTCAAAAGTCTTTTTAGGCTAGGGCAGGCTAGACTAGACGAGACGGGGGTAGGGTAGAGTAGGCTAGGTGGGGTAAAGCAGGGAAGGCTCAAGTATTGTAGGGTAAACTAGGCTAAATTAAGCTAGGGTAGAGTAAGCAACAAGTTAAAGGTTGGGTAGACTAGACTAGGATAAAGTATGCTAGGTCAGATTAGACTAGAGAAGAGCAGGGTAGGGTAGGGTGATATAGGGCAGCGTAAGGTAGAGTAGGGTAGGGTAGAGTAGGGTAGGGTAGGATAAGGTAGGGTTGAGTTGGGTAGGGCAGGATAGAGTTGGGTATGGTAGGGAACGGTAAGGTAGAGAAGTGTATTTATGGTAGGGTATTGCTTTATTTTTTATTTTAAAAATTTTTTGTTATTTAAATTACTTTTCTGTAAGTAAAGTTACTCCGTTGAAAGTGACACGCGCTCCCAGAAGCCAAAAAGTCGATTATATTATAAACGACCAATTATAACATAATAAAATTTATATTAACGACCAATGTTCTTTCACTTATTTTTTATTTATTTTGTTGTAAACAATTAAAAAGTAATGCAAAACAATTAAGCAAAGTAACTGGGCGGCCGAAACAATCGGCCCTGGGGGCAGAGTAAGTGGGATCGTATGTTGGATACAATCATGTGTTAATTACGATGGTATATGGGATACAATAGCTTATATAGGGCAATGACAAGTTGTACTACATAGGCTAGAGAGATATTATGTTAACTAGTACAATATTAAGGCGTTTAAAAAGTTTTGTCGTTTTTTTTCTATGCAAACGCATTTAAAATGACGACAATACTTTTTTAAACGTTTTAATATCGTATGTTTAAATACAAATGAACACGTATTTTAGTTGGCGTAGTCAGGCGGAGACAACAATGTAGTTTTGAACAAGATACGATGGTATTCACAGTAGTAAAAGTTATTTATATAGTGGTGATTTGCGACATGGGTACTATAACATCAGATTATGAAAAGTAAACAGAAAGTGACAAAAATAGGTAACAATATAGATGTGAGGACAATATAACAATATCCTTCAAATACAATGAAGATACGACAATGTAAAACTAAAATACTATAAATTTTGCGAACTTATGTAAGACCGAATTTGATTAACATTACCATGCGGTACTAGACAGTACTAAATATGCAAAAAGGTTGATTATGATTAATATACAATATGAACATGACATTTTGACCTTTAAAACAAGGTTATATGTACCATATAGGAGGGTTAAAAAAGTCTTGTCGTTTATTTCCACTGGTTTTAGCGGTAAAAAACGACTAGACTTTTATCTTAGGCAGTTCAAATAATTGTGAGCCTCCTAACGTCGCAAATTTGCTTTGAGAGAGGACTCAGAATTTTTTGAACAACATAGTGTCACTCCGATCTGAATGTTTAGGGTAGGGTAGTTTAGGGTAGAATAAAGTAAGTTTTACCACCAAACCCTCAGTTAATAGCCATTGACCATACACTGCCATAGCCACTCGAAGCAATCGAATCGATCGAGTTGCGTCGTTCCGGCATGAATGGCACACGGTCAGGTGATAATAGGAATGACACTCGTCGTGAGACGGAGCACATCTCCTCGGCACAGTCAAAGTCATCGTCGTCGGAGGTGATAACGATGTCTGGCATGCTGAGCACGTCCTCCATGTCCCAGGCTTGCTCCAGCTTCCACCAGTCGGCTGCTTCTGTACCGGCCATTCGAGTTCTGGAATGAGGTTGATTAGATGTTGTTATTGACTTGAAGGGGGGGGGGATAACTTAATTTGGTACTGACTGGTATTGTAAAAGTTAATTAATTTAGGTCGTACTGGATAGTACTGACTTAATTATTACCATTTTACGAGGAATTCAATGTAAATTCATACTGTTTTTAAGCTTATTAGACTAATTTACATCAATTTAAGCCTAATTAATCACTGTTTTTAATCCTTTTAGCCTAATTGAGCCCTATTTAAGCCTAAATAACCACTTTTCTATAATTCACTTAATCATCCTAAATCTTTACTTCAAAGACTCAGCCTTATCACAATAAGTTGTGACTACAATAACTTAATTAACAATACAAAAGACCTACTACAATATAAAACCAGTGTCAGCTGACAAACATCCTAGCCGTGACTTGGAATAACTAATCTAATTTGACCTAATTTAACACGTACTATATTGTACCTTGTTATTTTTTTATTGAGTTTCTAAATTTTGTGCACAGTAACACAAGATACGACAACGACAAATTGAATTAATCATTGGTTTTTTCAATTTTCAAAATGTCATAACTTTGGAAAAAGTGTACTAAGTGTACAAAAATATAATTGGTACCGTTAGAAGGGTTATGATCTTAGCTTTCTAATTTTGTGTAATTTACTATATTACTCATGGTATACAACAAGTTATGACGAAATAGCTGGCTAAGAGCAGAAGATTTCAAAAATTAGACATGGGTTTACTAAAGTGCCATATATTTTGACTCACGATCCCTATATTAGCAATTTTGGTGTTCAAACATAGCTTAATGTCTCAGCTTTACTATGGTATAAGAGAGCATATATTAGCTTGTTATCTTAACTATGACATATGCAGTTAAACTTAATTTGGTATCAAAGTTAAGATCAAAATTTCCAAAATTTTTCAAAAATTTACCTGAAGATAGCGTCCATTCGATCGCTCTGCTCCCTCGACATGTAGTTAGTCCAGTCACGGCTTCCGCCTCTCCTGATAAAGTCTGAGGTCAGGTGTTGGGCAGGGAAGTATCGTTCTTGATTCTTTTTCATCGAGTCAATCTTGCTGTCTTCCACAATCTTGGTCAAAATTTCTTGGTTTTCGACCAAATTCTTGGCGTTTCCACCCAAAAACTGGCCGATTTTGTAGACTGCGGTTTCCAAATCATCAAACATGTCTTCATATTTTAGGAATAGAACATTCTCGTCGTTGATGTGGGGTAACCAGCCGAGTAGATGGTCGTAGTAGTCGCCGAACGCGAGCTGACCGGAGACGAAAAGTTCGAAGAAAACGTCGAAATCGCCTTGGGCCCAGTCGTAGATCTTGAAGTTTCGGTTGTGGAAGTAGTAGCTGGTGAGGCAATCCTTTGGGTTTCTGGCCACAAATATGTATTTGCCATTCTTGCTGACCGGTGTGTTCGTGAAGCTGAAGTGGGTCTTCAGAAGGCGTGGGTGGGTCAGGGAGTCGCAGTATTCGGCTCCCATCTTCTCGATCATTGGCGATGTGAAGGACAATTCTGAAACTGCGGAGTGATAAAATAGGGTGAGGACCATCTTACCTTCGCCCTCGCCACCGTACTGGCTGTTCAGGAGCTGTGAGCAAATGTGCTGCACCCATGTGGTACCGCATTTAGGGTAGGTGCAGACAAAGATGTCGGTGTCTTTGACTTGGAGGGTCTTTGAGGATCTGACGTTAGCGGCTTTGAAGATTGGAGGCCAGATTTCGCCGTCAATCACACACTGCTTTGGCTGGCCGAGAGGCTGGTAGACGTGCTCTTCTGGGCGGGTCTTGATGGGCTGAAAAGAAAAGGTTAATATTTTACATGGGACTTTCAAGATGTGCTCATCCTGTGATAGTATGAAAAAAAAATTTTGTTTTTTATCTAATATTACTGTTCTTACAGTACCGTAAAAATTTAAATTTGACTTTATAGTACTACTGTGGCACTTGTTAAAGTTAATCAATTATGGTCTACTATCATTTTCCAAAGTTTTTAGTATGGTACTTTTTGAAGCTCTGGTACACTTGGTACAGTACAAAATTTAAAAAAATGTTTTGACTGTATCAATCTACAGGTTTTTACCTTTTTAACAAGCTACCGTACGACGCACAGTATTGTTATGAAAATCTACTACAGCTCATCAAAAACAACCCTTACCCAAACCTCTATGATAACATCAAAACCCCTCTCCTTACCTCACACAAGCTCAGCTTTTCAGCGAGCGTCTCCAGACTGGGCTGTAGGAAGGATTTCTTGGCTGGAATCATTGTAGCTGCCATTGCTGTAAAGTGTTAACAATATAACAAGTTCGTGAAGAACAATTTACATTTTCTCGCTCGGCGCGCGCTTATATATCAAGGTGAAGGTAATTTGATTTGGCCACCTGAAGGGCGGGCCAAATTTGCCCTAAAGGGGTTGTATGCTTATTAAGGGAGGTTAATTGTTTGGCCAATAAAGTCAACTGTTTTATTATAACGAAATCGCGGGTTTACGCTCTTTCTTTGCGCACTCTCTATGGTTTTCGCAATATATCGAGAGGTTGCGGGAAAATCGTTGTATCTCTGCCATTCTTTATCGTATATCAAACATTTTTTGGAAAGTTGAAGATGATACTATAGTGTATAGTGTGCTGTAATTTCAAAAATTTTTAATATTTGACCATTGAGATATAAAGGGCACAAAGTTGAAGATAATCACAGTGATGGTCTTGAGAAAAAAAGTCATTTTTAAGCCAAAAGAACGCTAATTTTAAATTTTTTAAGTATACAAAATCCTACAATATCAAATTTTATAACAGTTGTGATCATCAGTTTCTGTTATTTCCCTTTTTCTTTTTGCTTTGCCTCAAAGTCTTGTCTCTCTAATCTCGCGCTATTTCCTTTCTTTTTTTCTCTAACCACTCTCTCAATGCCTTTTCATTCTCTCACCCAATCCAGCTAGTATACTTTTTTATGCCCAATTTGAAAATAAAGCTACTAATTTGATTGTCCCAACTTACTACGCTTTACCAGAACAGAAAGACCCGCCTATAACAATATATTAAAATATTGTTCTAGAACTGTATAACTCAACGGAAATCAGCTGCCTCTCAATCTTATACGTTCTATGGTATCTCTATGTCTCTGCATATCATTTGACTACTATACTTTCACAATATTTTGGCCATTTTTAAAAACTTAAGATCATTAGTATAGTAATGTAAAGTTAATTGTAGACAATTTCAAAACAATTGTTATTAGTATTAAAAATCATTTTGTTACTCGGAAATGTGGAAAGATCTTGTTAATCAAATTGAAACAACTTTAATGACCAAAACAGTAAACAATTAGAGAATGTAGGCAAAAAGTAACAATATTTTGATTGAATTGTTATGTTGGGTAACAGCTTTTGCAAAAAATATACACAAATTAGGTTATATTTTATGTTCTCTGCTATTCTAAAACATTAAGAAAAAGAAAAAAGTTAATTTTTATTTATGGAAAGGTCTAAAATGTCATATATTGTATGAAAAAGTGACAAAAATAAGAGCAAAAGGTCAATGCCCCGTGTGAGGATCGAACTCACGGCCTTCAGATTATGAGACTGACGCGCTGCCACTGCGCTAACGAGGCACACGTTCGCAATACTTTGTAAGCGTTTCCTTGAGAGATAAGATGATTGTTTTAGTTGATAAAGTGATAAATTAAAAGTTTTTTACTAAAAAAAATTTTATGTAGACTTATTAGTCATCTTTATGACATTTTTAACATTTTTTAAACTTTTTAAATTTTGAGTACAATAGTATTATTTTATAGTACCACTATTTTTTATAGTACCAACTGTACAATTTATACCAAAATCACAAGTTTTTTTTTTTTTATTTTTTTTTCCAAAAATTTTAAGTTTAGAAAATGACCTTCCTCCTCACGGTATATAAAACTAAAGACCCAGGTCTCAAATGTAAGGGTCAAAACCTGTTTAAAATCAAAAAATTCATCAAATTGCGATGATTTTTCTCCCCAAAATTGCAAAAATTCCGAAAACTGACAACTCTTACAATTGCGGAAATCTCTCCACTCAGCGACTTTTATACTCGCTTTGCCGCGACTTCTATTTTTAGGTTGGGAGGTTTGTTTTGATTGATGCGACGTTTAATTTGTCGTATTACGCTTTGTCGTATCTTTAAAAAATAAAAAAAAGTTTGTCAGGTTAATGAGAGATTGTGGTTTGGTTTGAGAAGTGTATGACTGCCCTAGCCTTTGGAGCCCTAGCCCTGTGCCCTAGCTAAACGCCCTAGTCCAAAGCCCTAGCCCAGAGCCCTAGCCCTAACTCAAATAGCTTAAACAAGTCTTAGCCTAGGCTAAATTAGGTTTATCCTGTCCTAAATTATCCTTATCGTAACCTAAATCAACCTTAGCTAAGCCTAAATTAGGCTTTCTTTAATCTAATTAAGCATTGTTCTAGCCTAAAAATTGAAAATCTTAGATCTTTGTAACTCCCTTAACTATATTTTCCAATTTCCGGTGTCACACTCTAATCACCACCCAACCCACCGTTTATTGTTTACCTAATTTTATTCAATTAAACAAAGTTTTAAGGAGCAAAGCCTGTCAACAAAAGGATATTGAATTAGTTTGTCTATTCCAATATAATAGCTAGCCTAAACCAAGTATCACTGCAATAGTCGACCAAGAATTAGGAACAACAACTACATTAAAATATGTTAATTTACTATTACATTAACATATTGTTAATGTAATAGTAACAATTCTAGGTTTTTAGTAAGGATAACAATTCCAGGGCTTGTTTTCGTGTGGAAATGGCTGGTTTTTGAGGGGCAAAGTCTGAGTTTTTGTTTTTAAACTTCCAAATTTTAATTTTTCGAATTTTTTTTTATTTTGAGAAATTTACTGCTATTTTTATAAATTTCAGTATAGCCTAGTCTTAGCTTCAGCCCTGGCCTTATCTTTAGCCTTACATTTAGCCCTAGACTTAGCTCTACGTTTTAATATAAAAATGGTAGTATTTTTTTTATTTCAATGCTATTTTAAATGTCATTTTTAAATTTTTTTATCAATTAGTCATAAGAAAAAAATGGTGATCTTTGAATTAACGACAAAAAAAGTTTTTTAAAAATATTTTTTACGACGAAAGAAGGAAGATACGAAGACGGAAGAGACAAACATACGACAAACAATAAATAAAAAATAAACAATTTGGGCGTGGTTGAAAAGTGAATTTTTAAAATTCTTTAAGGTCGAATTAATTTACAATGAGTACTACCTAAATTTTTGTAATTTGTGGACCCTAGCCAAAGCCCTAACTAAAGACCTACCAAAAATACAATTTACAATCAAGAAACTTTAATGATTACACTAATGTAAGGCATAAATGCCCGCAAGTGAAGTTAAAAGTAAGGCTGAAACGTGTGCCTCGTTAGCGCAGTGGCAGCGCGTCAGTCTCATAATCTGAAGGCCGTGAGTTCGATCCTCACGCGGGGCATTAATCTTTTTTGAACTTGCTTTTTAAAAAAAACTTTTTTGTTTACTATTCGTGCTTTACATGACCTTCTTAAAAAATTTTATTAGTAAAATACGAGTATTGCAGTTGCAAAATTTGTATTGAATTATTAGGTTTGTGTAACACTTTTTGCAAAAAACTACATATATAGAGTTTTATTTTATGTTCACTGTAATTTCAAAGCAAGAAAAATAATAAAAATTTAATTGTTATTTATAAGAAAGCAAAAAATATTATAAATTATTTAAAAAAGTGGTAGCAATGAGCACAAAAGATCAATGCCCCGTGTGAGGATCGAACTCACGGCCTTCAGATTATGAGACTGACGCGCTGCCACTGCGCTAACGAGGCACACATCTTGGGTTTTTTTTAACTTTACTTCTTTTTTAAAGTAGTGTTATCGGAGTAGTTGGTTGATTGTAAATTGTAATTTTCAAGCGCTTTTATATTTTTTTAATCAAACTTTATATTATAGTATACATTTTCAAAGCAAAAACTTTACTTATTGTCACTATTTTGAAACAGTCACATGAAAACAGCTAGATGTTGTCAAAAAATAAAAAATTTAATTTTGTCACAAAATTAGTATCAACACAAGGTCAGTACTTTTAAATTAAAACGTGCTATACAGTACGAAGCTAATTGCAAAACAAAAAAAAGTTTGATTCCTTCAATTTCCAATCAATTTTGATGTAAACGCTACGTGCTTTGGTAATAACATTAGTAGTGGAAGCCGAAAAAGTATATTAATGTAGTGTCAGTTCAGAATGTTGAACTGTGATTTGATTATGTGAGACAAGTTTTATATTAAGCATATAACGGCATTATGATGTAGCGTTTTATAATTAAAATAAATATGGTTTTGGGCTTAGGTGAGGGCTAGGGCTAAGGCTAAAACTAGAGCTAAAGCTAGAGCTAGGCTGAGGCCAGGACCAGGACCAGGACCATTTTGGGACTCTGGGCTAGGACCAGGACCAGGACCGGGACCAACACCAGGACCAGGACCAAGACCAGGACCAGGACCAGGACCAGGACCGGGACCAACACCAGGACCAGGGCCAAGACCAAGACCAGGACCAGGACCAGGACCAAGACCAGGACCAGGACCAGGACCAGGACCAGGACCAGGACCAGGACCAGGACCAGGACCAGGACCAGGACCAGAACCAAGGACCAGGACCAAGGACCACGACCAAGGACCACGACCAAGGACCAGGACGAGGACTAGGACCAGAACCAGGACCACGACCAAGGATCAGGACCAGAACCAGGACCAGGACCAGGACCAGGACCAGAACCAAGGACCAGGACCAAGGACCACGACCAAGGACCACGACCAAGGACCAGGACGAGGACTAGGACCAGAACCAGGACCACGACCAAGGATCAGGACCAGAACCAAGATTAAGCCCAAGACCAAGACCAGGACCAAGACCAGGATCATTTTGGAGCTCTGGACTAGGACTAGTGTTAGAGTAGTGACCTGTATTTGCTATATTTTACTCTACTGCTACAAACGTCACAACAAACGTATCGTTTCCACCTTTCCAAGTACGAATACTGCAAAAACTATGACTAACCTTCAAATTCTAAGAACAGTCTTAACTTCTACGTAGCTTTGGCTAAACTTAATTGAATATTTTTGTACACACGAACTTTGTCAATAAGATTTACTGCGTCATAAGGACATGTTTAAAGTCATTTCGACTTGTTGTTATAACGTTAGCTATTTATGTTATTGCCAATTTAATAGGGTTGTTATGAGTGTAAGTGTCCGCAAGGCTTTTAGTATTACTTGAGAAAAGTAAAAGTGTCGAAAACATGATTTATGTCATATGACTTTGTATATAATATATAGGCTTTCGTTATAAAAAACACTATAGAATTTCAATTTTTTTATAGTCTAAAATACGTCTGCTCCACTTCTTGTTTTCATAAAAAATTAATTTTAAACTTGTTACGTCACAGCCATAGCATATACATGTAAATGATATGTATATGTAAATGATAAATGTGTATTCTGTAACTTCAGTGACTAGACCGACCCTTAACTGTATTATAGTCATTATACTATATGTTTTTGTTTTGTAAATTTGCAAGTGAACTCAATTAAAACTTGACATTTAATTAAAGTTTATCAAATTGAACTGGTACGTAATAGTATAGTATGGCTAACAGTTACACTTCGACTCTCTTCTGAACCACGTGGTACTTGTATTCTCAAAAGCTCAGGCAGGGCTAGCGTAGTTATGTAAAAAAGAAGCGAAGTACCTAATTTATACCGTATTTTACAAAAAGCATAATACATGCTAAGATTAGACTTGTAAAGGTGCCGGGCCTAGTGAGCCCTCTTCCCGGTCTTTTATGACAACGTACAATCAAACCTCTTCAGTATGACACTCAAGGTACTAGTCAAAATCCTTCCTTCTAAACAGGGGGTCGCACTACCTGTGTACTTGATCTATATCCAAATACTTTTTCATAATTATTCTATTGCGAAGAGCAGTCAAAAAGCTGTCATTACAAAAAGTGTGTCACACTATTGGAAGTCATCATCATACATGAAAAGGTATGATTATACCAAACAATTTTAAATATGCGCCCGATCCAGAAGATCAAGCATTCCAAAATTTATTTTCAGCCACATAAGAATGAGCTGAAAAAAGTACCAACCTCGATTGGACTTTACAAAGTCGAAAAACAAATATCTCTGCTTTCTTTTTATAAAATCGAACCTTGTCTTTTGATTGGGTTCGCCAAACCAACAGCAATTTTTTCAAAGAGCTTTCTATCTTCTCTGTTTCTCTAACCGCTCTCCCTTTACTTACTCGTCTCTCTCTCCGTTTTGATCTTTTTTAAACATTTAGGTAATAAATAAAATTATAAATAAGACAATATTGTACTTTGTTGTGCTTTTCAATCATATTTAAAAATATTTTTAATATCCTTATTTTTAAAAAGTTTTAAATAAAATTTTTAAAATAAAAAATGAAAAAAAGTTAACTATTAAGTTTGACCTCAAAAAACACGTCTTTAAAAACTAAATTTGTCTAGTAATTAAGGAAACCTTGTACGTATTGCAACGTTAATAAATACATCATAGTGTTTATGATACTTTAGAGCACTAAAAAATAACGCTAGTGGTTTTTGAGTACCCAAAAGCACTCAAAATTACTTGTTTTTTGAACTTCTAAGGTCTATATGGCTAAAAATTGACTTAAAACAATAATTTTTAGTTTGAACTAAAACTACCTTAGCTTTCGTCTAGCCCTAGCTGTAGCCCAATTTCTAAAAATTGATTTCAAGACATCTTTTAGTTGTTATCCTACAGTACCAAATTATATATTATAAAAAAGAAACTTGCTGTAAAAAATTTTTGCAGCAAAACTATAAAGCATATACTACAGTAAAAAATAATAATCAAATTGGATGTTAGAGTAGGCGATATTAAGAAATAATATAAACTATTCCAGCAAAGCAATCAAATTATGTACACCTTTGCAAATGTAGACATAACTGTGACCGGAAAGGCTAAAGTACATGTAGTTATAAATAATACACAACTATTATATATTCTAGCATTTTCACTGGTATCACTTTGTGCCATGCTTGTAAAATCTAATAAAGTTAAAGTTGAACTTTGATAAATCAATTTACAAGCTTAAACGTATTGTGGATCTGCCCTTCCCTGCTCTAGCTCTAGCCCTAGCTCTAGCTCTAATTCTAGCTTTAGCTCTAGCTCTAGCTCTAGCTCTAGCTTTATCTCTAGCTCTAGCTCTAACCCTGCTCCATCCTGTCCTATCCGTATTTTAGCTTTCTACCTAACCCTGCTCTTTTCCTACCCTAGCCTGTCCTAGTTCTACTCTAGCCTTTTCTTCCCTACCTTTGCCTTACACTAGCCTTACCCTATATATCGAGTATTTTTTTCTACCAAAACTCGACTATTCAAACCATGATCTTACCTTACTTTAGTTATATCATAGCCTAAGACATTGCCATTGGCCTTTTGTCTATTCTTGCCCTAGGTTTATCGTTTTCATTTTTTGAACCAAGCTTAATAAAAAACTTTATAATAATTTTAAAAAATTAATTTACATAGCCGTTCTGCAGTTATTTTGGCCCTTCTTAGTATACTTTGCAAACATCATGCAGCTTTAATCATTGCCTGAACTCCTGGCTTTGTAACCAAGACCAAAAGTCATGTAGGACTTAAATAAAAAATTAAACAAATCAATGAAAAAAATGCAAACGTTAACAAGGTTTAGGGTTCCAACCAAATTTACTTACTTTACTGCTATTACAAATTACTTTTTGCATTTTTGAAAGTGAGGATAAACAAGCCTACTGTACATTCAAAACTTATTAAATTAGTGCCAAAAGTAAAGTTAAATTTCGAAAATTGGTTAAAGTTGTACTGTAGGCTTAATTGAAAACAATGTGTGGAAATTTTCGATTTTAATTGGTTTGAGTTTGTTCCAGAAAGTTGGAAAAGTACAAATAATAGCTAATGAGATTAAAAACATAATTTCTTATTTAGAATTTTAAAATATTTCACATTGTTATTATAAATGTATAGTGAAACTCCTGTATAACGAATGGCTTGGAGATTTTTTTTGTAAAAACAAATTTCGTTATTGAGGAGTTTTGAATGCACTGTGTAATAGTTAGCCGAGGTATCAAAAGTTGCTCGTCATATCTTTTTACCATTAAGTAGTTTATTATACAGGAATTCCAAAGTAAGTTTTACCTTACATTTCACTCTAGCTCTCCTTTGCTATGACAGAGCTAAAATAAGGCTATATGTCGTATGGCTAATTTGGAGAAGAGCTGAATAAAGGGCTTATTAAAGCAAGGATAGAGCAGAGATATGCCCAGAAGACACAGCTAAGAAGCAATGTAGCAGGACTAAGCTAGGGCTAGAAGGTAAAACAAATTAAGACTAAATGAAGGCTAATATAGAATTAAAAACGCTAGGGTAGAACTTATCATAATTTTTTTAATTTTTTTTGTTTACAACACCATTCTATATCTGTATCAAAGATTTTTAAATATTATCATCATCTTTTTGAATTTTACACTGAGCTTTTTCTTTTAATTTAAAATTTTTGAGTTAAAAAAAATAATTTTAAAACTTGCTTTGAAATTTATAATTTTGAGATTTACTATTATATTTTTCAAAAACGTAACTATTGATCACATTCCCTAACGTGGTTAAATGCAGAAAATTTAACCAAATTAATTATATTGGAAACAAATATTTACCACAATTCGAAGCCCCAGAACGTTCTGCCACAGCACGCGCTGTTACAAACAGAGATCTGCCTTAATTGATTTCAACAAAGTAAAGTTGATTAAAAGTAAAAATAACTACTCTACCCTACCTTAATTTACCAAAACTTGTTAATCGCGGTACTGAGAATAAGTTGCGTTACCTTGGGCCGTTTTTGATTTGATTATAAGTTCTGGAGTCACGCTGATGAAAATGTAATTTGCCTTATGGTAAAGGGCAGTTGGGCTGTTACGTAAAACAAACATAATATAATTTATCGTACGCTACTACATGTTTATAGTAATTAGTGTAAACATATAGTAAACATCAATACCCTATCCTACGTTACTTTACCCTACCCTATCCTACCCTACCCTACCGTTAAATTAAAAAAAGTCTTGTCGCAAACGACCGTGCAAAAAAAAACAAATAAACATCAAAACTTTTACAGAAGACAATGCTTGCATTAAACCTATTATATTTTCATATTTTAATCATTAAAAACCTTAATTTAAGCAAATCCGTGGCCAGAAAGCCGAACAGTTTTAGGTATAACTATGGCCATTTTAAATGATGTACTGATGGTTAGATTCGCCGTTCTTGATATGAAAAAACTTATAATATCTATTAAATTACTGAAAATCGAGCTTAGCTTACACAGCACTTCAAAACGCTTTAAAATGTATAACATAAGTAGAAGATCAATAAAACTACACTTTAATAATAAAGTTAAAACACAATGCCAAATTGGCGCAAAATTTGAATATCGATTGTTTAAAAGACAAGCGGAGGCTACATTAATTATAATAACTTCTTTTGTTATATAATAAGTTCTTTGTCCATGAACATTAAACCATGCTATTGATTTTACAAAGACTACATATAAAACTTGCGAACTGCTTGCGCTCGCTGGGTGTAAAGGGGTTGTTTTAGGTAGCGTTTGACGTAGCCACGACAAGCGTAATGTAAATTAGGCGCGAGGGTTTTGGCGTTGAATTAAGCTTAAGGGATCATGAGGACAAATAATCATTCCAATTCTTCGACTACCTTTGTGTTGGCAGAACTTCTTCGACTAATCTATTAAAAGATGAAAACTTTCAACGGACTTCCAAGTGAGGTAGGTATTATTAAACGATTTTTTGTTTTATTTGTTCACAGTTTAGTAGTATCTTTAGTACTATATACGGTAGTGTTTTGAATACTGTATAAATAATATTTGTTGTTCCCAGAAGTTCGTCTAAAATTTTTTTTGCTTTGTTCTCAAAAAGTACTAGATCTAACTGACTGTCAAGTTCAAATACAATGCAGTTTTACGTCTAGTACTTTTTGTAACGATTTGGCGTAAGACTGGCGGAGGCTTGACGGACGACAATAAAATTATGTTACGAAGCCTAAACTCGGGAACTTCAAACTTTTTTTTTAAAATTTTGAGACTCAAATAAATTGCAATTTTATGTCTTGTATTTTTTTTGGCAATTCGGCGGAGCATCGGCATAGACTCGGCGGACGAAAAAAAGTTTTGTTCTGAAGCCAAAACCTGGACGTTCTCAACTTTTTAAGTTTGAGACTTAGGTTAACCCATTATTATTAAAATAAAAATATGTTTTTCTCCGCACTGGCGGACGCCGACTTCTCTTCGGCGAAGGCCGTAACTCCGTTTATTTTTAATATTTTTTTTTCAAACAAAAAACAGATTATTTTAAAATACATTTAAATACATTTAGATGTGGCAAAAAATTTTTGTGTATTTGGAAAGCATCGACACCGTGGCCGCTCTTGCGACGATCAACAAAAACCTGTACAAATCGATCAACAGGGATTTCAAAGCGATGTGCTACCAGAATGGTATCTACAGGTTTGATGGAGAAACTTGGGCCACCGCTTTCACCATGTAATTTTTTTTTACAATCTTTTTTAAATTGCATAATTTAACAATTACAAATAATAGCTGTAATTAGTTTCACAAAAGATATTTAAAAAATTACTTCTGAAGTTGTTAGTAGCACTCACCCATAGTTTTTGATATACATAAATTATTTTCATTTGTGTTTTAGGGCAAAGTATCGCGCTTTCGACTTTGAGAACTCAGATGTCTTCTGTTGTTCAACTACTGGAAAAGTAGTTTTTCCTGTGTGGCCAAATTATGGCCTGATTTCTCCCATCGATTTTGGAAATTTTCAATTTGAAATGATCGATTTGAAACAGCACTTTGATGACACCATTGAGAATATCCGTTTTGTAAATAACGGAACTCAACTTATCATCATTTGTAAGTGGGTGCTTGGAACAACTACGTATGAACAACCCGCTTACCTGTTTGACTTGGCCACACAAAAAATTATAAAGAAATTCAAATTGACCCACTTCCATCAAGGGATGTACATCGACTTAGAAGAAAACAACAGCCTCTACGATTCGTTCAGTAATAAGGAATTCCTAATCCCCTATGATATGCAGTTTGTTGAGTGTAAATACACTGACCGACAGAGTGAACAACGGTATCTACCAATCTTGGATCGATCACGAGAGGAACTCTACATAAAAGACATGAAGACCGACGAGATGTTCAATTTGTGCAACATTACGGCTCGATCGTTCGACCATTGTTTCCTTGAAGACCTGGAGTTCTTGTATATTAAGAGTAAGTTTATTTGTACTTATAGACAATTAATATGTAGCGAGAAAAAGCAAATTGGTTTTTTTTGCAACTAATTAACTTGTTTTATAAGCTTAATTTTAGATGAAGCCAACGGACAATATGGCTACAACAATATACAAATATATGATTTGAAGACGAGAGAAAAAGTATTTGAACTGCCATACCATAAAGGAAAAGATCACTGGGCATGTATTTCAAGTTATGCCATACAGAATTGGAACACAGGCGACGTAAGTGTTAAAAATTAAGATTATAAGTTTATATAGTCAAAAATTCGTAATTGTACTCAGTATGATAAACTACTTTGCCAATGTATAATATATCAACTAATACGAAAAAACAATAGAAAACAATTGCCAATATACATTTTATTTTTTTCAGTGCGTCTTGTACAATCCAAGAAAAGAAAAATTTTATTTGACTGTCATCAATTGCTTGGCTTCAACATCACACGTACACAGATATGGAAACGCCTGTGACTTTTCTACCCTCGGCAGAAAAGAAGGCAGAAGACGTTTTGCGCAGTGCTTAGGTGATGTGGCTAATGAACATGCAACATTCTTTCTGGATTATAAAAAAGGTAATTCAAAGAAGCAATTAACTAACATTATTATAACTAACGTCGTTGAAATACCCATATTTATGTTAAGTTTAAAACATCATAATTAAATGATGGCTCGTTGTAGACACAACCAAAATATTGGTTGAAGTAGCTTAACTAAAACTGAATAAAGCATTTTCAGATAAACTCAGGTTGATGCCGCTGGCAGTAGATTGGGACCAGACGCCATATATGGACGACATTTGTTATAACTGTTGTACATGTGTGAACTGCAACAGTACGGCGATAGTACTGCAAATGTAAACGAAGAAATGAAGAACTGTCTTATGGACGAACTGAAGTACTTGAGAAAGTGCAAAGGACCAATGTAAATAAAAAAATGCTATTAAAAATTCAATAGAATTTTATAAAATAAATTATTTATTAAAATTGAAGTTTTTTATCATAAACTAATTTGAGACAGAAATTAAGCACAATTAATAAGGATTTTCTGACAATTGGCACACACTTGCAACTTTCTTTTAATTTTTTTTTAAAAATAAACAATGTCACTATCAAGTTTTTTCAAAATTTTTAAAATGACTTTTGACAAAATTATAAAAGCTAGAATTTTCAATATCCTAACATTTTTACAATGAAATTTTTAATAATGAAAAAACCATTTTTTGACTATCTTTCGCACTGAAACCGGCTTAACAGTGATTTAATAAGACGGCCGAAAATTGGGTAATATCGATTGATTCGGGTCTATGTCGTGGTATTCGGGAATCTACACCAAGGTTCGAAATGTGCGTGACAAACGACCCGTCTTCGGCTACATTCTCCACATTCTACTGAATCTACTGCTTTCGTTTCAGATCATTTTGTTCGCCTATTGGTGAGTTTTCATCGATTTTTGTTGGAATTTTAGTTTTATAATATAAAACCCATTATTTTTGCATCAAAGGTTTTCAAGGCAGGATGAGTAGAAAAGAAATGGTTGATTAAATAATGGTAAATTTAGGTATAGTTTTTCATTATAAAATAACGGTAGGGGATAGCAAGATATGGTAGGGCAAGGTATGGTAGGGTATAGTGAGATAGGTAGCGGCAAAATTTTAAAGCGCGTCATTATTTTTAATCAAAAGTTCAGAAAACGTTAATACTGTACAATTTCAGCGTATACGTGTATGTCTTTGTGCTATGTGGGAAAATGCTGACAAGTAACATTCAAGCCTCGATCTACCTCTTCGTGTTTGGATCCTTGACCTTGATGATGGTATGGTCATTAGTACAGACGATATTCACGTCAGTCTCGCGAGTACCGGCCATTTACTATGTGGACGAGGCGACGGACAAGAAGTTGAAGGAAGTGACACCATTCGCCAACGATCGATACGTGCCTGACAAGTCGAGTGCTACACAAATTGAGGATCAGATCAAGATTCTAGTGCAGGTGGTAGAGCAAAAACATTTGTTGATGGTCGAAACTGATCATTACGGGAGAGTAAGGTAGGTTTGTGTTTGGGTAATATAGTGTGAAATTAGATTTTTTTTTATTTTAGGTAAGATAATATTAAAAATAGTTTTTTTTGCTTTTTAGGTAAAATAATAATTGAAAAATAGCTATTTTTGATATTTAGATAACAAAATATTTAAAAGTATCATAAAAATTTGAGCACGAGCTCCAAACATAAGTAAAGCACAATTTTTTAAAAATTAATTACATAAATTAAACTAATGTTTGGGTAGAATTAACAAGGAAGTGACAAATTATTTAACAATGTTTGTCTATGTTACAAAAGTAATTTAATAAATTTAGCTTTGTTAAATAGTGTACGAAGCGTTTTACACGTAGGGCTGCAAAGATATTAAGCATCATGACGTTTTTCCTAAATAACGTGATTTAACTGCTATTTTTATAAATGTTATGGCAAAAAAAATAAAATTTTTACAAAAATGACAAAATTTTCTTAAAATTTTTTTATGTTGGAGTTGAGACTAGGATTAATGAAGAAGCTATGTAGAACTGAAGCTAGGGTTGAGGCTGGAGCTGAAGCTAGGACTGAGGATAGAGCTGAGGCTAAAACTGAAGCAAGCGCTGAGGCTAAAGCTGAAGCAGGGGTTGAAGCTAAAGCTGAAGCTAGGGCTGAAGCTAGGACTAACACTAGGGCTGAGGCTAGGGCAGAAGCTAGGGCTGAAGCTAAATCTAAGGCTAAAGCTGAAGCTAGGGCTGAGGCTAATTAAAAAAGTCTTGTCGTTTTTTGACAGTCAAAGCTAGGGCAAAAGACGACAAGACTTTTGCCTTTCTTAAGCAAAAAAGCTTTTCTGCAAAAAATTTTAAAGTGTACTTTTTGTAGGTATTGTTATCAATGTTCCTTGCTAAAACCGGACCGGTCACATCACTGTAGTTCGTGCGGATTCTGTGTTGTTAAGTACGATCATCACTGTCCTTGGATCAACAAATGTGTGTCACACAGCAATTACAAGTTCTTCCTACTGTATTTGTTCTACGGATGTGCATTGGTGATATGGTAATTAAATGAGGAATGCGGAGAGAGTTGAAGGTGTAAAAGATAGGATAATACTACTTTATTTTTACTTTTAGGACCCTTGCAACCAGTCTAGAAGGTCTGATACGATACTTTGTGCATCAGAATTGGGCTGAAGAAGCGGGCTACTTTGTACAACTCTTGATCTCGATGATAATGTGCGCAGGATTTGGCTACTACCCACTAGGCGAACTGTTGATATACCACTACGGTCTGATAGCACTAAACGAAACAACATGCGAACAGGCGAAACCACCCATTATACGGTAAGGGGCATTACATCACACTGTAGAAATTTTTTAAAAAAAAATTTAAATTAATAAAGGGAATGCTAGGACTAGAGATAAGGCCAGGCCTAAAGCTAGGGCTAAGGCATTGGGCCTGTGCCAGGACTAGAGCTAGAGCGACCTCTAACCATAGTCAAGGTAAAGCTTAGGATACTGTAGATAAAAACAATTGCAAAATTCAATTTCAGAGGTGACTACATGGCGGACTACAACTTTGGCCGAGCCTTCAACTTTCGGGCCGTCTTTGGTTGGGGGTTATGGTTGTTTCCGGTGAATACGACCACAATCGATGGACTCCACTTCCCAGTCCATTACACAGACAACGCTTTACCGGCCGAAAAGATTTGCGTTCGGCCGATGGGCTCTAGTCTAACAGATTAGGCGGGCCGAGGAGGAGAAGCCAAGCCGAAACTATTTTTTGTATATTTAGGCTAGACTACTGTTTCTGACTAGACTACCGTTTCTGGCTAGACTTTGTTGGGTTTTTGGGCTAGAGTTTGTGATTGGCTTGGACTCTGGACTTTTGTTGTTGTTGATTAAACGCCAAGATTTCACTGACAATCAAGGTGCTGGTTTGATGTGTAATATAATTGTAATATGCTATGGTTAATATAATTTTTGAATTTTAAAAAATAATTTTTTTTTGGTTTGAATTAGATATTAGCAGAGTTTTGACTTCCGCGTCCGGTCGGGTTGGCACGGTCCGGATTTTTGAATTTATTTTTCCCGCCAAACGCATATCTCAAAAACTAGAATCGATATCAAAAAACTGACAGCATCTAGAAGGGTCAGCACCATTACAAATAGGGGGTAGAAAAAGTTTCAGTCCGATCCGACCGGTAGAAAAAAAGCGCGGGAAAACAAAATTCAAATTCCGGACTCTCGCATTGGGTCCGGTCCGGGAAGAATTCTGGATATTAGTGATAGAGTAGGGATTGGATAGGATTATTTAGCTAATTTAAAATGTTTATTATGTAGTCTGGAGTGGCATTATAATCATTATGCGTGGAGCAAACCATGGGTAATCGGAGTATTTTATGTCGACGACATTTTTTAGAAAAAAATTTTTTTTTTAAATTAAAAGTTGCATGTTGTCCCTCTCTTTTTTTGTATTTTTGGAAAAAAATTAAACGAAAGGCGGCAATCGTGTGCGAATTTTTAAATATTTTTTTATTATTTTGCCCGACTGGAAGCGACAAGACTTTCTTTATTGACCTGTCTACCAAACTTTTAAGGTATCCTGTAACACGATTGACTATAACAGTAATTTTTCATTACAAATAATACAACAAGGAAAATTCTTTGAGTATAATTCAAATTTTACAGCAGACCCTGTATTTAACTATCATTAAAAGCTTTAAATTTATTTTAAGACATCCAAACAGACAAAAGTTTTGAAAAACTTTATTAAATAGTACTTTGTACAATTTTTATATACATTATGGTGATTACTGATAGAGAATTACACCGTAATCCAATTTAATTGGTATTCTAATGGTAGACATCGGTAATGAGAGGAGAATCATTGACGACAGTGGTGGAACAGCTCTCCTAAAACAATATTAATATTTTTTTTGAAAAATACGGTTGTCTCAGCAAATAGTGAACATTTAGTAATATTTTAGCTTACTTTTACTTATAATTCTTACCATTTAAAGCTTATACCTATTATCTGATTTAGTCCTACCATCAACCTATACTTTAAGTATATCTGGTACTTTTTCGACCTTAAATTCCCTATAATAACATACATAAATAGTACGTAGCCTAAACACCCCTTCTAAATTAACTTTATTTTTTCTATTCTTTAACCTAACTTAAAAGATAACTCTCCATTTCAGCACCCTACCTTAACATAACTCCCCATTTAAGCACTCTAACTTAGCATAACTCCCGTTCCAATCACACTTACTTTAAGCACTTTTCTTACCTGATGCCCCAAGCACATCACAAGTGCATTGGTCATCAATGCATTCGGCCAACTCGTCGGCTCTATGCCCAACTTCATGTTCGAATCGTTCTTCGTTCGATTGCGTAGCACCCAACACACTGTCCTTTAGTTCTTCAGCACGATCCTTGACCTCGTCATAGGCGTCGCTGGCACGTTCCTTCATTCCACTCAAACGATCGTCGTTTTTGTGCTCGTCATTCAGGATTTGTTGAACGTTTTCCATTTTTGTAGGTTCTGGAAAGAGGGTTTTAAAGAATTTAATTTTTGGATTTAACGTCAATATTGTAGGTTCTAATCTACTGTAAATTAAGGATAAGACGATCCGGACAGGCAGTTTAAATCTGAAAAGAAAGAGGTCAAGCAACTTTTTTTTGATAAAAAATCCACAAGGGGTCCAACTTTTTCAAAAAACTTATAAACTATGGGAGCAGAACGTTAGGGGAGGGAAAATATATTTATTGCTTATAACAAGCATAATTTCTTCAACTGTTCAAAAATAATTGTTTTGTTCAGAATTTTTCCTAAAGTTACATGAACAATCACGTCGTTTAACCCCGTATTTTACCAAACAATCCACATGAAAATAGAGTTAAAAACTTTTAAAAACTCTTAAGATTTTTCAAAGCTTCAATTCATAGTAGGTCAAAACAGCCTCCAATTCGATTTTGTTAGGCATTTTTGAAACAAATTTCAAAAAGTAAATTATTTTTTACGTTTGTCACAACCACTAGAAAATATGATGGTTACCCTATTTCTAATACGTTTTTCGACCGGTTGAAAATAAAAAAAATAGGATGAGTTTTCACATAGTTACGAAGAAGATATTCAAAACTAAAAATGCCAAATTTCAAGCAAATTCAATGTAAGATACGCTTGTTACAATGAAAAGTGGTATATTACCTATTACAATGCTTTTTATAAAGTCAAAAACTTTTAAAATGGTTCGCCTTGTGAAGTTTTTTAAAAAAAATAGTCAAAATAGATCCAAAAGTAAGATTGCTTGCATTTAGATAAAGGTTTTTACATCCTCCCGCCACTTCTTTCAGATTAAAACGCCCCCGAAGCTCTAGTATTACACTTATCATCTCATGTAGAAACTTATCATTACCTATCCTACCTCCCTTAGTTGATTATTTCCAAAAATCCACCGAAAAACTTACCGTAAATTCAAATTTTCTTCGCAAAAAACAATATTTCTCTTTCTTGTTATATGAAAGTTAAATATAGCCTTAGTATTTCGTATTTATAGGGCCTGCCTTTCCGCAAAACAAGTCAACAACCCGCCCATTTCGGAGGCTTCTCGAAGCCACGTGCGATTGGAAACAACAACAAAGTGCAAGGAATAACATATTTCAACACACAGTATTTCGAAAAGCTTGTTATTGCAGTAGAGTTGTGCATGGGCTGAACAACATGTGACTATGGCCATCCCATCGCGGCCGAACAAACATCAAAATATACTAGTTTGGTTAGGGTAAAATGTTTACAGAGAGTAGACTTGTAAAGAGTCTGGACCAGACCCATTTTTTGGCCTGGCCGAAAGAGAGGTCATTGGTTTGAGCCTTGGCCCTCGGGCCTATGTGGGTCGGTTTGGCCCCTTTCAAACTTGCGCTGGCCTGGACCTATGCCTAAGTCCCCTTCCAGTTCTAACGAACAAAACAAATTGCAGCATAAACGTTCAGGAAAATGTGTTTACAACAATACAATAAACAGCGTTTAAATCAAATTTCTTTTACACTTTTTCAAATGAAGTCTTTCGTTGCGGGACCTATATTCCCATGAAGCCTTGGTTTGAATCAGGCTCATGTGCGGGCCTAGCCCCTTTCAAATTTTTTTTCGGTCGAGTTAGGGCCGGTCCAAGTGAGCCCGCTCCCCCGTTTCAATTCTAAAGGCCAACGTCCGCTTCCGGGCATCAGCGAACTCTGATTTCAGAACGAAGGCGTTTAGCAGTAACTAAGTCAAACCTTTTCTTGAAAGGCCTAGGCTGGGCATTTGGGGCCGTGGACCGGTTATACAGCGTTTTAATTATTAGTTAGTTGAAAAACAAAAAATTTTAAGTTTCTTTAATGCCATTCTTTAAATTTATAGACCGTTCAAGCTTGAAGCCAAAATTTTATTTTTTAATTCTCGATTTGTCAAACATTTTCCAGCTTTTATAATACTAGTCTAAAAACTATTTGTCATAGTAAATAAGTTGTGTGCATCAGTGATAAACAAACTATAAGATATTTTTTGTTTTCCAATCTGCTAATGATGTTTACTGTCATTTCTGGCCATTGATCCGAACACTTTTCAGGCAAAACAATAATCCGGCACGTAATAAAGGGCTGAAGAGATTCGGCTCATGTGCTAAGGGGTTTTGGTCGCTGATCATTTAAAAACTTAGTGATCAGCTAGTATTTTATCCTTGTTAGCCGTTCAGTGATGAAACAACACTGATATCTATCTTTATATATAGTGGCTGTACGATTGGTCAGTGTGTTGAAATGTACGATTGAAAAAGCGTTTTAAAATGATAAAGAAGTTATATTGTCAATAAAGAGAAGACAATTTATCACTGTTTCTGAAGATTAACATATCAAATTTTTAATCTTTTATAGCCTTGGCTGTTGTAGTATAGTTAAGAGGGTTGTAGTCTTGTATAGAGTGTAGTCTAACGTAAACCTTCATCCTTTTTAATAGTACTTGAATCTAGAGGTCATTGATTCTACTCTACATCCATTTTTTCAAAACCTATAGTTAGTAGTTGAATAGAACGTAGTGTACCAGACCAAAGTTTGCAGTCAATATCAAGGTTATGTAGGCTAGTAAAAACTTATCAAGCAAGTCTACAACGGGTTTACAAACAGGAAACCCATTTTTTCATGGTACTATTAGTACTGTATAGTAATAGTAAGAACATATTTTATTGGTACTGTTTAATACCGTATAGTACTAGGGAAAACATTTTCATGACACTGCTATGTACTGTATTGTAAAAAACAAATATTTTAATCATACTGTGCAGCATTGTATGATACTAAGGAAAAAAAAATTTCATAATACTGTCTGGTACTGGATAGTACTATACAACTATATAACACCAAAATAAGAGTGAAATATATAAAACCAAATAGAGTACCAAAACCCGGTCAATAGAATAAAAAAAGTACCTAAAACTACCTGTAGACCCTGTAAAATAGTACGCAATAGCCCAAGAAGTTACAAAAATATAGCACCAAAAACTATCTCCTTGTTTCTTTATAGTACCAAAGGCTATAGACCCTAAATTGTAAGAGATGTAATACAACACAATAACTGTTTTCGAACACTAAAGACTACTCTTCAAATCTAAGAGTATCAAAATTAACCCTAAGTCCCACAAAGTAGCATGAGCAAAAGTTATAACTCAAAAACGCTTATTAAGCTCAAAATCAAATCAAAATGCCAAAAGATACAAGAAATTTAAATTTATTTTACTTTAGAAATTCAAAAACAGGAGATTATTTACAAGTCGACTGGAATATTTTAGCATAAGAGAATTTTCAGCTGGATTCACGTGAATCGTCGTAGATCATGGTTGGAGTTCAAGGCATTTACTTGCACTTGTTGCCGGCTTCACGGAGCTTGTCGCCTGAAATTTGATAAACATGAGCATGGATTATATAATTCATTTTGTAATGGGTCCCTTTTTTGCCATTATTATGTTGTATAGATCACCTATTAGGTTGTTCAAGTAATTATGAGCCCTTTCACAAAAGAAATTTTCAAAGTGGAGGCCCACAATTATTTGAACAGCCTAATTACTTGTCTGTAAACCACAATAAAGGCTACAATATAACAAGGCCCAATTTCAAACCTTTCAAAGTAAAGTTCAAATTTAGTCCAAAACTTCCTTCCCACCCACCACCATCCCCAAATTTTAAATTTCAAACTTACCAGCACTGTCCCTCATGTCCTTAGCGTTGTCAGCGGCCTTGTCGGTCCATTCCTTGACTTTGTCGGCAGCTTTGTCCTCCTTGTCCGGCTCGCCAACAATCTTGTCCTTGACGTTTTGGGCAGTGTCCTTGACGCTGTCGTAGGCGTTCTGTACCTTCTCCTTGGCAGCCTCGGTGTAGGATTTGTCGCTCATTTTTGCTGTAGTTTTTCGGTTTCTAAAATTGTGAGAAGGGTTAGTCAGGATGGCAGAGGTGGTGAGGAAAGCGAATACTATACATCACGACCCAAAGTTAACAAAAATTTCTAAATTTACAAAAATGTTTAAAAAACAAGTTAAAAGTGAATTTTTGCCAAAAAAAAACAGTCAAAACTGAAAGTTCCAAAGCTAAAACAAAAGAAATTTCTTTCCTAAAACAATTGTAAGTATCTCCACATAAAGTAACATCCAAAAGAATCCTTATTCCCTAAAAAAGCTCAAACATACTCCATCTGAAAGCCATCCAACCCAGAAACCAACTAAAACAACTTCCAATTTCAAATAAAACAATCCAAAAAGCATCTACCCGCCTATAACAATAAAATCAAACCAAAAATCTAAAAAAGTAACAAATACATAAAACAAAACCTAAACAAACATCAGAAGTATAAAACAACAAGTCAAAACACAAAGATATCAAGGGTAATCAAACCCATTGTAATTTCAAAGTCAACGTCAACAGAGATAAAACCAAAATAAATTTATTTAGATAGCATTATGAAAGAAGAGAGGACTATAAAGCTATATGTACAGAGAGTTGAATATTACGCATCGTTGACGGGCAGTTTACTTGAGCTTCTCGCCGGTTTCTTGGAGTTTGTCGGCTGAAATCATGAATATTATTAAGTACAAAAGATAGAAAGCTAGTAAGTATCCTAAACTAATCAAACAGGGTCAAAAACCTAATCTAAACCTCAGTTTAGACCTTTAAAATTAATTTTTCCTTCAAAAAGTCGAGATTTCATTTATATCAAGGGCGCACTTTGGACGAACCTAAGTTATACGGTGAAACCAAATCCCGCAATTCCAAAAAAAACTTATATTACCCAAAACCATTTAAAAATCAAACTTAAAGCTAAAAAATTACAAAATCCCAAAAGTAATCCTAGTCCCACAAAAAGTCAAGCTTAAAATTACAAAAACAGACCTAAAGTCCTAAAAACTAGACCTAAAATAATCAAAAAAAACCAATGGAATACCTACCAGTTTTGTCACGCAACTCCTTGGACTTTTCGGCCGCGCTGTCAGCGGCGTTCTTGACCTTGTCGGCGGCCTGGTCCTCCTTGGCTGGTTCACCAACCACCTTGTTCTTGAGATCCTTGGCGGTGTCCTTGATGGCATCGGCGGCGCCTTGGGCCTTGTCCTTGATGGTCTCACCAATTGGCTTGTTGTCTGACATTTTCAGCGAATTTGAAGGGGTTTTTGATTCTGAAAATTGGTGAAATGAGAAAAAAGATATTGAGAATGGAACGATATTGGCATGGCGCGAACAAAAATGGTACTGAATAATCGAAATTGTACTAAAATTGCAAAAATAGGATAAAATCTCAGAGAGAAGACTATACCTTCAGAATTAGTACTAAAATCTTAAAACTAGCAATAAAGCATAAGAAATAGTACTAAAATACCAAAAATGATAAAAAAAATAGTACGAAAATCCCCACCATAGTCTAAAAATCCCCTCCAAAATCAAAACTCCAAAAAAAATAACCACCCCACCCCCAAAAACAATCCCAAACACCAACCTAGCACAGCGAAAACCAAGAACAGGACCACGAGCAAAAAGACACAGCGCATTCCTTCGACCAAAACAGATGGGATCTGATGGAAATCCGGCCTATTTGAAGGCCTCGGATTTCGCAAGTTCCAAACAAATAAGTAAACAAAAACAAATTGCGAAATTCGACATATTTCCCCGATTTCGTACTCGTCTTACGAACAAAATAGTATTGTTTTGACAAGTATTTGCGAAATTTCGAACTCGATTTGAAATTGGCATTTTGTATTTATGAAATTTTTGAAAATTTTTCGAAATGTGCGAAAAATAATGGCAGAAAAACAAAATTATTGCGCAATTTTGGGTGGGAAATGACTGTTTTTTAGGCCTAAATGCTGGTTTTCAGCCTAATTTCACCAAATTTTAGCAACAAAAATGATTTTTTATAATTCCTCTGGTTATTTTATAAACTATCAATTCCAAATTTTATTTGAACATCTCAAACTTTAGGCCTAAAAAATGAAAATTTCCAAAACATTCTACTTTCCAAGCCCAAATATGACAAAATTAACCTGTATCACAAAATCCAAGGCTTGATGACTTGATTTATGGATTTATAAAACAACGTTGTGATAGTAGGAATACTATAAACATCAATTTAAAGTTATGGTGCGAGTTTAAAATTATTTATGATTTTTTAAAAACACCCCCACTTGGCCAAAAACTGATATTATCCTAATGTTTTTGATCAGAACTTTATGAGTTTGACGCCACTAGGCCTGAAAATGGTACTATTTTGTTCCTAAGATACTAAGCTTTCTTTTTTAAACTAACAACATTTTAGTCCAGTCCCTAAATTTTTGGTACTAACACTTAAAAGTCCCAAAAACATCTGATGTTTCTCTCTTCATCAACCCTAAAAAACGAAAAATTTCAAAGTCATCCCCCAAATTTCCAAATTCCCATCCCTATCCATGCCACTGCGCCATGCCAGCCATCCTAAAACCCTGTGCCGATCCAGTGGTTTCAACATCGCCTTTATATAGGGATGGGGAAGGTTCGAGAGCACATGTTATTTTAGATTGCGCGCCGCCCATTTTTCGTTTTGTTTTGGCCGTAAACAACATTCAGAGGCCAACGCAGCGAGAGAATGGAACGACGCTCCAATGTGATCTATGGTTAGCTGACCAAACACCACAGGGCGAGCGAACAATTTGAGGGAAACCCACTGGCGAGAGAGTGTGCGAAGCGAAGAGAGCAAAGAAAATGGGTTAGAGAAGCGCTTTGGTCAGAGAAAAACACGAGAGATTGTTGTTTTTTGAGAGAATATTAGTTGTTTTTGACGAAATGCCATAGGATTTTAATTTTTATGGTAGAGAAAAACCTCTTCTGAATATAGGGAAATGTTCAGAGATTAATTTTAAAACTTATAGTGAGATATAACGTCCAATATAAGAGAATTACCAAAGAAAAACAGCAAGAAAAACATGTTATTCAGTCTTCAGAGACGGTTCAGAAAACAAACTGCCAAAACAAATCCAAACATAACGGGAATTGAATATAGACAGCCTTCGTAGTATAATGGCAAAGAAAAAAGGGTAAATAAAATTTCGAAAAAGCTCAAAGCTGTGGGGAAAAAGTTCATACATTAATCTCATGATGGACATGTACTACATAGTAAACAAACCGAGCTGCTATTTTTAGTCATTAAATATTACTAAATCACAGTTTTGTCTGGATATGTACTGAAAATAGTCATTGGTCGACCAAAAAACAAAAAAAATGACCAAAAACAGAGATAACAGGAAAAGAGGAGGGGTGGGGTAAATTAGACATAAAGTAATTTTGGAGACCTTAGGGGAAAAAACCTTGATGAGAAATTTGGAAATTTTAAAAAAGGCGTTTTGTAGATGCTTTTTTTTGGTAAACATGGTGAAAAATAATGTAAACAGATGGGTTTTTTGAGGTAAACGAAGGAAAACGGGGGAAAATGGGAGGTTGAGGTACTTTAAAGCTTCGGTACTCAAAAGTTAGGTCGTTTTTCGTCGGGAAAATTATTTTATGAGCAACAGGAGATATTGAAGAATATTTTGGCAAGATTTCACAAAATTTCAATGTTTATAAAAAAAGTTATGGCAGAAAGAATGAAAATTTTTAAAAATTTGCGTTCACGTGAAAAAAAAACGATATATCTTTTACAGTAGGAACGCTATAGTAAAAAATGTTTAACATGGCATAAACTATAACTTAAACGATACGCTGGCCAAGTATTGATGAATTTTGTCAATTTTTATGCAATTTATGGCCAAATTTTCAAAATGATTATAATATTCTTCAATCATTACAAAATTTTCAAAATTTCAAAAACTGATAAGTGAAATTGGTTTATAATTATTCAAGATGGCAGACAAAGCCAATTTCTTGCTATGGCAATAATTAAACCCGAAAACTTTCTTTTAAAAAATAAGATACAACACAAAAACGAGAGACGGTCAGCTGATAAGAGAAAAACATGTTACGAAAACAAAAAACAGTTCCGGGAATGTCCAAAAAAGAAGGTCACAAAGGAAAGTCACGAGAAAGTTGAGCTGTTATTGTTGACTGTCTCATATACTTATTATTGTCATATGTTTTCAGATTGACCACATGAAATTGCATTATAGATAAGTGGCTATAATAATAATGTTGCTCATGGTTTAAAGTTTGGTTTTTGAGATTTTGGCATGAAATTTTTTGCACTAACCTACTCTATCCTAACTTCTTGTAAGATACCTACCCTATTTATTCTGCCCTACCCTACCCTACCAAAAAATAATGTAAAATACGGCCAGTTTCCAGAAAACTATATAAAACAATACTGTATGACTAATAAAATAGTTAAAATAGTAACAAATCGTATAGTACTGCCATCTTCAATGTCATTTCAATTACTTTTTAGATTGTTTTCACAAAATGAATCAGTTTTTTGTATGTTACTCATCATTTTTGTTTCTTTTTGCTATTGAAAAGCGTTTTATAAAGCTAATGACGTGGCTTGGCTAAAATAATATTTTTTAAAATGTGATTTTTAGCTACATAAAGGCTGCTCTAAAAATTTTTTGCCTAGCAAACGCTATGGGTAATAAAAAAAATTTTTGGCCTCTGCCTTATTTGCTCAAAAAAATTAAAAATATTTGGAACACTAAAGGTAAAATACGATTTACAAAAAAAAGTAAAATTTGACAAAGACTACCTATCATATTATATCTAAAAAAATACATAAAATCATTAAATCACTCAAATAAACTATTATATTTATTAGGTTCTTCGTTTAAAATTCTGCGCCCCTACTCTCTTTTTTTACCTCTTTCTTGCCCATTTCTTACGTTCTCTGTCCCTACACTAGCCCTACTCAACAATATCTTGTTATGTCGTTTAACTAATGATGAGCCCCCTTTCAAATCAAATTTCAGGGTCAGGGGCCACAAAATTATTTGAGCAACAATGAAGTGTTACCACATCTACATTGAATAGTTTCATATAAAAAAATACAAAAACTCTGGGTAACCCACCAAGGTTCACTTGGCCTCAATGTTGTTGTTTTTACTTTGACCGTTAAGCCGTTAGATACCCTTAAAATTGTTGTTTTTGTTTACCATTTCATTCTTCCTTTCTTCAAAATCCCTTTTCTTCTCTGTCCAATTCTCTTGAATCTCTGCTCTGAATGGTCTTTTTTCTATCTTTGTATGTATTACCCTATCATCAATTACTATACTCTACTACTTTTTTTTAAGCTTGTGATCTTTATTTTACAGTTATTACGTGGTTCAATTAATTCTGAGCTCCCTCTCATTTGTTCATATAATTCGAAGCCTTCTCTTAGTTGTTCAATTAATCCTGAGCTCCCTCTAAAAGCAAATTGTCAAGTTTAAGGGGCTCAGAATTAGTTGAACATCCTAATATTTACTGAACGCTTTATGAACAACGTTCTTTAGTCGGTCTTCCTTATCAAAATGTACCCAGGTGTGATCTATGGTTAGTTTGTTGTGTACCGAACAAAGTATTGAACAGGAAGCTACACTGATCGATCATGAAGGATTTTTCCATCTTGGCTACATCTTCATTTATAACACTATTTGTGACTTGTTTTTTATACTAAACATCTCTTTCTAGCCCTACAACTTTTTAAAAATTGTTTTTACCTTACTCTCTATAGTCTTTTTAACGTTCTCTTCTTGTTATCTCTAGAGGTTGTTAACATTGTCTTCTTCTCGTTGCCTCTAGATTCTGTTAACGTTCTCTTTTTCTTGTTATTTCTAGAGCTCTTTTGTTCTTGTTACGTCTAAGGCGTATCATCGTTCCCTTCTTGTGGTTACCTTTTGAATCCATCTTTTAGCTGCTACAGCGCAAGAAATGTTTCTGTATCTCTTACACTCTCTATAGAACTCTCCAGTTGATTTTTTTAGCTTGCTACTTCTACTATGTATTTGAAACTGTAATAATAGTAATATAGAATTCATATTTTCTCTATAAAAGCTCTTAAATCTCTCTATAGATGTTCTTATCTCTCTATTATTCACAGTTTTTTTCAATGTTCTCTTCTTCTTTCAACGTATAAAGTCTTTCTTTTTAACCCTACAGCTATCCCAACGTTCTCTCCTTCTCCCCACTATATCTAACCCTCTCCACAAAACCCCACCATCCTTTCTCAAATGCTCTCCAGCTCGTTCCGGCGAACCAATTTCGACACAACGAACCAGAGATCACGAAAACACGGCGGACGAGAACGCGGACTGATGTTTGGTGCGCTACAAATGTTTTTTCCAGTATGTAGCAAGTAAACATAGGAAACGAATAACATGTTAGCCTTTGATCGTTTCGAAATAGATTGTGTGTTTCAAGCGAAAACAATATTTTGACCCCAAATTGTGGGATGGTTAATGTTTTGGCAACTGATTAGATTCCGGAAAGTTCCCGCGGCCCTATAAAAACTCGTCAGGTCTGAGGTGAATGGCATATTCTGCTTCAGGTTGAGTAATTGCTTCCTTCTTAATGACTTATAGCTGTAGTAATGGAGTTTTAGGTTTGATATTACCGTGGGTAATTGAGTTATGGCTTCTTTAATTAGGCTTGTAATTACTTATAGGTAGGATAAGGTAACTACATATAGTGACTGTAAAATCTTTTGATGAAACCTTTACTTTTGACTTTTCATTAGCTTTTTATATATTAGTATCATATATAGTTATAATAAGCCCAAAAACAATATATAGTCATCATAGAGCTAAATGAGTAATATATAGTCATCATCAAAACATAATTTTGTATTTTTTGTTTTTCAAGTCTAAAAAATGATGAAACATGTTGTTTTGGTCATAATATAGAGCTGTGTAATGTTTTCTCATCTGTCGAATTAAAATGGTATGTGTTTTGTAGTGTTACAAAAAATAGTTTAACATTCGAGTGTAATGCTATTGCCATTATAGTTAGAGCTTTGATGTTTTATAATAGCATGATGTAACTCTTGTTTTTTTATTTTTAAAACCTTTAGGTTATTTTTGAAATTTTTTAGACCATTTTTATTTTGTAATTTAAATTAACTTTTTTAAGATTTTAAACTCTAAAGGAAGATAGGAACAAAGAGAAATCTAAGCGATGTCGAACGTGTGCCGCCATAGCTCAGTCGGTTAGAGCGTGGGTCTAATAAGCCCAAGGTCGCAGGTTCGACCCCTGCTGGCGGCAAACACCTTTTTGCCTTTTCATACGTTGATATAAACATGAAAAAGCGTTTTTTTATGTGTCGAACGTATTATTACGTATTTCAAAATAATTTTCACTAAAATTTTGAATATTTTAAACCCTCAAAATCATTTTTTATATCAAAAATATTATTCGACCAAAACAATTTCGATTACGTGTCTAGACCAACTTTTAGCATCAAAATGATGAAATACCAACCGAAAACTTCCATCCAATCAACTCGTATTATCATAAATACGATTGGATGAACATCGAGCATCACTAAAACACTTGCACTTGATGTTTTCTGTTTACAATGTCATCTTTAATTTATGAAAATTCGCGTGTATTGGGGAAAACAATTGCACATGGTTTCGAAAACAGATGGAAATAGACATGATGGGATATACATGTTGATCAAACATTGTTTTGCGATAGTGTAAGGGTATAAAAGAACGGTCTGACCAGGTTGTTGCGTTAGTTTTGAAATTGTTTTTCGAGTTTTAGGTAAAATACGCCCTGTCTCATAACTTGTTTCTAAAAAGTGTCATTATGACACTTCTTGTAATAATGTTTGATTTTTTTTAGTTTTACTTTGTCATTCTGGTTTATCCAAACCTGTTTTGGAAGTTTTTAAAAAATTGTGTCATCATGACATATTTTTTTTGAAATTTCTAGAAAATGTGTCATGGGGACATTTTTTTTGAAAATTCCGAGTTAGTCAACTTTGAATGTTACCAGCTTTCTCATAGTAATCCCTTTCAATCAAAGTTTCAGTCATTTTTACCGAAATTTAAAACCGCCAAATTTGAATTTCGATTTTGGCGCCAAAAGTTGTTTTTCCATTTTCGTTCTTGTTTTTGTTTACTATAATATGGAAATATTATGAAATACCGAGAAATGTAGTGAAATCCTCTCACTTGTCATATTTTTGCACCAGAAGGTAGTCGGTTTTATTATTTTTTCTCATTTTTTGGTCTTGATATTGTTATAGGTTACTTAGTATGTTAATATTGACTTGGTTGTTTGTTTTTATGCACATTATGGGTAGATTAGTTTTTATTAGAAGGGCGGGGTATTGTTGGGCATTTCTGTCAAATTTGGTTGTATTTTGAACATTAGGACGATTATTATGATGAATTTTACACTGTTATAGGTATCAAAATATATAATTTTGCTTTTGAAGAACCTAAAACAACAGTTTTTTGGTTAACTTTTGTTCAAAAACAATTTCAAAGTCCTTCACATTGTAATCTATTCAAATTTAAGTGTTTCTGCTTGCTATTTTGTTTTATGGCCCGAAAATAGTTGGCCAAACACCAAGGTTGTTTACGTTTTTGGGCCCCGAAAAGCAATTTCGAAGGCTTTTTTTTGTTGTTTTCCAATTTCGCAACGATAAACAACTCTCTAATGCACAACTCGTGAATAATTTGGTCTTATTCATCATGTTTTTATTGGCTTTTTTTTGAATTTCCAATTGGGGATGATTAATTTTTTTACAAAATTAATTTTAAAATTGGATTTTTGCTGAAGATTTGATGTTATCATCGTTTCGAAGCTGTTTTGGACCTAAAATTGAGTTGAGATAGCAAAATTTGTAAAGCATTATTTCAACAAAAGCCTGTAGAATCATAAAATGTAAAAATCTTCGCGATATTTTGATTAGAACCCACCAAAAACATCAATATTATATTATCCATGCTTTCAGAAAAAGAGAAAATCTGCAAAAATGAGCGAGAACAAGGGGTTCGTTGAGAACGTTAAGGAAAGCGCCGCCAACGCCGCCGAGTACGTAAAGGAGAGTGCCCAGAGTGCTGGCGACACCATTGCCAACGCTGCTCGTGGAACCTACGATTCAGTAGCCAGCGGCGCCCAATCCGTCAAGGAAACTGTTGTTGGCAAGAGCGAGGAGGCCAAGGAAACCGCCAAGGACTCGTACGACAACGCTGCCGGCAAGGCTCAGGATTTCAAGGTGGGTTTTGAGGGATTCTGGGGCTGTGTTCAATCAAATGGGGTTGGATATAGTGATTTTCGGCTGGTTTTTAGAATTTTAGGGCTAAATATTGATGTTTTTGAGGAGTTCCTTTTGAACCGGTTTAAATTAAAGGCATAGGATAGTGAAAAATGAAGATACGAGGTTTTTGTTACTTAAATTCCTCATTCATAGCTTTAAACACAGCCGAAAGTTTATATTTTTGACCAATATAGGCATTTGCTCTCATGGATAATATCGAAATTTCTTAAAAATTGTCTTTTTTCCATTGAATAACTAAAAGTTAAAACAAAATATCAAAGCATTACCTAGTCTTATCAAATAACTTCATTTTCTTGCAGGAAAGAGCCTCCGACAAGGCCCAAGGCGCTCGCGACGCGGCCAACGAGAAGGGATCTGACTTTTCGCAGAAGGCCGGCGAATACCGCGACAAGGCCAGTGACAAAGCTAGCGAGTTCCGTCAACAAGGCAGCGAGAAGTACGATCAGGCCTGCGATAAGGCACATGAACTCAAGGAAAAAGCCGGTAAGGAATTGGTTTTTCATTAGGTTTTAGGATTGAGGTAGTTTAGCTTTTTAGTTGTGGCTGGTCAAGTGGTCAAGGATAATTTTATGACTTTGGTTGTAGATGTGAAATTTAAAGGGCTTTCGAATGTGATACGTTTCATTAGGATTTTGAAAACAAAATTTATGTTTATTAATGAAAAATGTGAGCACTCGATTTTTGGTGCCTATGATAATATAATTTTAATGTTTTTTAGAGTTTTATTCAACGTTTTTTAGCAAAATTTAAGGTTTTTAAAATAGATAAGACCCTAATCTTTGTTTCAAATACAAAAATATATTATTTTGACTTTGAAAAGTTACATTCTCATCAATTTTTGTAAGCCCTATACTTATATTACTCTTGCTTTCAGGTGAGAAGTTGCACTCCGCTGGCGAAAGCATGAAACCCAACTAAACCTCAGGGACGATGTGGCAATTTCATGACTCCTATTTAATCACTCCCCGCTTTTTAATCAACTTATATTGTTTTGTATAGTGGTAATTCGAAGATGTAACCGGTCCTATCTCATGGAATCCCGGCTGTTGCTGTTGTTGTACAGGAAAAGTGTTCTGGATACCATTTGGTGGCTTTACATGCGAATTGCTGAGCGTAGTAATATTCATCTTGTTCATGGGCACTTGTACATACCCATTATCATGTTTTTGTATTGTAATATATCGTGGTAAACTTTCGAATAAAGATGTAAATTTATATTGAGGAAGGTTATTGTAGATGTGGGTTGAAGGTGTTAATGTCAGCTACTTTTGAGGGCATGGGTTGGGAATAGGTAGGTAGATAATATATTTTATTGTACTGGTTGTGTAGGATTTTATTTTGTTGAGTTTTCGGTCAAAAAGTAAGTAGAATGAGCTAAAGGTTGATTTTCATTGGCTTGATGAACCCATGGGTGACATTTTCATATATTTTTGACTGAACCTTAATGTAATGTATGCTTTAGGCAAAAATATAGCCGTATTATAGTATATGCAGGCCTAAATTTATATCTGTGTTGATTAAAAGGTTTTAGCACTTGATGATTGGTCATTTTATTGTACTTGAGAAAGTTTTGAAGATTGATCTGAACTCTTCCTGATCTTTGATAGGTTATATCAGTTGGTGGTTGGCCGGAAGGTGTAGCAATTGTTTTTAAAAATTCTAGGGATTTATAGCTGTTAAGGAGATTGCCCTTGATCAGTATGTGGAATGTCGTGTCCAGACATAGTTATGAATATGTAATTAAATATGATTTCATATGTCCTTTCTAATGGATTTATCTTTTTATGAAAGTACAATAGAACTCCTGTATAACGAATTGCATGGGAATTGTAAATTTGTTCGTTATAAAGGATTTTCTGTATTCAGAAGATTTAAATGCACTCTGTAGTGTTAAACGGGGATTTTAAAAGGTATTCGTCAAAAGTGGTCTTGTTATAGAGCAGTTCGTTATACAGGAGTTCCAATAATTAGGGCGAGGTATGGGTTTCATTTATTGTCCATTGTAAACAAACTGTTGAAGGTTTAGGCCCATATGACATTGTATTGATTTGTATACTATCTTGTACGTGCTTTTGTGTTTATTTTTTGTTTTGACTTGTAAAAGGGTTTGGCCGGACCTTGCGTTGGACCCTCCCCCCCCCCTCGTCCTAGGGCCCCTTTTAAAATTACCTTGGCCCAGCTCGGGGTCGGGCATATCTGGTTAGCTTTTAGTTATATTATACGGGACTTTTAAACCCCCCCCCCCCCCCCTGTTTAGTAGTTGGCCGGGGATTCGAAAATTGTTTGTTACACAGAGTGAGACTGTATTTAAGCTTTAGGCCTATCTGTTGTTGTATTGATTTGTAAGCCATTTTGTAGGACATTTTTGTGTTTATTTTTTGTTTAGACGTAAATTGTTATTCTTTAATGACGCAGTGTCACAAAGAAGCGGGTTTTTAATATGAAAGAGGAAGTCTTACCGGATTTTAATGAAAAGGTTTTTGTTATGTTAGAAGAGACATTTCTTTTAATTTTGTTTTTTAAAATTTTCCTTTTTTATTTTTTTTTGATTTTTTGAAGTAAGAGATATGTCGTATAATCAATACTAAAGGACGGACATTTTTTGCTTCAACAAGCATGATTTTCTCTATTAATTATTTTTTAACTAAAAGTAGGGTTAGTTGGACTAAATCCATGTCTTAAGAAATCAAGTTTTCAGCTTTGTCTTTCGGTCGATACTTACCGGTCGATCACTAAACTTCTTATTTGGCTTTGTTTGTAGAACATATCGGGAAGGGGATGGTGAAGATGCATACTTGTAGATTGCTTGGCGATTAAACTTTAAACGGGTTTGGCCGGCACATTAGACCCCAAGGTCGGGGCCAAAACCAAATTCTAGGGCCCCAGCTTAGGTCCCGCAACGAAAGATTTGATTTGCAAAACGTGAAAAACGAATCTCATGTTATAACGCTATTTACTTTTGTAACCAAGTTGAATATATTTTACTGTGTTACCACTTTGATGGCTTTACTTTGTCATTATTTAATTGTCTTTCTTTACTTTTTGATGTTGCGAATTTTACCGTAGACCCTTTATTGTAAAATGTTTTACTGTAAAGTAAAAAACCTGCAGTAAACTAATTTCAACAACCAATCATAACAATACTCAAGCATTAAATTATCAAAACAACTTGTCCCAACCTTCATTAAGGTTCCGTTGCCATTGTGAAACGTGTTTTGATTCAAGCCCTCCGGCCTTGTTTACCATGAAGTTGAGCTTTGGTCAGCGAAGGGCGCTCTCTCCCTTCTTCTAGATCTTTCTCCCCCACCGCTTCTGAAGGACACGTGCTCACACTCAACGCGGAAAAAAACGAAAAAAACAGGAGAATTTAATGGACAGAGATCCTGCCATCAAATAGTTCATCTACTACCTTGTTGTTGGGTATTTAACGGCTTGTTGTTATTGTTTTGTCACTGTTTTTGAGCGTATTTCATTGTTTTTGGGGCGAAAAATTGGCAAATTTGATGGATTTTTGGAAAAAAATCGACTATCCTTGGCATTTTTGGTTGGAAAATTGCCATATATCATACTTCTAACATTAGTAAGGTCATTACTGATACTAGAAGTATGATATAAAGTATTGGCAGGGGAGACTGTAGCGTTTTTTTTATGTTAAAATGGCCATATATCATAATTCTAGTATTAGTCAGGTCCTTTACTGATACCAGAAGTATGATATAAAATATAGGGAGGGTAGATTTTAGCACAGGGAGGGGTAAACATGAGCAGTTTTATTGAATTTTTGGGAAAAATTGGCAGTTTTTTGCCATTTTTGGTAGTAAAATGGCCATATATCATACTTCTAGTATCAGTAAGGTCATTTACTCATACTGTAGGTCATTTACTAGTATCAAAGTATAATATAAAGTATAGCCAAAGCCGATTTTGGTCCAGGCCGAGGTAACAATGCTTTTTTTATTAAGCGTGTCATGCCGTATTCTCATTTAAAAAAAAAGTTTTTGGGTGGAGCCATGATGAAAAAAATGGCAATATTTTATGACTTCACAATGAAATTGACGAAATTGTTCTGATAATATTGAAAAAAATGCCCAAATTTCATGATAAAAATGAAAAACAACGTGATTACAACGTGTTTTTGCTTGGAATTTTGTTGTTTTGTTGATTCTTGGTACTCAAAATGGGAGGCGTGGAGGAACTTGCCCTCATATTGACCTATAAGAAGATTTTTTGACATGATTTGGCATTTCATGCGGTCAGGGTTGATCTAAACTGACCATATGAAGTGTCGTGGCCTTACGAGGCGATGGGTATTTTAGAGTTTGCACCGTGCAGACATGGGATTTTTGTACGTTTTTAGGCTTTCTATCGTGTTTTCGGAAACTACTGTAATTTGCAATGTCTTAATTTTGATTTACAGTGCATTAGTGGTCCATTTTAATCAAAAACCTCGAAAAATTCGTGAAAATTTCAAATAACATTTTTCACTAATTTTTCTCATTTTTAGACATGGATAAAGCGGCCGAATCCCTAAAACAAGGTTTTTCGGATGCAGCGGAAAAATTAAAATTCATAACAACCGATGGCCCGGCCCCACTCGATGCGAAACGCAGTTCAGAGGAAATGGCAGCAAATGCGGTGGATCCAGAAGTCGATAATCGTGTGAGAGAAAACGAAAAAAATCTGCCCAAACGGCACGAACGCTGAACAACTGATGACACATTGACTATTTTTGAAAACTGAAGCAATACCGGTTATTTTCTGGTGCTGTTCTCCATGTAAATGGCACTAACTTTTGAATAAATGTATATTTTGTACCAAATTTGAGGGTTTTTCGACTGTTTTTCTAATTTTAATGGATGTTTTTATGTTGACGCGGTTAAAAGAGATAATCTTCTTGTTATTCGCAGACGATCAGTTTATGTTTCAGGGTTTTAAAATATTATTTTAGCCTAAAAACCAGACCTATTTCCGTGTTATTGGCCGAAGAACTGATATAACCCCCTTGTTTGCTCTAAAACTCATTGATTAACTTAAAAATACAATATTTTTTATAATTCCCAAGCTGTAAAAATACTAATCTACTATATTCTACAAAGTTACAGCCAGTTAAAACCTTTTAAAACTGTTTTTAATCCCTTTTCACTTCATATCGGCCTCCACTTCGCGCGCTTTTATTCAAGGGAGAGAAAAAGAAGTGGAGCGCAGTGTGCCTCGTTAGCGCAGTGGCAGCGCGTCAGTCTCATAATCTGAAGGCCGTGAGTTCGATCCTCACACGGGGCATTAACGTTTTGCGGTTTTTGGCGACGACAGGGTTATTGGAAATTGCATTTTTGTATTGTTTTTGTATTTGAAAAGCTATATTTTAATTCTTTTTTTATTATATTTAGTAAAAAATATGTATTTTTAATTATTTTTATCCACTTTTTCTAGAAAAAGTTTCTTAAAAAGTTACTTTTTCAATTTTTCATCTAAAACAAGGTTAAAATTTTAATCCTAACAATTCAAAAATCAACAACAATGGCATTCAAGTACAAAAATTAAATATAACTTGAGATCAGTCGGGCATACTGTACTTTTTCCACCAAATTCGGCCGTTTTATCTTCTTGAAAACGTATGTCGCTATAAAGCTTTCTTCACCATGTAAATTGTAATCATATGCTGTATATACAACAACAGCCAGTATGACCAGCAGTACAAAAAAAAGTAACGTAATGATGGTTGACTTTTTTTTAAATTGAGTCTCTGGCCTGATTTCGTACTGTAAACAGGACGAGTAATTCTTCAGTACTCCACTGTACTGGGGTACTGTATCTTTGATACCGTAGTGCAGATAGGTGTCTTTATGGCTTTTGTGGGCTTTAAAAATGTTTTGGCAGATTGGATTTGAAGGCTCAAAACATTCTGGACGATAAGTGTGTGGTCGGATTTGTAGGTAGCTGGAGGCGGTGTGTGCGGCAACTTTTGGGTCTTAAATTTGAATATATAATAATGAAAAAAAAATTTGTAATATAAGCCTAGATAATGAAGCAAAAATCTATTTTTCACAATTTTAAGCCAAATTTTGAACTTTAAAATTAAAATTTTTAATTTCCCGGCCAAATTGGCATAGTGTTTTAACTATACATGATTGCCAAAAAAAGCTGTTTACAGTGTTCTTATATCATGTAGAAGCTACAAATGAAGTTAGAGATTCTAAATCGCACTTTAAAAATTTGAATTTTAAATTTTCCGCCAAATTTAACATAGTGTTCAAAGCTGAGTTATGCCGCTTAGAGGACCAGTTCGCCCATTCAAATATCATTGGCATTCTGTCGCAAAAAGCGTTGAAAATCAGGCAATTTCAATCAATATAATTTTTCTCAAAAAACGTGAGTGGGTCGGTGTCGAAATGAATTTTCCAATTTGGGACCGACCTGCTCAGGTTTTTTGCAAAGAAATGAACGTCAAATTTTTGCGACAGAATGCCAAGATATTTGAATGGGCGAACTGGTCCTTTAAATTGGCTATATCGTGGTCTAGACGTCATATTACTCTTTGCTAACTATATCTGACCATCCCTAGCCATCTCTTACAAATTCCATAACCCTACACTAGCCCTAGCCACTAATGCCTATGCTAACCCTGCCCTGCCTTACCCTACCCTACACAATACTATTTCTCCCAATCCTACCTTTCTCTACTTACCTATGTTAACAGCCTTATCAAAGTCTTCACTTTTCACATGATAAAGCTTGGCTTTGAACTCAGTTTTATTGTCTTTTGCAATAATGTCATCAACAAACACATATCCGTCTTCATATGATGCCATACTAATTTGGTACCACTCGTATGGTCTTATGTATCTGTTAGGCTTTACCGAGATTGATACAAATAAGTTGTGTCGATCTTTTGGGTCGATACTATTGTAGATGTCACTGTAATTCAAAATCCAATGGCCACAGTGCTTTTCCAAGTAGATTTCACCGAGGAAGAGCTCGGAGTCAACTAAAAGTGCAAAAATCATTCGTTTCCCTACCCTACCCTACCCTACCCTACCCTACCCTACCCTACCCTACCCTACCCTACCCTACCCTACCACACCCCCACCCCACCCTACCCTACCCTAACCTACCCTACCCTACTCTAGTTTACCCTACCCTACTCCACACTACCTTGCTTAACCCTACTTTGGCCTATAGCGTCCTACATACACTACATCTTACCGTAATCTATGATATTACTTTACTATGCCTCTATAACATGCCTTATCTTATAGCCCACCTTACCTTATTCTACTGTTATCTCGATGTAAAATACAAAACGTATTGTATTTGAATCACTCTAAAATACCTTGCCGTACCCTATTCTAAACTATCCTGCCTTATCTTATACCTTGCCGTACTCGATGGTCTACTGTACTTTGCCGAGCTTACCCTATTTTAATTCTTATCCTCTCTTATAGCTAACATTACCTTATGCTACAATTATTTAAATGTAAAATACGAACCATCATATTCAAATTATAAAAATTTCTCAACTATCTAAAAAACCGCAATAACTTTCTTTACACTGAATTTTTTAAACTTCTCCACATTTTCTAAAAAAAAGTGTAAATTTCACGTTTAAAATATGCATTTTGCCAGATTTTTACATTCCCTTACCCAACAAATGAGCAGGTTCATCAGCCTTCTCCACGAAGCTCTGATTGAACTCCTTAATTTGGCCATTGTCATACTCATAAACTCCATTATAAATCGCTTCGGCTTCAAAACGATAATCCACATGTGGCTGTAACTTTAGACTACTGTTCTCTGCACAAAACACATCCGTTACAGTGATATTATGTTGATAATGCGGCACTATCGAGCCGTTATATAAAGTTAGGTCGTACTTGTGGTCAATGTATTGGGATGGCAAAGAATCCTAAAAATATGGTTTTAATTGTCATTTTTCTTGTATTTTATTGTAAAACTAAAGTTTTTAATATCAATTTGGTCTAAAAAATCAAAAATCATATTAACCTTGGCAATTTCAAAACATAAAAATTTGAATTTTCAAAATTCCGCCAATTTTGGCATTCTGCAACAAAACGTTTTTATATTGTCTCTAAGCGTAATATAGCAAGAAAGTTCATAAAAATTGATTTCAAACCATTTTACAAGTAAAAATTTAAATTTTCGAAATCCCGCCAAATTTGGCATTCTGCAACAAGATGTTTTATTACTATTTTTTAGACTTATAAGACCAGAAATAAGTAAAAGTAAAATAAAAATACAATTTTTATTTATAAAAACGCAGATTTTAACTGAAAAACTCAAATTTTCAAGATCCCGCCGAATTTTGCATTTCCCAAAAATTATTTTAAACCCCCTTCAAAACGTTAAAAATGATGTTCCTTACATGCCCAACCTTAAATTCAACAGTAGTAGGCCATTCGACGTTCGGATTTAGATACAGCTTCAATTCCAGACAATTGGTACCAATTGGTTCTACTCGTAGTGCCAAAGCGTTTTGTTTCGTCTTTACCGACATTGGTATGTTGGTGATGTTCTTTACCATGCCTCGACTATTCTTCTGGCCAACCCAAAAAACGTAATTCGAGTTGTGATTTAAATTTCGAACTTTGTATTCGCAAGGATCTTCAGAGCATGTTATGTTATCTATGGTCTTAACTAGGCTGAAATATAAATGGTTGTAGAAAAGTTGTAAATTACTGTAAATTTATGAAATATTGGGAAAAGATACTTTATATTACGTGTTATCAGCTGAGGGTTTAGCCCGCTACTTTGGAGTTCTGATTAATTAGCTAAAGCTCGTCAAACATAAACTACCACAATATTTTGATAAGTAAACTTTAAAGCCGTATAAAAATTTTATGGGTTACTGTAACATTATGAAATTTTGACGAAATAGGCTACACACTATCTACTAACTACTGCTCTAAACAAACAATGATTTATAATGTCAACTTTAGTAGCTACAGAACGTCAAACTTGACCTACTACAATATTTTCAAACTCTTATAGTACCTGACAAAAGTGATGCATAACTTACTTTGGAGGCTGACTAGGAGTTGGGATCTTATCTAAAAACAAAGATAACTTCATTCCAAAATTTATAGTAAAAAACTCACCTATATCTTCCTGTTTTAGGTACTCAAATGGGTCTTCAAACTGAATGTTGTTTGAGAATTTGTAAAAAACCTAAAAATAGCCAAAAATCAACAGTTTTTAGCCAAAATCGTAATGTTTTCACCGACTTTCTAAAGTTACAAAACTAAAAAATAAACATACAGTAAACTGAGTAGTATTAGAAGTCCCTTCCGGCCATTTCCAAACCAGTAGGACCGCTTCTGGGCTCATTGGAACGGCCATAACACTGTCGTTCGGCGACCACTTCTCCTTCTTTTTAGTATCAACGTTCGATACCGGCTGTCTTGTTGGGTTTGCTGCCTAAATTCAAAATATATTTTTTAAAATATTGTTTAAATTTACCAGTAAGACAACTTAATGACGTATTTTACAAAAAATGTCGCCAAACAGCCAATAAATCAGTGAATTTTGACCAAAATTTCCTTTAAAATTACAATTTTTACTTTGAAACCAAGCCTTAAAATTCAAAATTTTGTTATTTTTACCTTGCCAATTTGCTGATTTAACAATGAAGCCAACTTTTTTCCCTGTTCTATCAATGTACGGTCAATTACAGTGCGATTACCGTTGGCCGACACGCATATTACCCATGTTGACCATAGGTAAACGGCTAGAAACCGAAGCGAGAACATCTGAAGTTTAGGTAACATTCGTTTTTTATGTTCTAAAGAGTCTTTTTTACGTTTTCAAAATTACAAAATGTTTGAGGTTTAATTAAAAATGACATTTTTGGTCGCTTAAAATTTTTTTTTAATTTATGGAAAAATTTCTTGAAAAATTGTCCCAAAATCCCCTCCAGACATTCGCATATGAATAACACGCCCAATACAATATCAGCTGCAATCTGTTTTGTTAGTAAGCAAATTTGAGGTCACGACCAACTCATTGATACCATGAATAATATCAACTCATCGACATGAATAATATCGATACCAACAACAATATTATTCATGCAAGTAAACTCGAAAAGGCAAACATAATTAGCAAAAAATCGAATCACAAAAATGTTTATTATTTCCTGTTCAAACACAACGTGAGTTAACCGTTCCATTGGGACGATGAGGTCTTTGCCTCGTTTCTTTATAAAAATGAAGGTTTTTATAAAGTTTTAGGCTCAAAAATTGCTTTAAAAACCATTGCTCTTAATTACATTATAATGAACTTTAATATTTTTAAAAAAAACTGCAAAAACTTTGTTTACAAGGCCAGAAAACCCTTGATTTTCCCAAAATTATGCCGTTTTTCGTCAATTTCTATCAAATAATGCCATTTTTCAAAGCGAATTTAACAAAATATTGACATCAAATCCTTTTTCTACATCCCATATCGTATACGCTCAGATTTATACCTAAAAAAGCAAGAACTTTGTTTACAAAGTCTGGAAAACCTGATTTTTCCCAATAATATCCCCCTTCAATAGATATATTTGTTTGTATTTGATTGAAAACTATTATAATACGTATGCTGCTTGAATCAACAACGGTAAAATTGCCTTTTGAGAACTTTACTTGTTTATATGAATCTGAAAACTAGTCAAAAGCCCTTGAAATCAACCAAAAGTAACTAAAAACTGCAAAAATAGGTAACAAATCCTGTATTTTAAAGGATTTTAACAGATTTGAAGGTAAAAATCCCCTAAGAAACCTAAACTAACATATAATTTAATGTTCCAACGCTTTAATTACAATGTAGCGCTGTAAATCGTTAAAAAGTAAGTGAAACGCGCAATTTCAGTTAACCAAAGGTCGCACTGAACGGCCGCTTCGGTTCGAAAGGGAAAATAAAAGGCATGCAGAAGTGTGCCTCGTTAGCGCAGTGGCAGCGCGTCAGTCTCATAATCTGAAGGCCGTGAGTTCGATCCTCACACGGGGCATTAACGTTTTGCGCTTGTTTTTGGTGGGTTATTAATTTAAAAATGATTTTTTAGTAAGAATATGTCATTTTTAAAACTTTTGCTTCGTATATTATTTTACGAAATGGCCGTAACTTTTATAAAAGCACCAAGTTTTGATCAAAAAACGGCTGTAATCCCCAAAAATGACCAAAAACTACCCTTTCAGCCCACTAAAACAATATAAAAAACCCTCATAAAACCAATATTACCTTAAAATAAATTAATGCAAAGCAAACCCAATCTACAACACCTACTTTTGAAACAAAACCGTTAACCATTACCCAATAAGGCTATTTTTACTCCACGTTGTAATTAATGGGTTATTTCAACGAAAAATACGACGAGCTGGTTTTTGAAAGCGAGGGCAAGGTTTAATGATTCCGAAATGGAATCAAAACAGCCGAAGGAAGAAGGAAGGGCTTTCGACCGAGATGTGCAAGGTTTTTGTAGCGCCGAGGTCATTACCACAATGTTGCCGGAGGGGGTAAACTTCAATGAATTATGGGGGGGGGGGGATTTTGATTCTTTTGAATCTGAAGATAAAGATTCAAATTTTTGAAAGTCAAGATAAAGAATCAAATTTTTGACACATAAAAAATTGAGTCAAGTTTTTCCCTCAAAACCAAATTCTGAGTCAAGTTTTTCTCTTACCGAAAATTTTCAAAATCCACCGCCTAAACCTAAAATACGATTCAAAATCCTAAGCTAGGCTTTTTTATTCGTATACAATCATAAATACAACAAAATCAAAAAAATTAAAACTTTTTAAAAAGTTCAAAATTTCAAAGAAAACCCACAAACAACAGTATGAAGTGAGTCGTAGAGGTAATACAATATGTATAAGGCAATGTTTGGTTTATGATGCTATCGTATTTTAGAAAAAAATAAGTTATGATAGGCTTTACAATAGTTATAAGTTACATTACTGGTTAGAGAAAGAGAGAAAAAACAGATTCTTTTGGGTTACTGTAACAAAAAGAGTATTTGAGAAGCTACTGTAAACAAACTTTTCAAAAAACTCACATTACAGTGCACCAATAATCCACTTTTGATATTACAGTATCTAAAACCAAATTTTAAGATTACAGTAACCCAAAAATCAAATTTCAAAGTTACTGTAATATACCTTTCAAACATCTTTATAAAATTACATTTTTGTTACAGTAACCCTTTCCTCCATCTAAACTACCATTAGTACCAGTACTGGTGAGTTAATAGATTAAAAGGCTTAAAACTGTGAATAATATTAGCTTGTTCAAATAATTCTGCGCCATCGACCTTGTAATTTTGCTTTAAGAAGTAGCTCACAATTTTTTGAACAGCCCAATATTTAACAAAAATAAAAAAGTTAACATCCATCTCAAAATGGCACTATCTCAAGTTATCATCCATCCAAAATGGTATGTTCAACCACGACTTAAGAGCTGCACATCAGACATCCCTCCTCCTCTTCCTGGACGTTCTGATCCTTCAATCCGAGCACGGTACGAGCATCTGGCATCTTGTTCTCTTTGCCTGCGACTTCAAGCTTGATCGCCTTTTTTGGGGACTTGACAAAAGTTTCGACCGCTTCCGACTCCTCCTTTGGGGCCGAGTCCTTGGCCGCGTTCAGTTGTTTGGCCTTGGGGACGGTGAACTTAATCGGGTTGACTGATGGCTTTGAGCGGAGGTAGTAGAGACCAGTCTTGAGGCCTAGTTCCCAAGCCTAAAATTTAAAAATAAAATTTAAAAAATTGGTTTAAAAACTTTAAAATATATTAAACATGACCCATGTACCTACAATAACATCAATTTTAAACTATTTTTAAAAAGTTCATAAAATACGACCTGTCCATATCAAAAAGCATTTAAATACAAACAAAACGAAATTTATTTCAATGCTTTTCATCAAAAATTGACCAAGATACACCTTATATATTACCCATGGCCCCTATGAACCTACAACAACTTCACTTTTCATCCCTCTTTCAAAATTTTATGTCAACCTTAATGTTCTCTAATCAAAGACTATTAAAAAACCTTCCAATCAAAACAATTCACATTGCTCTACCACCACTACCACCCCCACTACACCTCAATATCTCCCCAACACAAACCTACCTTGAAATGAAGAGTAGTGCACTTGGGATAGTTGGGACTAGCCATGAACACATTCAGCGACTGAGACTGATCAATGTACGGTCCACGATCGGCAGCCATCTGAAGCAGATCGAGTTGTTTGATCTCCCAGACGGTTCTGTACACCTCCTTCAGGTCTTCCGGAATGTCAAGGTTTTGGACAGAGCCATTGTCACGCATAATGTCATACATCATTTCCTTGTTCCAGCGGCCGATGGCAATCAGGTCACGAACCAAATGTGGGTTTACTACCTAAAATCGTAATTTGAGTCAAGTGTTACCCTAAAAACCCAAATTTTGAGTCAAGTGTTTCTCTTGTCAGAAATCGAAAACCACCGACTTTCCAACCACCGCCACAAAATTTCCCGTTTTGAAACCCGCCCCCTCCATCCCAAGAAAATCCAAATATTTTTACCACGCCCACATTTTTTTCTACCAGCCTTCTCAACATACCTGAAAATCGCCCTTGGTAACTCTCCTAGTGTACATATTCGAAGTGTAGGGCTCAAAAGCCTCATTGTTACCCAAAATCTGGGCAGTTGAAGCGGTTGGCATTGGTGCGACCAGCAGCGAGTTGCGGCAACCATGTTGAGCAACTTTAGCTCGCAACTCTTCCCAATCCCACAGATCAGATGGTGTGGCATTCCAGAGGTCGGGCTGTAGCTGACCCTTGGACATTGGAGATCCTTGGTAGGTCTCGTAGGTACCGTACTGCTCGGCCAGCTCGCAGGACGCCTCGAGGGCGGCGTGATAAATGGTTTCGAAGATTTTGATGTTGAGTTTGCGAGCTTCTTCACTTGTGAATGGAAGCTTCATCAACATGAAAGCGTCGGCCAGACCCTGAACTCCGATTCCAATTGGGCGGTGACGGAAGTTGGACTTCTTGGCTTCAGGAATTGGGTAGTAGTTGATGTCAATGACCTAAAATTACAAAAATTGTAAAGACATTCCTAGTACAGCTCTCTAAATTTAAAATACGTGAATCAATCAAAAGTTGTGCCTTGGTAGAGCAGATTAAAGCTTTTAGATGAAAAGCCACAAATTGGATTATGGCAAAAAATTTCATAAAAAATAATTGAAAAATAAATTCAATACAAAAACTTTTAAAAATGCTTCAACAATCCCACAAAACTAATTCATAGAGTTATTTTTACGATTTTTGAATAAAACATCAAGATTTCAAAAATTTGACAAAATGTCACAAAAATTATCGGTTTACTTAAAATCACCCAGAATCTTATAAAGCATTGTCTAAAACATGTCTTTTCAGTTGTTTAATATTATTTTATTAATTTGACGAAATGTCACAAAAATTATCGAATTTCCAAGAACTTCAAATACAGCCTATTATAACATTCTACACAATCCTAAAATATTAAAACCTTCTTAAATATGTAAAGCACTTTTAAAACTATCATAAACCCTGCTACCACCTTCCCAAACGCACCTTGTTCAAGTTCCGGGCCACAACCTTGGTCACGGCATGAAGTTTCTTGAAGTCAAAGTAAGGGTCTCCTGGGTTCAGCTTCTCATCTCTGACCACAAAGCGATTCAGCGCAATTGAAGCCAGATTACAGACAGCTACTTCATCTGGTGATGAGTACTCGACAATCTCAGTGCACAGGTTTGAGCACTTGATCGTGCCGAGATTCTGTTGGTTCGATTTGCGGTTACAGTGGTCCTTGTAGACCATGTAGGGTAGGCCAGTTTCGCATTGGGACTTGATGACGGCTTGCCAAATATCACGAGCTCTGACTTGACGTCTGTAGCGTTTTTCTTCTTCGTATCTATAATAATATTCAAGTTATGTATCATTTTAGATGAAAAAAGTTAAAGGTAAGTCGCGTCAAAAAGAATAGGGTAATTTTCTATTATATTTGTTAAGAAAATAACCAATTCTTTTTGACGCTGCCAAAAAAACGTCATTCTTCGGCCAAAAATGACAATTTTAGGTAACATTCAACCAAAAAATAATATACCTAGGTTATACAATTGCCAGACAGATATCATATAGTCTTTAAAATACCCATAAACCACCGTTTTGCCGCAAAAAATCAACAAAAACCAACCATTTTATCAAAAATATTAACCTACTTCTCATACAAAGCCTCGAACTCGTCTCCCCAGCAGTCCGACAATCCTGGACATTCATCCGGACTCATCAATGACCACATTCCATCAGCCTTGATTCTTTTCATAAACAAGTCGGGTACCCAGAGAGCTGTGAAGAGATCTCTGCATCTTCGCTCTTCTGGTCCTACATTGAGCCTAAGATCGCAAAAGTCAAAGATGTCGGCGTGCCATGGCTCTAGGTAGATGGCAAAGGCTCCTGGGCGCTGAAATATAATCATATTCAGTGATATTTATCATAATTTTTGAAAAATCCACCTACTACAATATCAGCTATTATAGCTCACAACAAAAAAGTTTGAAGATACAACAAGCTCAAATTTTGTACAAACGACATCTATGATAATGTTAATAATCATGCCAAATATCGACCAAAAATATCACTTTTTAAATTCAAAATTTGAATTTCGCGCCAAATTTAAAACGGCCATAAAATTAAAACCCATATAAATTCAAATTTCGCTCAAATGCTATTCATGCCAATACTAATAAGCGTGCAAAACATTGAATATAAAAACGCCCCTTTAAAATTCAAATCTTCAAATTTCGCTCCAGAATTGGCATAATGTTAAAACCCTTCAAAACACTAAAAATATATTAAAATACCCTTTGCTAGAGCTCTAACTAGAGTAGAACTACTCAAAAAGCAAAATAAAACCTACCCTGCCCCCTTGGTCAACGTATTTGGCCGTGTATTCAAAGTTCTTCAACATTGGCACGATACCAGTCGATCGACCGGGATTTCCGGCAATCTTGGCGCCTTTGGCTCGAATGTTGTGAATGTTAAGACCAATGCCTCCGGCACACTTTGAGATCATAGCACATCGTTTTAGAGTTGTGTAAATGCCATCAATACTGTCATCAGCCATCGTCAACAAGAAACAACTCGAGAGTTGAGGAGTTGGAGTGCCAGCATTGAACAAAGTTGGAGTCGCATGAGTGAACCAACGCTCCGACATCAAGTTGTAGGTCTGGAACATGATTTTATGTTATTTTTATTACCTAGATACTTATTTTTGTATCGATTTTTCATTAAATTTTAAAAATATTACTCTTGAGCCTGGTAGACGGATAATATCATAATTCAAAAACTACTGAAAACAATTATATAAAATTTTTATAGCATCATTACCAATGCTCCGTGGCTCTTACAAACATACTCAACCATTTAAAACTGTTAATTTTAAAAACAAAATTATGATATTACGTTTGATCCACTAGAGACCACGAATAATATCACAACTCCAGAATAAGACAGTTTAACTACCTAAAAAATTTTCTACATCATTATCAATGTCTTAAAACTAACTTGCAAATCGACATACTTTCAAATTTTAAAACATATTCAATAATATTACACTTGACCCTACTAGACGCCATGAATAACATCATAACTCATTAAAAATCGCCCCAAACCTCCCAACTTTTAAAAATAACGTTTAACAACATTCCCTAATCAATTATCAATCCTCTCACCTCAATAGCAGCATCAATATCCTCCATATGAATGCCCAACGCGACCCTCATGAACATAAACTGAGGTCGTTCAACAATTCTTCCTCCAGATCTCAGCAGGTATGCTCGTTCCAACGTTCTGAAGCCAAAATATGTAAAGTCAAAGTCACGTTTGTGGATAATGCTATCATCCAGACGTTTCGCATTCTTCATGACTACGTGGTACAACTCTTCCGAGACCAATGGCTTCTTTTCTCCGTAACTGACATTGTTGTACAGGACCTCGATAACTTCGCTAAACTTCTTGCTCGTTTCCTTTTGAAGATTCGACACAGCAATACGTCCGGCTAACGTCATGTAGTCTGGGTGTTCAACTGAGAGAGTTGAAGCAATGTTGGCAGCGTATTCATCAAGCTGACTTGTTGTGATACCATCAAAGATACCTTGGACAACAACTTTGGTGATTTCGATCTGGAAATAGATTAAAATAAGATTGAAACCATTATAAATAAGTTGAAAAGACTATGAATATTATATTTTTGCCAACTTTTAACACATTCAATCAAAAGCTTTTTCAAAACCTCTAATTTTATATTACACTACCTGTGATACCTATAGCTCGCCCAATTTAATCTAAAACAACAAAAATAATGTAAAAACGTACTGGATCGACATACTCACGATTCAGCCCATAACTTAGACTCTCTATGCGATGCGTAATCTTATCAAAGAGCATCATCTGCTTTCGGCCATCTCGCTTGATAACGTAATGCATCTTGGAACCAGTTAGTAAGATGAAATAGCCACTGAAATATGTTAAAATTAGTGAAAATAAAATGTAATGTAACATATCTAAATAGTTTTGTAACATTCGCGTTAATATTCAATCAGAAAAGAAGCTAATCATTAAGTTATATCAAATATTATCCGTAATAGATAGATGCTCGCAGTTCATAGCCATAACTTTCACTAATTATGTTTTTATATCAAACTGTTAATAGTAAAATATATTCAAAAGAGTAAAGCAACAACAGAAAAATCATTATAGCCATACACAACCGTTTCCCGCGTTCACCTATCAATTTATATTATCATAGACCCTCATTATCCAAAAAATTTTAAAACAACCATTGTCCCTTAAAATTGAATCTGTCTAGCTAAACTATGATCGTAAAATATTCATAAAAGACTTAACATTCAATTATGTAACAATTTACAACCATCCACAACGTTTTACCGCACTACACACCAATTTATATTACCATACCTGATCAAACATCCTCAATCCGTAAAAACCCCAAAAACCACCCCAATAGAAGTCCAAAACCCATTTTAAACTCTACAGTAACATAGCCATGACTCCACAGTAACATCCTGGACAGCCATCACAGATGTCCTCAACTTGCTCAGTCCAGGCTGCGTTCCGAAAAAGCGAAGCGACGCCGATTTCGCGCCAAAAGTGGCCGGCTCCGCCTACAAATTGAAAGTCTACCGGCTGGTACCTTGTTGTAAGGCTCCCGCCTAAATGAGAATATGACTCTTGCTAGAACAGACAAACATTTGCTCGATTTTTATCGAAAATGTGAGGAAATTAAAAAAAAACGAGGAAATTTTAGATAAAATTTCGAAAAAACGAGCTTTCGCAGAGGGTTTTTCTAAAAAAACGGCCAAAAAGCCTTATAGCCCTCTGGCTAAAAAACCAAAAAGATATTAGAAAAAGCTCAAAAAGCATGGCTTAAAGCTGTATTATAAAATCGTATACGAAACTAGTGTTTAAACACCAAAATACGAGGTAAACGCTATTTTAACTATCAACAACAATATAATTTAGCCAAATTTCAACACAAAGACTTGTTTTTCAGTGACCAAAGTACGAGACAGCAAGCACGTGTCCTTGGTTCGTAGAAAGGGCCAGAAGTCTGAATGTTACCCACAGTAAACAAATAAATATAGAGAAAACAAACAGACACCTACAATAATATTTGAGTATCATGAAAGATTGTAATATTTTGAAATGATAAGATTACTGATAAGGTTGATAATCTGAAAAAATAACAAGTGATATCTCTTACACGTTTTTCTTAACATTTTTTTAAGAGCTAGCTTCAAAAATTAGGTATAAAAGGTTTTCAATATTGTAGTAGAGATCAGATAAACTGATGTCAAAGTTTTTAAAAACGCCTAAAAAGGTAACTAGCTTATTACTTACAGACTTCAAAAGGCCAGTTAAAACTAATTTAACAAATTTCAAAAAATTTTTTTCGTTACTTCTACGTAAACCCCAAAGCTACAGTAATCTAGTACAACAACCCTTACCAGCGATATTTATGCACAGTAGGAACAAACAACAATTACCGCGCCAGCTGCGAACTCAAGCTGATTCAGATCACACTTTGCCGAACCGAAAAACTGTCGAACAATTTTTTGTCCGCAAAATTTTTCAAATTGAAAAGCGCGCTTCAGCGGTCGGTCTCACAACGAATTGATCTCCAGTCCAATGTTTGATTGCAAATTGCCAAAGGTATGTTGTTAAAAGTACTAGCTTTGAGGATCTAATGTATATGGTTTTATGTCATTTTAATTTAGTACTACGCATTTGTTATAAGGTTAATCTACATCAATATACCGACTAAACGATAAAAATAAAAACAAGGTTGTAATTGTACAAAGGTTAAAGAATAGGCCACGATATTTAATTACAAGTTCTAAAAACTTAATTTTTGTTTATTGTCACAGTAAATATCGTACTTTACATTGACATCGCTTTCCACATTAAGTCCCGCCACGAAAACAAATGTTGGCCTTCTGTTATATTCTCTTAAAATTTATTGTTACGAAATAAAAAGTAGGTTTTCCTGATGAGGACAACTAGTAAAGTTAACGAAACTTTGCGTAATGTATATTTACAGTCTGTTTTTGTTTTTAAACGTGTTTTTATATCAAAAACTTGTGGATAATATTGTTAATTCTTTGATTTTAGATGAAGCTGGACAAAAAGTGAACGGAGCTAATTTGACACAGGTAAGTTCTTTGAATATTGTTGTTTTAATTTTAGGAAACTATGGTCAAGCTTTTTTTAATATTTTTAAAATTTTTCGACTGCCATCTTGGTTAAAATGGCAGATTTAACAAACGAACATCAGCTGAAGAAACTAAAACAATGATTTTCTTTCAGTTGAACGAATACAAGGCCGAATTGCTGAATGAAGCAGAGGATCTTGTTCTCAATGCTTTTCCCGCAAAGGTGTTGAAGTTCAATGAGATGTTGAACAGTCCAGACTTTTCTCATGCTAGACTGACTGACTTACTACCTGACTTGAACTCCATCGTACCCATTCCAAAACCCGCTTCAGCGGAAGGCATGGAAGTAGATGTGCCGGCGAAGAAAGTGAAAGCAAACGGAGTTGCTAGTAAGTGTTTTTTGTTGTTTTGTTGTGTTTTTAGGGCGTATTTTTTGTTAAAAGAGGTGTTATATTATTGTAGATATAGTAATGCGAGATTTGGATGTTTTTGATGAATTACTTAGAATACTGGTATAAGGTTGAGTTCGAATAAGTTACAATATTATCTACAGTGTGTTTTGAAGGTTTTAGAAGGATGTTGAATTTATAATGTTTATTTTTTACTGAGCAATGACCTTTTAAAATAGGGCAATTACTATCTTTCCTGTTCTCTTAATTTTTGAAAACAAATGTTAAGTCTCCATCTTCCAGCCACCCCAGTGTACGTCTTCAGCGGGGGAGTAGTGTCATCCAATGGGAAATTGACTGAAATGACCACCTCAACTCGGGAGTTGATCAGAGCGACGGTCGAAGAGATCAACAAGGTTAAGATGTGGATCATATTCCTGATTCCTCGCATCGAGGACGGCAACAACTTTGGAGTGTCGATTCAAGAAGAGGCTTTGAATGAGGTCAGGACGGTGGAATCGGAAGCCGCCACCTTCTACGACCAAATGTCACGCTACTTCTTGAGCAGAGCCGAACTGGTGGTTAAGGCTGCTAAGTACCCACATGTTGTAAGTTGTTTTTGAGTCTTAAGGTTTTTTGAATCTGAGAAACCAATGCTTATATAGATTCATTTAGAAGCGGTCCGGTATTTCTATTTTGCTCTAAAAAATCGATATTTTAATAGGTATCGAAGCTTTTTTACCAATTTTTCGCATTTCAGGAAGACTACCGCAGAGCCATCCTCGACGTCGATGAGAAGCAGTTCATCAACATCCGCCTCGTCCTGCTCGAGACCCGCAATCATCTGGCCACCCTACACGACATGATCACCAAGAATCTGGAGAAGATCAAGAAGCCGCGGTCTTCTCACAACGAACACATGTACTGATTAAATGATTGCTCAATCTTTTCTTGTTGACTTTTTTATTGTTACTCGGTTGTTATCTTTCTGTAGTATTCCAGTTATGTTTTTACGTTCTAATTTTAATAAACTCTATCATACCTATGTGATGGTTAATATATTGTGTTGTTAGGCTTACAATGGATATTTATTTGATAAACTTAGTGGGATGAAGTTTGTTTTAGAGTAATTCTAGTACAAACGGTTTTTTTGTTAACGATTATGCTTTAAAGCCTAGTTTTAGAGATGAATCGGGACCAAAAAGGCTTATCAATTCCAAAAAACATTTTTATGTAAAAATATTTATTAACAATTTAAAAACTTGGTAAAATCAAAAACAATGCAATAACAATCTCCTCCAAGCTCTATCCCATGCGAAGAGCATTCAGGTTGGCGTGAGCGATGGCATTATTGGTAGCAACTTGATTCCGAGCCTGGGCAACAGCAACATGGGTCTTGGCTCTGGCAACAGCAGCGTCAGTCTTGGCTTCAGCTCTCACAACGTTGGCCTGAGCCTTGGCTACAGCCAGGTTGGTCTTGGCCTGAACTCGGGCAGCAGCGACATCAGCTTTGGCTTCAGCTCTAGCCACATTAGCATGAGTTCTAGCTACAGCAGCGTGGGTTTTGGCTTGAGCTTTGGCGATAGCGACGTGAGCACGGTTCTCGGCTACTTGTTGATATACGGCAGCTGATGTGGCAAGTCGAGCAGCGTTGGCATGAACAATGGCATTGTTGGTGGCGACAGCGTTGTGGACTTGGGCACGGTGAACAGCATTTTGGGCCGCTACGTTGCCATAGATTTGACGTTTGGCTCGGAGTTCGGCTGATACGGCGACGGTGAAGGCGATGAAGGCAATCAAAGTTAAGCGAGACATCTTTGAAGTTGGTTAAAGTAAAGTCAAGCCACTTGATGGTACGATGAGTGAGGTTGAAATGATGAAGATTGGGATGGTCGAGGGGTTTTTATAGTGTTTTTTGGCTAGCAAGCTTGTAGGATGCCAGACTTCGAAAAGGCTCAAAAATGAGATCACAATGAATACATATGTCTATGAGACAATGTAGAATCGGTAGAAATATCTATAAACAGACAAATATATGACCATTTGAATGTATAAAAGAGGTTTTATGGCACTACGATCAATGATCATGTACGTTAACTTTACGCAAATGCCTCGAATTTGCGTCGAGCTCGAACAATAAACTGACATGTTGTTTTATAGAATAGTTTACCGATTCTACTTCGTTTCATTGACAAATGTATTCATTGTGATCTCATTTTTGAGCCTTTTCGAAGTCTGGCATCCTACAAGCTTGCTAGCCAAAAAACACTATAAAAACCCCTCGACCATCCCAATCTTCATCATTTCAACCTCACTCATCGTACCATCAAGTGGCTTGACTTTACTTTAACCAACTTCAAAGATGTCTCGCTTAACTTTGATTGCCTTCATCGCCTTCACCGTCGCCGTATCAGCCGAACTCCGAGCCAAACGTCAAATCTATGGCAACGTAGCGGCCCAAAATGCTGTTCACCGTGCCCAAGTCCACAACGCTGTCGCCACCAACAATGCCATTGTTCATGCCAACGCTGCTCGACTTGCCACATCAGCTGCCGTACATCAACAAGTAGCCGAGAACCGTGCTCACGTCGCTATCGCCAAAGCTCAAGCCAAAACCCACGCTGCTGTAGCTAGAACTCATGCTAATGTGGCTAGAGCTGAAGCCAAAGCTGATGTCGCTGCTGCCCGAGTTCAGGCCAAGACCAACCTGGCTGCAGCCAAGGCTCAGGCCAACGTTGTGAGAGCTGAAGCCAAGACTGACGCTGCTGTTGCCAGAGCCAAGACCCATGTTGCTGTTGCCCAGGCTCGGAATCAAGTTGCTACCAATAATGCCATCGCTCACGCCAACCTGAATGCTCTTCGCATGGGATAGAGCTTGGAGGAGATTGTTATTGTATTGTGTTTGATTTTATCAAGTTTTTTAATTGTTAATAAATATTTTTACATAAAAAATCTTTTTTTTTGGAATTTATTTACATTTTTTGGGGTATCTTAGCGTGTTGTACCGTAGTTAATCGGATTTTTTTATAATGCCATAGATTATAGTGTAGTAAAAGTAGAATGACTCGACTGTAAATGATCTTTTTGTTCTTTATTGCTCTAAACTAGGCTTTAAAGCTTAAGTTTTAATTAAAAATGTCATATTAAGCCTAAAAACATAGACATGACAAAGCTTATCAGAATCCGAGGGTGATATATATTTTACGGCTTTGTATTGGTTAAGGAATTCATATCTTTTTATTTTTTTAAAACAATTCATTGTTTTACCAAATCAAATAAAAACCTTCGTTTTCCAGCTCGCGCCCTCTGTTCGCAGCCTGCAGAAACTCATTGTTACTTTTTTTGATTGAACTCTTCAAAATGAATAATTTTGAAAAGGCAAATGTGATAATGTTTCCCCATTTTTGTTCATTTCCCTTCGCGGAACCGGTCGATTAACTTTTGGTCACGATGGAGCCCCAATCCAATACTTTTGACAGTGAAAATGATGACAATTACGTTAGTAGCAAGAAGAATCAAAAGTATCAAGAATATGCCCGAAGAATGACACCGAGGGCGAATCCGAAGAACGACGGGGATTTTGTGAGTACTAGACGCACCAGCAAGGATGCAAGACGTGCTAGTACGATTAACAGCCGGCTGTCTCGAGCTGTTCAAAGCAGTACAGTGGAATGGGAGAGAAGAGTGAGTATTGGGGATGGTGTTGTATGGATTTTGAAGCCTTAGCCCTAGCCCAGAGCTCATAGTATTTTAGTTAAACCATTTCATTTGTGAGTAAAGTGTCTAACTTTAAAAAAAAATACAAAATTATGCCATATTAGCTTATTACAACGGTTTTTACAATAGCATAAAATACAATTTTCATCAAAATTGTCAAACTTTTTACCAATATTGGGCGAATTTTTCATCTTTTTCTATTTCTAATTATTTTGCGGTGTGCCAAAGTCCTAGCCTAGAGCTAAAGCTCAGAGTCCTAGCCCTAGCTCTATTCCGAGCCATAGTCACTTTAATTTTAAAATTCCAGAAGATGGCATACGATCGGAAGCTCGAAATCAAGCGAAACAAAGCCGAGAAGCAAGGAGAAGTCATTCAAGACTTGTGGATCACCAGCTTTGAGTACCATGATGGCGCCGAGGAGAATCTCCACTTCAGAGAACACTTTCCGGAAAAGCTTGAGGGGGACATTGAGGTCAAGAGAGGACACAAGGGTGGTGGGGACAAGAAGCGGTGGGTTTCAAAAACTTTGAGAAGGGCACAGAATTATTTGAACAATCCAATAAATATAATTAAATCCATAATAACTAAGCTTGGTATTCTTTCAGTGTTTTTGTACCAAAACCTCGAGCCAAGAAGCTGAGCAACAGTTCCAGTGGAGATGAGTAAGTTTAGTCTTTTTCTTACTACGTTTTCTCCTTAGTATTTCAATTTCTAAGTTTGCTTTATATTGTTTTAGGTTTTCTTTCTATTTTTAGGCCTATTTTCTTTGTTTTAGGCTTTTATTCAGTTTTTGTTGGGTTTCGCCTTGATATTAAAAAAATTGTGTTTTAATGCCATTTTAAATTGATTTTGGCCATAGTTTTTTGATAAAATAGAAAATGTATGTTTTGTTACCTTTCTAAGACAATGCTTTATACAACAACATCGAAATTTTCATTTTCAGAACCCTTAATGTCCCCGAGTCCGATACACTACAAGCACACCCAAGAAAGCACGGTCACAAGTCGGAACGATCATCCAAGAACCGTAGCTACAACTCGGAACAACAAGCCAAGAGACGCGGCCACAAGTCGGCCAAAACCCCGTTGGCCCAGAAGATCCCGTCCAGTCTGACACAAAAATACGACAGACTGACCCCAGTCCAGAAGAAGCAGCTGGAGGAGTGGCAGAAGGCGACCCAACAACAAATCACGGACCTGATGCGGAAGGCGGCCAAGGACTACAAGTTCACTCACTTTGACAAAAACCATCCCGAACTGGAGATCGACGTCAAGATCAACATGACGGTGAATGTGAAGAAGAGGGATCTGAACAAGATTGTCATTCCAGTGCCAAGTGATAGGGATGGATAGAGTTTTGATGTATTATGGTGTTTTAGAGAATAAATAAGGCTACATATATTGATAAGGTAATCTAGATGATATCTTTGGATGTTCAAATAATTCTGTGCTCTTGCCCTGAAAATTTGTTTTGGAAGGGAACACAGAATTATTTGAACAACTTAATATAACGTTATAGTGAATAGATAATGGTAAACTATTTGAGGGTTGAAGAATGTTCAGGTTGATGGGCAATGTTATAGTAGATGAAGTTAAAGTATAATGAAGATATTGACATTTTGTGTGATCTTAACATAAATTTGGTTAACTTGAAGTTGTTTAAAATTTAAAAATTTTTAGAAAGACCAACACTTACCAGAGACGGGCGTGAAAAAATAAACATAAAACCACCTCCTTGATTAAAAAAATTGCAGCTTAAGATTTACCACGCCCTTTGAAATTTTAGAATCAACCCCTCCTATCCAGAGTTGATTTTCTCATCCCTATTTTGCAGCACTAACCTTACCCTCCTCTCCTACCAAATGATAGCCTAATCCCTAGCCTTTTTCAGCACTGACGCTACCCAAGAAGATCACCTCATCCCTCTACTTACTACGAAGTTAGATGTTTCTAAAATCTTCTTCATTATCCTTTGTTCAACATTACAAACATACCATAAACTTATTTCAAAGCCGACCTAGATAAACAGTGCTTTGCCGGACCCGTCCGGCCCGGACCGGACCGTACCTGAGCGAAAAAAAATAGAGCCGGACCGGGCCGGACCGAAAATTTTTCGGACCGGACCGGACCGAAAAAATTCTCATCCGGACCGGTCCGGCAAAACACTGTAGATAAACCTAGTTCAAAGTTCATGTATTCATAAAATCGTTGCGCAATGGGGTCGAATGATTTATTCAAATCATTAGGCCTATAAACCCGCACAAAAAAGTTAAAAGCAAAGAGCTCGAAGTAAGAACAAATTAATTTTCGTCGATGAATATAATAATATTTCATCGATGAATAAAATTTTGTGCCAATTCAAGAAACTATAAAAGCAGGTGTAAAATCGACATCTTCCTCACTTCTCCACCATCTCATATCCCCACCAACTCCAATTAAAAAAATGAGCCAGCCAGCCGCTACCGTATGCGAGGCCCCAGCTCCATCGCCCGTCCCAACCAAGGCCTCAGCTTCATCGGCCGCCCCAACTGAGGCCCCCAGCTTCACCTGAGGCCTCAACCATGGCACCAGCCTCACCAGCCGGCTCTACCAGCCTAGACGAATTGTCCAGGCCATCGTCGGCAGCTTCCGACCGTTCGGAAGGCAGCTTCTTGCCGCTTACGCGGCTTTTTCCGCCACAAAAACCAGTGGCAGTTCAGGTAAGTAATACTAACAAAATTTTTTTACTCTGTCTTACTCCATCATACAACCCTTTGCTCTACCCTGCCTTACTCTGCCTAATTTTACCTTGCCCTACCTTAACATATCGTACCTTTACTTACGTTACCTTACTCTACCTTACGTTACCCTACACCCCTCTACCCCACCCCACCATATTCTGCCTTATCCTACCATACCCTTAACCTAACCTAACATAACATTTATTTTTGCACTTTCAGCCACGCCTATCTCGTAAGAGATCATGGAATGAAGGCCCTAATGCCGACGTCCATAAGCTTCTGGACGACTTGGAACGCGAGTTCCAAGTAATCAAAATCAAGCAACTGTGTTGCTCGAACGCCAGACAGCGAGCCGCCCTCAAAATAGAAATAGATTGTGTGATGGCCAAGTTCGCGGCTATCAAGGAGCACTGCCAGGCAAAGATGGCCAAGTTGAAGAAGACACAACATCAAGAATAGAATGTTATTGTATTAGTTAGTTTTATAGTTATACCATTGTATATATTGAGAGTGTAATAATTAATAAACATTTATAATAATTTATTTTTGGATTTTTTCAAATTTTTTCGTAAGAGTTATTAAATTAAAAAAGGTAATTAAGTTTAGTATAGGGCAGTAGAAAGAAGTGTTAACATTTATTCAATAAAATTATCAACAATAAGTATTTAACATAAGCTTATCGTGTTATCATATATGAACCTATAAATGCCTGTCGTCGTTGTTCGTCCGCTCTTACACCAAGGAGTGTAATCTGAAATCAATTTCAGTGATGTTTTGTATTTAAAATGGTCAGAAATACGTTGCTATCCCTCATCAGGGCCGGACTTTGATGGAAGGAGAGGGGGGAAAAAGAAAAGGAGGGGAAAAAGGGGGAGGGTTGGGGAAAGGAAGAGAGGTAGGATGAACAAATACTGTTTAACATGGTCGCCCCTGTTAATTTTTAAAAAATTATTATTATTAAACTGTTCAATTAATTCTGTGCCCGTTCTCAAAGCAAATTTTTGGGGTTATAGAGCACAGAATAATTTAAACAATCTAATAGAACAATTCTTTCCTGTGCCAAATTTTTTTTCCCCCCCCCCCCCTTCTCCCCACACCAAAGTTTCCCGCCATGCCCACGATGAACTACCCCTACGTTCCCCGCTTCATCCCTGCCCTAAAAACTCGACTTTCCCTTTCGTCAGCGTACTATTATATTAGATTGTTATTCAAATAATTTTTTGCCCCTAACCTTAAAATTTAGCAGGGGCACACCATTATTTGAACAACCAAATAGTACATAATAAAACAGAAATAGTACTAAAGGTCTATAATAACATACCTTGCTCTAGCCAAATGTTGTAGCATATCGGCTTGACTGACTGAAGTGCTGGGTATGTCAGGGATCCCGGTATCAACTTGTTCCTCCTCATCATCGTCAGGAATATGAATACCAATCAATAGTTGATAGCCCCATTGACCTAGGACAGCGCCAACGAATGGGCATATCACGGGTACGAGAAACCACTGATAGCCACGGTAACTGAAGACTTCACTACCGTAACCTGCGAAGAAAGTGAACAGACGTGGGCCGAGGTCACGAGCTGGGTCTGGAAGGTCATATGTTAGTACTGAAGGTCTACTGTATAAGGAATGGCTAGGAGATCCTACCGTGCCCAGCCTTACCTTATCTTACCCTACCCTAACCTACCCTACCCTACCCTATCCAACCCTACCCTATTCTACCTTACTCTACCTTATCCTAATATTATCATAGCAAACCTCTCGTTATATCTACCCAACTTACTCATAGCATTACCAGCATTCAGTCCAAACCCTAAACATATGGTCAACAACATAGCACCAAGTAGTGATGGCTGTGCCCACGACGGTATCTTATTCCGTTTATCAGTAACAATCGATGAAGTACATGCCATCATGGCAGTACAACAAATTTGATCGAAAATCGACCCGATCAAACTCAGATGAGTACCAGGATAAGTGGCAAAGATACCACCGGTACCTGTTTCGCCTAGTACACTACGTTGGCCTCCATCAAATTCATTGATTTTGTCTGGAATTTAGATATTAAAATTGCTTTTTTAATATTAATTTAGCCTAAGGTCATCTAAAGTTTGAAATTTAATGCCAAAAAGTCTTGTCGTTTTTTAAATAACAAACCAATAGAAATAAACGACATGACTTTTTTAAAACAAATATTTTGCAGAATAGCTTACCATAGTACATGATAAACGTCAAAAAAGCTCCAAGAAAACTAGCCACTGTCTGTACGGCTGTGTAAAGCAGAAATTCAATGAATGGTAAATCTCCAAATGTCCATGCTGCAAATGATATTGCCGGGTTTAGGTGAGATCCTGAAACAATATTTTAAAAAATGAAATTTTAAATAAAATACGATACCATACCCCCTCGTTTCATATTCTACTCTACCTTACCATTGCTTTGCCTTGCCCTGTCCTACCACTGCCTTGCCCTGCTTTGTATTGCCCTACCCTTGGCCTGCCTTGCTTTGCCTTTCCCTTGCCTTGTCCTACCGTTCCTTGCCTTGTCCTGTCCTTCTCTTGCCTTGCTCTGTCCTACCTTGCCTAGCCCAGTCTAGCACTTGCCTTGATTTCTTTAACCAGTATTACCATGCCCAGCCGTTGCCTTTTCCTCTCCTTGCCTTGCACTATCTTGCCCTGCCTTTTCTTTCCCATGCCATACCTGACAAATGATAGCCCATTTGAATAGCAAACACCAATGACAATCCCCATGCCATTGAAACGCCCAAAGATCCGGCATTCTGTGTGTTATGACTTAACGTTGTTTGAGCACCAGCTGAAAATCCAGCGTACTAAAAAAACGTTTCTATTAGCATATGATCTATCATACCATAAGAAACGAGGTAGCAGCAAATTCAGATAAAACACGTCTCTTCAACGGACTTCTGATTCTATACTTTTCTCGTAGCTTGTCTAGCCTAGTTTGGGGTTTAGCCTCTGTTAATGACATTTTGGCTTAGAATAAAACAACAAAATTGATTGGAAAGATAGTATTAGATAGTAAACGATAGCTTCTACTTGTAGTAACAAAAATTTGTAGCCAATTTTAGGTAATACTTCAAAAATTAACACTTTTTATAAGGAAAACCTCCGAAATCAGCTTTAAACCTCTTTCACTAGTTTATCACCTTCAAAACCATCAAATATAATTACAAACAACACAATATCAATATAAACTCTTTTTCAATACCTCAACATAGACTTCCTACTCAAAAATCGCTGTGTATTTAAAGTACGGAGCCAAATACGCACTGTGATCTAGTATAATATCGTCGAGGTCAGAATCCAAAAGCTTTTCCCAATTCATAGTCCGTTTTTTTCCAAAAAAAATCAAGCATCAGCAAAGGGTTCACGTGAAAAGTTGTCAATGTCTACCATATTACTTATGTTAATTCGTTTCGGTTTTGCGAAATAGAACATAAACTCTTGTGTTACTCAACTTGCAAAATTAAGGGTCCTATCTTTGTAGAACAAAATAAAGTTAAAATAGGTAGAATAGACTAGTCTAGCCTCAGAACTTTTATCCCAGTTTATTTTTCAATCTTATGTCGTTTCAAAAGGCAACATTACTACGATCATTAAGTTCCAGCACGAAAACAAGCGCCGTTTGGCCTTCCGCATCAAGCCTTTTTTGCGCATTTTTCTGAATTTCAACATCTTTTTCTCGGTTTTTGTTGTATTTTACCGTATATAGCTAAAATGGCGACTGTAAAACCACGTGCTGAGATGTCTCAGGAAGAACTGGATGCTCTAGAACAGGAGGAATTCAAAATTGGCCCTCTATCCGTGCTCCTTCACTCGGTAAAAGACAACGGACAAGTGCTCATCAACTGCCGAAACAACAGAAAATTGTTGGGAAGAGTCAAGGCTTTTGACCGGTAAGAGTTTAAATATTTTTGTCTTGAGTTTAGGGAATCTGGAGGGGGTATAATTTGGTCTAGAAGCTATTGGTTTTGGTCAATTGGAGCTGTTGAAGGAAATTACCTTGTGGTAGCTTTGTAGCTGATAGTATTAGAAGTTTTTTGTTTTATTTAGCTGGGAAATTGAGTTTTTTAATTTTTAGATGTAAAATTGGTCTGTTTTTTGCTTTTTATTTGCTGTTTTTTGAAGATATTATAATAGATACTACAATAGACCAAGGTTGTAGTGATAGTGATTACTTTTTTGAAAAGATAGCTGGAAGCCGGAAATCTTTAAAGAATTGAGAACACTTTTCAAACTAACTACTATGACAACGTAAGCTCTAATGTATTCAGCTGTTTTGAAGTTACAGCGTACTTTATGAAGCCTGTATTAAACAAAACTTTATATTAATTTTTATGTAAAAATCAGGTAGTTTATAAAGTATGAAGAAATAACTTTATCCTTTTCCAGACATTGCAACATGGTTCTGGAAGATGTGAAAGAGATGTGGACCGAACTACCATCAGGAAAAGGAAAGAAAAAGACCAAGCCGGTGGCCAAGGATCGTTTCATCTCCAAAATGTTTTTGCGTGGTGATTCCGTGATCATGGTACTGAAGAATCCTCAGGCCAAGTAAGACGTTTTTAAGAATCCGATTTGGTATTCCTGAGCTCTCCAAAGTCATGGAATTGTAAGGTCTGCCGTTTATTATTGTTATTTTTAATTTATACATCGTTTTCCACCGTATCTCAAAAGTTATTTTATTAAAATAAACGAGTCAACAACAATGTACAAGGATAAAATTGAAAAAGTAAAATATTAACATGTAGATGGCACAAAAGACCCCTAAAGTAACCATAAGAGTTCAGTTTTGCTTCTGAATCCTCCAGAATCCATTTTATTTGTGCTCAATCTTCAATTCCTGTTCCTTGGGCAACTCCGGCTTCGCTGGCTCCGTGTAAGGGGCTTCGAATTGCAATGTTCCTTCGCTGGTGTACTTGGCCGTGATCTGCTTCGGCTCCACGCCTTCTGGAATTCCGACTTTGCGACTGTATTCGAAGCTGCTTTCTGCGTCCTTATACTTGGCTTCAATCGTCAGCACACGCTCCTGGGTATCAGTGGAAACTTTGACGTCTTCTGGCTTGAAACGGCGAACATCGAACTCGAGTTTGAACTTATTGACACCATCTTCTTCAATGATCGGGTTACGGATTCGGAAGGCTTCGTTGTCGATGGGCTGTTGGAATGGACGCCAAGACATTACGAATGGACCTGAAATAATAAGGGTTACTGGTTTGATGCAAAAGTAATGGCGCATTTGAAAGCTGGTCGAAAAACAATGGCGCTTTTAAGAGTTGATGCAAAAAAAAACGTCGCACTTTAAATTTAGGAAAAAATACACATACAGGCCTGACAAAAGCTTTTAAAACAAAACTTTACACCTAAAACTTAACTTACTTCTAAAGAAGTCACGTTCCAACTGGCTGACACGATTCTGAAGTTCGTCGAAAATGCTACCTCTTGGACCCCATGGACCTGGAGGACCGATGAATCCACGCTTCGCAACGGAAACGGTACGGAACGGGCGCAAAAGTTGTTGAACAGAACGTTGCATCATCTTTAAACCTCAACTATTGTTTTCACTTAAAACTTCGAAGCCGGCCGTTCGGCTTTTATACTCTTTCGCGGCGAAATTTCGAGAAAAGTATCGCAATTTCCAAAATGTGCGAAAGAATTCGAGGTTTTTCCACTGTTTATTGCCGCTTTTTCTAATGTTACACTTTGTTTTTCGCTACAAAAACTTGCACAAATATTTACACATGTTATTTCTACCATTTGATTATATTAAAACGATCTTCCGATCCCAACAACACAGTGTAATCAACAGGAAGTGCATCAAAGACCTTCAAATTCCAGAATCGTCCCCTAGGGTCAAGTGTTGCTCTTCACTCAAAAATTATTTTCCCTGACAAGCAAAACTTTTTTCATCTCAATTTCCAATCGAAATTTATCAAGATGAGTTCACAAAAGCTTGGGAATTTCATGATGATGCACGGCTCGAGGTACAATGACCAAAGAAGAATGTCCCTAGGGCGTGTGTCAAGTGTGCTCCCCGTGAACGGTCTTACAATAATGCTTTCTTTGCTTCGGTTTGCAGTTGGATTGCAAAAACATGTGGCACTACTTGTCCGAACTGGTTCGAACAAGCCCTCTAGGGCCTTACTTATATTCAAGCGTATGGACACAACGTGCTGAGCATTATTTTGGCACCTCTGGACGTGACGGTAAGTTACTCTGACATTACTGTCGCTTTTTTGTTGTTTTTCGAAATTTAGGTGTTGAACTGAAGCTTCGGGTTAAATTACTGTGTGTTTTTGAAGATTAGCGTGGGAGTTGTTGATTCAGAGAGCAAGATGGCTAATTTGATTAGTTGTTTATGTTGTTGTAGAGGCTAAACATCTTTGATTGTTTTTGGTAACATAGGTTGGCTAATCTTTTTTGTAAGAGGATGGTAAAACAATGACTTATCTTGCTTTTTCAAAAGTTTAGTCGACTGTGTGATACAGAGTTGTTACTTATATTATCCTTGATCAGCGGATTTGCCGCGTATTCTATAGGTGATTATTCTATTTTTAGCCATGCAATGGTTTATTGGAATTATGCACGACTGCGAATACAATGAAGAATTAAGAATCTATTATTTGTCGTATCTCATGTTGCTTTCTGCCTTTATTCTGGGTGCCTTCCTGCTTCTCACCAGATTTGCTGTTGGATACGGAAGACATCAAGGTGAAACGAATATGCCAACGGTTCCGAACAGATTGTCATGGTTTCTGCAGGAAGTTCCATCCTTCATTTTCCCGCTGATTGCATTGTGGTACAAGTACAAGGAGAAGGCGGATCAAGGACTCAACTTCAATATTGGCTTTATGTCATGCATAGCATGGTTAATGTTCACTCTTCACTACTTCCAACGGTAAGTTGTATTAATATTTTTTTAAGATTTAGGTTTTCATAGTACTTTTATAGACATAGCCTTGAGAGTTTAAAGTTCTATATGGTTTTATGATTTTTTATCTTATTAAAGGCAAGATGATATTGGAAGCCATGTCCTGGTTTTTGTTTTATAGAGAACAAAAACGAATCAAATAGTATTAATAGATACTATTCTGCATTTTTTTTATTTTTTAATGCTAAAAATTAGGTTTAGACACATCTAATTTAATTTTTTTGAGATCAGTCGGCATATGTTATGGATAACATAATATTTTGTATTCTGAGCTGCTCTATCAAGTCAGCATCTTTTTTAGAAAATTTTTATAGTTACAATATAAGTTTTGCACAATACTTTTACTTATTTCATTGTTTACAGCTCCTTCATCTACACTTACCTGATGAAACCAAGCAGACCTGTTCCGATTCATATTTTAATTATGGGAATCATTTTCTGCTCATGGAACGGCTACATTCAAGGATTCCGTTCGTTATTCTATGCCAACTACGAATTTGGTTTGATCACTGCGCCCATTAGAATCATTGGCCTTGCTTTTTTCATGATCGGAGCCTACATCAATATCAGGTCGGACGCGGACCTACGAAGTTTGGAAAGAGGTCCAAATAACCAGTACCGGATCCCGCAAGGTATGTTGTCTGTAATATTTTTATTTTTCGTCGATTATTTAGGTGTTTAATGAGGTTCTAGGCTTTGAATTGTATTATCATATGTATTGATATTAGTTGGTGCACCTAAATAATCATAAAAACTAATTCAAAGAGGTTTTACCATAATTTAAAGTCAATTTTCTTGCAGGCCAGTTCTTCACTTATGTATCCTGCCCCAACTACGCTGGCGAAATCCTCGAATGGTTTGGCTACTTCCTCTTTTGCCAGAACATCACCGCTTTTGCCTTCTGGCTTTTCACGGCCGCCAACACCGGTCCCAGAGCCAAAGAACATCACGAATGGTACAAGAGAGAGTTCCGTAGATATCCTGCAGAACGCAAAGCATTAATCCCGTTTGTATATTAACTAATTTGCTCATGAAAACCTCACCAAATGACATAACTTAATATCGCATGATTGAAATAAATTATTCATTTTGATTTGATTTTGTTCTATCTTGTTGATAAATTGGTACAATATAAAATTTAAAATTTAAGCTAGCCAAAAATGGTTAGTTTAGAACTTTGTGAGGATATTAACTTCATGGAACAAAATTATTTTTAATTATAAGAAAAGACTTGACGCATAATTAGGCGCGCCAAGTGTTGCCTCGACGTAGATATTCGTTCTTTTTTCCATCGAAAAACCGCAGAATCAGCCTGTAAAACGGTTGAATGTTACCTTATTCAACGTAATAAACATGTATAAACGTCTTCATTTTGTATTATTATGTATATTTCTCTTGTTTACTGCAAATTCGGCTGAAAACCCGGCAAAATCTAAGAAAACGGAGGATGAAACAACATTGTTGGAAGAAGAGACAATAATAATATTAACAGAGGAGTTGGAGCCCAAAAAGGATGAAGGTAAATTTTGTATTTTTATTATTTTGTGTTTAGATTTGAATTCACAATCTTTCTTTGGTATTGTTGTTATAGTGGGAAAAGGTTAATGTCTTGTTTTCAGAGAGAATCTCGGGAGACTTTCTAACTGATGAGGATATTGATTTGATGGAACATACTGGTTCAAGTCCAGCGCTGATTACACAGGAAGTGGAAGAGAAAGATGCTTTGTCAGACATTTTCGTTGAGTTTATGCCTGAAAAGAAGCCACCTGGGTATGTTAACATTACTTTTTGCTCCTGTAATTTTAGTTTGGAACCTTATCCTCGAATATTAACTGATCTGGTTTTAGAGAGATCAATTCACAAGCTAAGCAATTGTACGAGGATGCGCTCCAAGTTTTGGGTAGGAAACGATGGGCTCAAGTTGACGTAGCAGATCTGAAGAATGCCTACAAGGAAATGGAAAAGGCTGCTGATATGGGTCATCCGGATGCCCAGAAGATACTTGGTAAGGTTTATATTGTTGTTGTTTACTTTTAGGTGGCAGAAGAGACGTTGTTTGATATTTTTGGTCTATAAATGGCTCTTTTAAAAAATACCAAGTGTAACAAACTTAATCAAAATCTCAAAAATAGCTTATATTTTAGCAAATCAGCTCTAGTTTATGTTTGATTATGTATTTTTTAGGTTTCTCATACCTGTTTGGAAACCATCGATGGAGTATTGACGAAGCCAGGAACATTTTTGAAAAGTTGGCCAAAAACGGAAGTCCAGATGCTCATTTAGGCCTTGGGTTCATTTATTCGACAGGTCTTGGTATGGATGAGCCTGATCCAGCTAAAGGGCTTTTGCATTATACTATTTCCGCATTGGGAGGGAATCCGTTGGCTCAAATGGCTGTGGTATGTTGTTATTGGTCTAAATGAGCTCGAACTGGCCTTTATGAACAAGTTTTTGATATTTAAAAAAATGTTTTTCAAAAATTTTGTTTTGATTGTTAAGTGAAGATAAGGCTCACATCACCAATTTCAGGGCTATCGTTATCACGCAGGAGTTAATGTGAAGGCGGATTGTGACGTAGCTTTGAACTGGTATAAGCGAGTTGCTCAGAAGGTGGCGGACAAAGTAAAGCTGACTGGATCACCTTCAATTCAACGCATCCGAATTCCAGATGAAGTTGAAAGCACAGCCAATTCGGGAAGCATGGTCGACAACAACTTGTTCCTGTACTATACCTACTTAGCCGAGACTGGAGATGTTCCAGCTACTGTAAGGTGTTTTAATGAGTGTTTTAGTACAAATTACTTGAGTATGGAAATTTAATGAGTTTTTTTAATATAATTTAAGAGATTAGTGATACGAATTTTAAAAATTGCTTCAAATAATACAAAAGGTCTTGTTTTAGATAGCCCTGGCCACACTATACTTGACAGGCGGCAAAGGCGTCCCAATGGACCTAGAGGAAGCTGCCAGGCACTTTAAGGTTGCAGCTCAAGCTGGTAACACACAAGCCTACGCTTATCTTGGACGAATGTACCTGGAAGGCACCCCATCTACTCCACAGTCAAATTCCACAGCTTTTGATTACTTTAAGAAGGCATCGGACAAAGGAAATGCGATCGCACAGTCCGGGCTGGGCTTAATGTTCTTGGTCGGCTATGGTGTGGATCAGGACTCGAATTTGGCTTTTAAGCTGTTTAAGTAGGTTTATTTTTGACAGGATTTGGATTTTAGGTAATAAAATGTGTTAAAGGACGATTTTGGTCCAGCAATGCGTAATATCTAGCCAATGTTTAAATAATTTCAATTTTCAGAATGGCCGCAGATCAAGGCTCATCAGACGGCCAACTCCATCTAGGCCAAATGTTCTTTTACGGTATTGGCGTCGAGAAGAACTACAAACAAGCGATTCAATATTTCCAACTGGCAGCTCAATCTGGCCATATTCTGGCTCTGTATAACCTGGCCAACATCCACGCCACGGGAACCGGCGTCCAACGAAGCTGCAATTTGGCTACAGAACTCATGAAGAACGTCGCGGAACGTGGACGATGGGCGGAACGGTTCGTGGATGCGTTCAGCAAGTTTATGTTGGGCCATAACGAGGAGTCGGCTATTAGGTTAGGGTTGTATTTGGATTTATGGGTGTGATTTTTTAGATTTTTTTTGGGATTTTAAAATTTAAAAAATTTGAAATTTTATTTAGTTTTTTTTAATTTTAAAATTTTAAGTTACTAGCCATTTTTAGACGATAAAATTATAAAAAACCTTGTTTTAGATACCTATTCCTGGCCGAACTCGGCTACGAAGTTGCCCAAACCAACTTCGCCTTCCTCATGGACAAATCTGAAGGTCGTCAGCAACTTTTCAAACCAGACCAAACCTACAAACGCGCTTACCAATACTGGTTGAGATCGGCCAATCAAGAGTACGCGTATGCCAGAGTAAAACTTGGAGATTACCTATTCTATGGCCTCGGAACTCAAATAGACTTGGCCGCAGCAGCGAATCAGTACAAGGCGGCCGCTACGTCACATCAAAATGCACAAGCACTGTTCAACTTGGCATACATGCATGAGAATGGGTTGGGTGTTAGTCGGGTAAGGTTTTTTATATTTTTTAAAAAAAAATTAAAATCAAAAAAAATTTTTTTTTGGAAATTTGAAAAAACTTTTGAAATTTTAAATTGAATTTTTTAAATTTTTTTGAAATTATCTAAATTTACATATCAACAGATTTTTCATAGTAAGGCTAAGAAAGATGTATATATTTTTTATTAAACGTATTTTACCTTCAGGACCTTCATTTGGCCAAGAGATTCTACGATTTGGCCGCGGAAACCTCGACAGACGCCATTGTTCCAGTAACTTTGGCTTTGATCAAGCTGCGGTTCATGTTTATTGCTGACTTCTTCACAGCTGTGAGTTTGCTTTATCACTTCGGCTATTAGATTTAATCTTTAATTTTTGGTTAGTGTTGCTGATGATATTGATGTGATTCAATAAGAAATGGCATTTTTTAAAGGATTTTTTGCTAAAATAAATTGAAAAAGTTTATAAATTTTTTAAATTTTTGTCGATTTTCAGGGCTTTTTATTCGATTCAAATGGCGATTCGGTGTTTGAAAAGTTCCTAGGTCCACAATGGGACCTATACCTAATGACACTCTTCTTTGGACTAGCCATCTGGCTACTCATAGTCTATTGGCACTACAGAAGGCAGCTCGACAACCAATCACCGTCAGATCCAACCCCCAGTCAACAGAACCTTCGGCCGAACAATGGTCAAGGAGGGCCGAATCATGGACAAGGAGGGTTGAATCAAGGTCAAACAGGTAGCCAAAACTTGTCTACCTACCAGGCTGGCCCATCTAGTCAGTCGACCTTGTCTACTCAAAAAACGACAACCTCAACTTCACCAGGCCCGGCTGCCACTTCATCAACAGCTCCATTGAACCCAGGAGCGACAAGCCTGGACAGTGGAGCCAGTGCAAGTGTGAACCTAGATCAATCCTCAAATGACCCAAATCGAATTCAGGATCAGCCATTAGACTAGGAAACATGTGGCCAACACTTATCGACCATGTTCATAGAAAACGGCCTAGCTTCGTTGTGCTAGATTCTAAGTTATATTCTATTTATTTATGAACGAGTTTTTAAAAATTTTCTTATCGATTTTTAATTTTTTGGCGATTTTTAAATGTCTTTTTTGATTTTTCTTTGAGTTTTCAGATTTTTTGTGATTTTCTTTGATTTGCGAAAAGATTTTTAAAATTTTATGGAGTGGGTTTTTAAAAATTTAGGTTTTCCAACAGATTTTTGTTGATTTTGGACGGTAAAAGTGAGATTTTTAAAAGCATAAAAATAGGGTTAGGAAGTGAATACAGTGATAGCTATTTAGTATGACATTCAAAGGATTGGTTTAAACTTGTCCTTCTACCCAGAGAGTCACATTAAACAGATTTTTTTTGCTAGAGGTTTCATTATGAAGGGCTCTTTGGCACTACACTCAAGGGACTGATCTAAACCTGTCTTTTGAAGCAGGGTGTTACGCTGTATTATAAGCTTCACCCACTTATAACCAATACCCAGCTACTTTTTGATAGAGGTTCTATTGAAAAGATGAAGAGGTGTCATTATAAGGAGGGTGTCACACTATTGAGGGTCATACCAAAGAGTACTAAAGAGGTTTCACTGTAGAAATTTGAAAAATGAGGAGATTTTCGGCTGATAGGACGATTCTACAAACTTTTCGACCTAAGTAATATATGAGTTGTAAAAGTTTTGTTTTCTCCATAGCAATGTTATGTCTGCCATCTTCCCTCCTACTTTCTATATTATGACATTATGTGAACTTTCTCTCCTATTTTTCATGCCATAATTAAACTCCCCCCCCCCCTTCTCATCCCTCTACTTCTCTTCCTTTATCACTTTACCATACCCTACCCTACTTTACCATAACCTACCCTACCCTACTTTACCATACGCTACCCTATCTTGTCTCCCTCTCCTCACACCCATACCCAAGATTATGTCTAAAGATCCACTTTAAAGTTTTAAAAAACTCACCCCAAATTAGTCTGCTATGATTGATCCAAATTTAAGTTGCTAGACGTGATAGAAACACTCTTTTTCTTACATTTTACATATTTTTTCAGCGGGTAAATTGGAAACGACGCCGATTACAACTCTTTATCCTTAACTTATTCCCTGTTTTATATTCTTGTCAAATAAACGTGTTACGGCTGTGGTGTGGGTGTTGAGGATGATGAGCAAGGTTATTTGCCTGGTATTGTTGATATTGAAGTTAATGATGCGGTTATTGTTTTGGTTTTGGTGATACTGAAGTTGATGATGAGGATATTTGCTTATTTCAGCCCAAAATGGCATCTCTACTGCCATACCAGCAGATCCGAACGAATACCGTCAACTTCTTTATGCGAAACACTGGTCGCACACTGTGGAAGACCATCACATCCGTTTCCAAGGCTGGTATGAAGAAGGGCCGTAAAACCACCAGACAGCCGGTTCGGCCGCTCGAACAGTTCTACAGAATCGGAGCTAGTGAGTTTTTTACTTTATTTTTATGGTTTTAGGTAACATCTTTGAATTGAGAAGGGTTTGGAAGGTAAAGAGTGAAGATTGTGGAGAGTTAAATGAATAATAAGTGAAGGGACACCTTGGCTTGAACTTTGTTTTTGAAAAAATATTGAACTTGGTCCCCCAAGTGGATTTTTTTGGAAAAATAGGGTTAACGGGGCCGGACCTAATTTTTCAGCCCGGCTCCTTGGCGCTGTGCATATTGGGATTCCTTTCGGGTTTAGGCTACTTCGGCTTGAAATTTTTTTAAATAAAAAATATTGAACTTGGTCCCCTAAGTGGATTTTTTTGGAAAAATAAGGATGATCTGCCATTTATTCTACCTACCTTTATATTATACTTGTCAGGTCCCTTAAAAATCAAATACCCCGGCCTAAACGAAGCGATCCGCTTCGACGACCCAACAGCTCTCGAACCAATGTCAATCGAAGAACAAACGGAAGAGGAGTACAAAGAAGGCGTTGATATGATCCATGACCGACTCGAAGCTAAAGGAAAGACCAAGAAACGACGTCAACGAGAGAAACTTCACCCACTCGAACGAGGCTTCTCGGGACACAAAATTGAAGGCCAAAAGCTGGGACCAATGCCACCACTCGATGGCGTCAATTTCGATGATTTTCAGTCATATGTGTTGGAGGTAAGCATATAGGTATTGGATCGGAATAAATGGCTGTAACTTGTTTGAATGAATAGGTAGAATAGTAAAACTTTGTGTGAATGTAGAGCTGGGTTTTGGTCCATTACGCTAAGCGAAATTGTTTTTAAATTTTTGAGTTTTAAAAAGTTACAGTTAATTAACGTACCCTATTTTTCGAAATTTTTATGTTTTTTGTTTTAATAGTGAATTTTAGGGCTTTCAACGATTAATTTTGGGCAGGACGATTATTTTTTATATTTTGATAAGCTACAGTAATCCTACCGTACTCATTTTAAATTTTTTTAAAACTTTTTTAGCCAAAAAAATTTTTTTTTGAATTTTTGATTAAAAATGCATATTCTACGATAAAAAAACGTTTTCAGATCAAAAGAACGGCCAACATGACCCGAGTATTCGGCCGTGTTCACACAATGGCCGCCCTCGTCTTCGTAGGCAATGGTAACGGTCTAGCCGGCTATGCCGTCGGAAAAGCCGGCCTAAACCGTAGTATGAATGCCGTAATCAAGGGGATGAAGATCGCGTCGAGAAAGCTGTTCTACGTGGATCTACTGGAAGGACGAACCATTTATCAGGACTTTTATGCCGAATGCAGAAACACCAGAATCTTTGCCCAGAGGCGGCCGAAAGGCTTCGGATTGATTTGCCATCCACGGTTACAGAAGATTTGTGAGGTAAGTTGGGGTTTTTTGGTTGATAATGGTTGTTTTTTTGTATTTTAAAAGGGCAGGAAAAGCCAAAAAAAATTTTTTTTTTATTTTTTCTCTTTTTTTTTGACTAAACTAACTTTCCAGGCCATCGGGATCAAAGACATTTACATAAAAGTCGAAGGCAGCACTCGAAACTACCTTGCCCTCACCCACGCCTTCGTCACCGGCCTCCAGAATCAAGAAACCCATCAACAGTTGGCGGACCGAAAAGGCCTTCATGTGGTCGAATTGGATCCGACCAGGAACTACTTCCCAAAGATTGTCGCCTCTCCAATTGGAACCGAACTCAAAACCGACGAAGACCTACTACCCATCGACAAACTTAATCTGGACGACTTTTATGGCGAAGGAAGACAGCCGCTGCACAAGGAAAAGCCCAAACCATTCTACGCGAATTTGCCTGGTAAGAACGAGAGGAGGCAGGGTGGATAAAGAAAGATAAAGTGAATGATTAGGGGAGGGTTTTGGATTTGAGGGGTGGGACAGAGTGATGAAGGGGGTTAAAAATAGGGAGGAGTAAAATTTTTTTGGAGAGGGGCCTGGATTTTAGCATTCGTTGTATTTTATAAAAGAAAATTCGGGAGGGGTAAAAAATTTTTTTGGGAGGGGGGGGTGTTTTTTCAAAAACAATTTTTTTTTCAATTTTTAATTTTTTTACGCTAACATCCTAGCCATACAATTTTCGAAAACACGCTATCCTCACCCTCCTTTAGCTCTACCCTAGCCCTGCTTTAGTACTACTCTAGCCCTACCCTAATCTGCCCTGTCCTGCTGTACCCTACTCTACCCTCACCATCCCCTTCCTTTGCAATGTCATTCCACCGTTATTATGATAATAATTATAATAACCTTGAAATTTCAGGACATTTACTAGCGGAATGGCGCAAACACCCCTTCCGCAACATGGACCAAGTCCAGACCCGCCTCATGGCCGACGGCTTTGTGGAGCGCTGGACCCGTGACAATCGCCACGAATACTCGGCTCGATGGAACGAAAAAGCTCTGAATGGTGTGGTCCCAATCCCTCAGGGCATTGGCCTTACCGCCGTCATCCCAAAGAGCGAGGAATGATCTTAATTTAGGTGGATATTTTGAAGGAAAATCGTATTTTAGGAAGTTACAATTGTTTGTTTTTGGTTTTATATTGTTACTCGTTGAATACATTCTTTGAACTTTTATTGTTTTTATTCAGGAGCTGAAATTTGGTGCCGAGGGGTGATTTTACTTTGAAAATCCGGGGGGGGGGATGGGGTGGGTAATTTTTTTCCAAAAAATGTAACGGGGGGGGACAAGACAAAAATCTATTAAAAAAATTGAATTAAATTCGATTTATTCGTATTTTATCAGTAATATTGGTTATCAAACTATATTGTAAAAATATTTTTTTGAAATTTTTCTCAATAATGACTGCCATTTGTGGTGCGATCAGAGTAGGTAATGTGAAGACGGTCCAAAACTTTCAAGAAACCCACCTTTGAGATGCGTTGTTCTTGCATTACAGGGCCGAATTTGTACAGTAAATCGTCCTAAATTATTGAAAATTCGAGATAAATCTTAGAAAAATAATTTTAATAATAAACGGCAATAACTTTCTTTACAAAAAAAAAGATGGCAAGAACTTTCATTACAGTGCAAAAAATGGCAAAAACTTTCTTTACAGTACAAGAAAATCCTTTTAAAACTATATATTGAGTCGTTCAAATAATTCTGTGCCCCCTAACCCCGAACATTGCTTTGAGAGGGGGCACAGAATTATTTTAATAACTTAATATTCCCATTTTTTAAAAGTTTTATATAATTAAAACTCAACTCACCAATAGAATAGTGTTCATCTTCAGTACATCACCATACAGTTCGCTGTTTTCCGGCTCGCGTACCCATTTTATGAATATCTTACACAGATCCTCGATGCTTCTTCCTTTTCGGTCTTGATCGAATGGATTTTTGATACCTAAGATTAGGAAAAAAACATTTCTATACCTAAAAATTCAAAAAAGTTCAGTTTGTTATCAAAAATTGACAAAAAAACGTGTGATGGCTTTAAAAAACAATTTAAAAAAAATTTGTTACCTAAAATTTGAAAAAAAGTTATTTTTTACTTAAAACACGTTTTTTCTAAGAATCGAGCAAATTGAATGCCTGACTCGACAGGAAAAAAGTCGATGTCTCAGAAATGCCTAAAAATTGAATATATGTTTTGTTAAATAGCTAGAAATTCAAAAATACAAAAAAAAATTTTCGAAGTTACAGTATCATGGAGTACTGTAGCTTGACCTCATTTTTAATAACTCAAAAACGAAACGTCATACAGACATGCGGTTTTCACCATAATGTTTGTCGTTGTCAAAAACGTATTTTTTATTATTACATCAAGTTTCTATCATTGCGGGAAAGTGTTGAAAAATTTGCATATTTACGCGCGGTTACAGTAATCTTTTAGTTTCTCAAAAACGGTCCACAGTGCCATTATTTTTTATTTCACATTCTTAAAGTACGTTTTCTTGCGGTTCTAACGCTACCATCCGCTTGTTCCAACACCGGTGCGAATGTGTTCAAAATTTGAGTTAAAGGTACCCCCTTAGGGTAAATATGCCTTTTTTTATATAATAACTCATGTTTTTTAATGTATATGTTTGTTTTTTGTTTTAAATTCATTTACAAAACTTTTATTAGTATGCTTGGTACTTTTGGCGACACAAATTTGCATAAAAAATAAAGTTGCATATTTCAGGAAATACAGTAACCCTACTACTTCTTTTAAAATTTCCACTGTGCCATTATTTTTTATTTTGCTTGTTTAAAGCACATTTTTTTGCGGTTCTAACGCGCCTATACACTTGATCCAAAACCGTGGACAACTATGTTAAAATTCGTGTTTAACCTAACATGTTAGGGCAATTTTGCCTGTTTAGAATGTTTTTGTTAGGGCAATTTTGCCTGTTTAGAATGTTTAAAATAAAAAAATATTATATTTTTAAATTTTTAGATGTATTTTATAATGCAACTATGTATTGTCATCAACATCCAAGACGATCTTTGAACAAAAAACGTAGTTATGAAAAATGAGGTCAAGCTACAGTACTCCATGATACTGTAACTTCGAAAATTTTTTTTTGTATTTTTAAATTTCTAGCTATTTAACGAAACATATATTCAATTTTTAGGCATTTCTGATACATTGACTTTTTTCCTGTTGAGTCGGGTTCTCGGCCCTTACAAAAAACGTGTTTTAAAATTCAAAAAATGAATTTCCTAACGAAACAAAAATCATCTGATGGCCTTAAAAATCAATTTTAAAAAGTTTGTTACCTAATATCAGAAAGAAATCAAATAAATCATCGAGAGCTTGAAATTACTAAATTCCCTTGCCCATGCCCTTTAAAAACCAATCAAACAAACCTGCCACCCCACCGGCACCCATTTCCTCAGTGCTACACCGTCTAATCGGCTCAATCAGCCCGTTGTTTATCGTAGCCATGACTTTGGTCGATGGTTCGGAAGTTTCGACCGAAGCCGCCGGTCTTTTGGTTGGGATTTTCATTTTGGGAGGTTTCTTCTTGGCCAGTTTTTCCTCGTTTTCTTTTTCGAATCGCCTCATCACACTGTAGACGTCAGCCTTCGTTGGCGTGCCATCGTCCGAGATGAGATGAGTGGTTTGGAAGGCGCGGGTCAGGACTTCGATCGCTCGTTTTCTGCCCATCGGCCGAATGCCGAAGGAGTCTAGGCAGGCCTGGAAGATAGGTAATAGCATCATGATAGGCTGGGGAAAGGTGGGTTTTACTTGGCAGTGATAAAAAATATCTTTTTAAAAAAATCAACAGGGGGATCGTTAAAATTTTTTTGAAAAAATCACCACCCCCTCAAAAATACAGCTTGAAACTTTTTACAAGCCCACCTTAACCCCAGAAAAACATACGTTAAGTTCCGACTCAGACATGAGTTTATAATTGGGCATTGGAGTGATGTTGGTCGTCTTCACTACCTTCATGGATAACATCAGGTTAATGTCCATTGCTGTTGTTCGCTTCGTCTCTGGAGTCTTAAAACTGGTTTCTGTAGATGTTGATGGTACAGAATATGATTCACAAGACTTTGATACTTTATTGGCTTTAGAATACGCTGAAGATGCCGTGCTAACTTCAGAATACGTTGGCCGTGCCAACTTGACTTCTGAATACGTTGACGGTGCTAAGGCGGCTTCAGAATCTGTTATCGAGATCAGATTACTATCAGAATCGCCTGAAGACCTCAAATTAACTTCAGAATAAACCGACGATGCAAAGTTGGCTTCAGAACGGCTTGATGACACCGTGCGGCCTTCAGAATCCCTCGATAATGTAGAGTAGGCTTCAGAAGCAGTATATCGTTCGCTAGCAGAAGTTGACGGTAGATACGCATTGAAATCAGAGGCTGTGTCAAGCACAATAATATCAGTATCAGAAGATATTTTAGATGCTGTAGCGTCAGAGTAAGAAGCTGGCCTGGACAACACCGTAGTTGATTCAGAAGTTCGTTTCGGCCGAGAAGGCGTAGTGCAATCGTAACTTTTCTTCTGTTTCTTCCCCGTCTTTTGATTCTCTTTGGTTGATAAGTTCTGACCAGGTTTTCCTTTCTGATGCTGCTCCAGAATTTCCTGTCGTTGAGTGTAAGGAGTTAGAATCTTGTTCACAATAATATTGGTTAAAACATCATCCGATCTGGTTTCCAAATCTTTTGTTCTTCTCCTACTCTTTGGTGTTGTCGTTTCAATTCGAAAGTTTTCATCAAATTCAAGCGTATCGTCCAGACTATTCATCTCTCCACATATTATACTTGGCTCCTGAAGGATAAAGGATAAAACATGGGATTTTCAAAGAAATTTTAATAAAAATAAACTTGAAAACACAGGTTTTAGGTTTTTAAAGCCATAAAGTAACCTAAAGTTTAAAACAAAGCACTAAAAACTTACATTCAATTCAAAATCAGCAGGCTCATCCAGCTGATTATAATATTCTTCATAGTTAAAGTCTTCCATCGGAATCTCGTCGTAGAACAAAATATTTTCCCCAACACCATCTTCAACATTATCTGCATCTATTTTACCAGGTTCTTCAACGCTACACAGCCTTTCGTCCGAATAATCCTCCAAACTATCTGATATTACCCTTGAAGGCACAACTTCGCCCTTCTCACAGCTCTTTCGAAGCCCAGACTGTACAGATAGTCTATTACATTGAATCTCCTTGTCAGCCATCATCTCCTTTCTAGCATCAAACTGACCATTATTGAAGAAACAAGCCAAATCCGGCGGTCCAAACTCATTAGCAATATTAGACAAGACGTCCATCTGGCTTTTGGACCAATTCACAGTACCAGTGTACACGTACCGTAGCCAAACTTCTACATCAACAAGTTTAGCTTTTATTCTCACTTCGTTATCAACCGGTTTCAGATTCGTGCGGTATTTCAATACGAACGAGTGGGCTTTGACAACACCATCATTAGCAACAAGATTAATGTCCCCGCAGAATAAAGCACTGTGAAAGGCATGTGCCAACGCTTCTAAACGTTGTAACTAAACTTAAAATGATAATAAAGTAGCTAACTTACCTTTTGAAACAATAAACCAACTGATTTACATGGTTTTCGGCCCTTCGCTTCAGGGATTTTGACTGTTTCAAAGTTTTGCACAAAGCGTTGATGAACTTTCTCCAGAACTAAACATTGGCAAACTCTTTCGGCATGTTCTGGACGTCGGGTTGTGCGTGATCTTCTTGGTTTCTCCATAAAACTCAAATTTTACAAGGCTTTCACTTCAAAAATTAAAAAACGACAAAAAGCGTTATGCCAACGAGATTTAGCGCTCTTTGTTTTCGTGGCGGGAGTCAAACTGTTGTTAATTACTAATTTTCATTTTTAAATAAAGCCCTTACTCTTGTAATTTTTAAATATTTAAACTTTAGCAAAAAACCCAAATTATAAATATTATTATGTTTATTAAGCTATTTCATCAATTTATACAATAGTTAAGTTTAAAGTTACCAATAATAGAGAACTAGAGCTTGATCACTGTTTACTGTCTGCCACTTTGGACAAGATATTACTTTTTATAATGTTGTACTTCACCATAGTTATTTCAAAGTTGGCGTGTATGGCCGCCCGACGTTCGATGCTTCGACAAGATAGAAGCAACACTTTTATCATCTTCAGCTCTTGATCAATGTCGTCTAATTGCCTGTGATAAGGAGCCATTGGGTCATCTGGGCTGACTTGCTTGAATTGAGTTGGCTGAAATGATGAGTAAGTAAGTGAGATTAAGTAAATGATTAAACGTCTAGAAAAGGCTGCTCTTTTATGTTTTATAAGATTTTGGTTTTTTATGGAAGCAACAAAACTAAACGTTGACTTTAATATAAGCAACAATGAACAAAGTTCAAGTACTATTAGATTAACTAACATTTACTAAACTTACCAGCACAGGCAGTGGCGGACTAGGTGGCAAAAGGTGTGTTAATGGCAAGAAGCTCGCCTCTGAAGCAGAAGAAGCCGTTGAAGATGGTCTTGAAGGCCTAGAACCTTCTGACGATGTTGAGATCTCTGAGGATCTTGACGATGGCCTTGGAAGCTCGAAGTTGACCGATTCAGACGATGAGGCTATTAGAGCCTTGTACGAAGACGCGGTCATAATGTTGGCAGACATGTTTTTAAATTAATAATAAATTTAAGCCGCTTGGTATGATAGTAGACAAGATGCGAAGTGATTTAGATTTAGTTTTACATCTCAATTTATATTTTCAAAAGTGTAGACAAATCTGATCGGTAGAAATTCCTTTTTTACTGTAGGTTATTGCAATTTACTTTTGTGTACGTAATTATATATGTCGTTTAGCTTGAATACGCCTCTATAAATGTTACACAATATTGTTTATGATACATGAACTTTGGTCTAAGTCAAAGTTTACAACTTTTTGCTACTTTAAATATACTATAACACTTTATTTACACAAATGTAGTTTTAAATATGTGTACACATCATTATGAATACTAAAAATTAAAAATAATTAACAAAATGCATTGCTGCAGGTTGCAAACAGAGGGCGCGGGCTGAAATAAGGACATTTCTGTTTGATTCAATGAAAATACAATCGGACGAGCACGATGAGGTGTTCTGAAGTTGTAGAAGGCTGGACTTTAGACAATACATGCTTAACATTACTTAAAAACTCTTTAGAGTCTTTCGTTTACAAGGAACTTCAATGTTTCTTCCATTTTACGTTATTTTAGGTCGATTTTTTTCAACTTTGTCGTGGATTTTTGTGATTTTCTCGAGTTCTTTTGATGTATTTGGACTGTTTCTGTTTTATTTCTTATTCATAACATTCTTCTCGATCTCTAAAATGTATCTTCAGTAAATTTATCGTTTGAAAACCTATTATAATGTTATTTTCTGTCAATTTCCAGCACAAATGGACAGAACAAGAGGATTGTCAGCCCAAGTTCAACCGGGAATCTCAACCCTGTTGCGGACGATGGAGATAAGTGCTACAGAAGAGGCAGAGAATGCTATTCAGAAGCTGGCTACACAGTTGATCGTTGGAATTGTTGAGGACAGTCGGAAGGTTGCACAACATTGTGATAGACGCGAAATAAACTTTCAGGATGTTAAACACGTGTGTGATGAGTTGAGTAAGTCAATTTTTATTAGAATTTTTGTTGTTTTAGGTTTGGATTGGATGCTGAAATTTATGTTCTTCACTTGTAATTAATGATATTTCTGTTTTGTTACCTAAACCAATGAAAACACTTGATTTTTTTTTGAAGAAACTGGCGGTAAATCGAGGTTAATAATCAAGTTTATTAATTTTAAGATAAAAATACATTTTTGAGGACTTATTCTTATCAAGATTTGATCTTTTCAGCCGAAATCATGAATCCACGCCCATGTTATGGTTTATATGGATTAATAAATCATGTGAACAACACAGAGCTCCCTAAACCAAGCTATACTACTGGGATGCCATTCCGATGCCGTGATGCGTTATTTCAACCGGAAATGGCATTGGTCGATGATATAAATGGCGTGGAACAAGTTCAACTACCAGAAGTTGAACAAAGACGAGTTCAACAAGTTCAACCAAGAGTTAATCCACGTCAAGGTCAGCAAAATAGTGGTAATTTGCTTCAGCATAACTTTGGGACTCCACTACGGGATAATGTTGGTACTCCGCTTCGAACGAACATTGGTACACCCATGCAGAGTATTATTGGTACTCCTCTTCAGAGTAATATTGGTACTCCTCTGCAGAACAATATCGGTAATCAACGTCAAATTCAGCCAAATGTGAGCAATCAAGTTCAACAACGTCTACAGAACATTGGTAATCAAGTACCGAGGATCGTCACGAAGCAGCTTCAGCCGAATGTCAGGACTCCGCTTCAGAAGCAGGTGAATACTCCGCTCCAAGCCATTGTTAATCGACGTCAGCAGAATGTCACTCCTCAAGCTCAGAATGTGGTTCAGCAACTTCCATATCCAAACGTCAATTTGGCTCAGAATGTCGAACATCGTGCGCCGCTTCAGAATCCGGATCCCGCGTTTGAGGAGGAGAATGTTGGACCGTCGAATCAGAGTGGTAATCGACCGAATAAGCCTAGGAAACTGGACTTTAAGAACGCTTTTCAATCGGCTTCGACTATGAAGGTGGGTGATAGTTATTGTAGTAGTAAAATTTTATTAAAGAGGTCTTCTTGTATACATTGACATGAAAAGTCTTCTTTTAGGTATATATTGACATACAAACTCTTCTTGTAGGTATACCATAACATGAAGAATTTGTTTTTTTCCTCTTATGTACTGTAATATGATAAATAATGTCCTTGTCATACTGTGACATGAAGAATGTTTAGCTAATTGTCCATAACACTTCGTCTGCTCCAAACTCTCCAGACCCGGTCAATAGCAAGGCTGGCAAAAGCTTCACTTTCAAGAAATAATAAGTTATCTATCTGTTATCTTCACTACAAGAAAATGATGACAATCTTATGGTATCAGGAGTTAAGTTATGTTATATGTGATGGTCTTTTACTTTTTAAATGCTACGGGTAAATTAATATTATTTTTAAAATTTTGGTTGTTTTCTGAAGGCGATCTTTAATAAAAATGAGATAAATCAAATTATATGGCAATATTTATCATATCTATGATAACATCTTCACCATATCTATGATAATATAAAATTTATTGGAGAAAAATCAAAAGATAATTTAAACTTCAATGTCTAATAAAACATGGAAAAGATACTTGATTCTTATTGGCAGTGGAAATCCTGGTCATAAATAATAAAATTCGAAGAAATATTACTATAAAATGAGAATAAGATAGTCCAAACCTACTATAATATAACACAACTAGCAAGAAGTTAAGGGAGTTTGAAAGATTTCGCTTTTTTTAATGTTTGACTCTCTTGAACATCTATAACACAGTAAGAAAAACTATTGGACAGTAAAATAAGGTGTCAAAAGTCTTGTCGCTTTTTAACAAAGGTTTTCACGGCGACAAGCGACAAAACTTATTTAATACGCTTGATATTACACTTGATTTCTAACCATAACGAGAGGACCTTAATGACCTACAATAAGGCCTAGTGACTATATTTATATTATTTTGATAGAAGGAAGAATTAATAGGTGATACGGTACCCTACTGTGTCATAGGTGTCATTTTAAAAGTAATTTTAAATTATTGGAAAAATTCGATCTTGCCCATGATACGAAGCCGACATATACTACAATGATCCATAGCATCCGAACAGTTTTTACAGCAAGTAAAGTGGAGGCAGGGCATGAAGATGACTTCCCTCTAAAATCAGGTAAGGATTTTAAAAAAATTGGAATTAAAATGCACGAGTACTATACAGTATCGTACTCAACTCGATCCAATACTCTACAGTATCGTGCGTAAATTAATTCCGTACTATATAGAAAAACCCTCAAATCGACCCAACATATACTATACAATATTGTACCCAAAAAATTACAGTACCCTTACCCTAGAATCCATACAAACTCCACAAGTCGGTCCTAGAGTTTGTCTTTGTTCCAATTCTCTAATTTCATCTTTTAATCGATTTACTTCGGCCGTTAACTCAGTAACCTCAGACGATGTATCCACGTTGAGTTGAGACAACTGGGTATCTTTTGTTCGAATCTGCAGTATAAATATTACATCATAGTTAAAATACATTATAACTCGCCTCAAAAATGAATAGAAATAGGTTTTTTTAAAGGTTTTTTCCGTTTTCTATGAACTTTTTTACCAGAAAACACAAAAATTTGCATAAACTTAGATGAGAACCTTCATCATCACAAGGTATTTTGGCCCAAAATCATAAGTGTTTACGGCCAAAAATGACAAAATATAACAGCAAGTTAACATACCTGCTCCTTCAACTCATCAATTTCCCTCATCATATGCATCGACCGGTCGTTTTCCCTCACCAACCTTGCAATCTCATCGTTCAGACTGTTCTTTATCTAAAACTGCCATTTTTAATTGACCTCCAAATTTGAAAAACTGTATTTTGGTTTTGAAAGATATGAAACTATGTGAAGAATGTCATACCTCTTCCGTTTTCCTCATCTCGGCATCATGCCGACGCTGTAGCGTTTCGTAGTCACGTTGCTGACGAAGAATGTCGGCTTCACGGAGTTGGACGTCTTTCAACTGGAAAAGGTCATTTTTGTTAGAAATATATGGTTTTAGGTTATATGATGGTAGGGTAGAGTGGGCTAGGGTAATGTAAAGTTAGGGTGGATAGGGTAGAGTAATATAAAGATGGCGAGGGTAGGATAAGTAGGGTAGAGTAGGGTATGGTAGTGTAGGTTAGGGTATTACAAGGTAGGGTAGAATAGAGTAGGGTATAGTGTAGTAGAACAGGGTAATGTAAGGCAAGATAAGATAGGGTAAGATAACGTAGGGCAGGGAAAAGCAGGGTAGTTTAGGACAGAGTACAGTAGGGTAGGATAACGAACAGTAGAGTAGGGTAAGTAAAACGAGGGTTGGTAGGATACTGTAGATAAAGATCGGGAGGGTAATATAAAGTTAGGGTAGGGTATGGTAAAGTAAGGTAGGGTAGGGTAACCTACATGATCCTGAATCCTTCGATTAGCATTTTCCAATCGCTTTTCCATTTCACCGTAGTTTTTAAAAATGACTTCTTGTTGTCTTATCTTCTCGTCGCGCAATCGTAACATGTCTTTCAAGTTCTCGGTTTCGTTAAAACTGTTTTCTAGTTTTCTCTGAAAGAATTAAGGTGGGTAGGGTACTACAACATGACATAACTTCTGAATCATAATATAACTTTGGCCATAAGGTTCATAAGCGTTTTAATATTCTTCACCGCTTCACAAAAGTAGGTATAGGTTCTGTCCTAAACTTACCCTCAATTCATGGTTGATTTGTTGAAACTCTTCGAAATGGCGTCGATTTTCATTTTCGAATGTGTCGATCAGTCTTTGGATCGAACTTTTGACCTGGGTTTTGGCCGAATGATGGCCAAAAGAGTGGTCTTGATGAAGATCCAAACTACGATGCAGTGACTTAGACGAAGGTTGACGACGGAGGTTTTTTAGGGATTGGGACTAAATTGAAATTTATATTTCAAAAATTTCCATTTTAATTTTAAAATTATATTTTTTCTCAAATTTTCAGTTCAAGACCTACCCTATGAACTTCTCTATCAGCTCCATGAGTTTCAAAGTCTTTTACAGTACGAAATATTGAAGAAGGGCCTTCACTAAACAACTTACTACGGTTTTGACATTTGATCCGGGTCCTTTCTGACCTGAAAATGACATCTTTTATCTATCCTACTCTACCTTATCCTAACCTACCCTACCTTACCCTACCCTATCATACCCTACTTTACTCTACCCTAAACTACCGTACCCTACCCTATCCTATCCTACCTTACCATACCCTTGTCTTGTCCTGCTCTGCCTTGCCCTGTCCTACCCTTGCCTAGTCTTGCTTTTCATAGCCCTGCCTTACCCTTCCCTACCCTACAATACCCCTAGCTCGACTCCACCTTAGCCCCACCTCAAAGCCCACTATACGATACCCTTACCATGGTAAAGTAGCAGCACCATCAGAATCCTTTTCATAGTATCCACTAATGGCAGATGAGCTTGGAAACCTTGACAATGAAGATCGTAAGCCAGGCGAATTGAAACTGTTAAAACTACCGGTCGATGACTTCTTCTCCTTCTGAATATAACTCAAAGCATCTACCATGGTGCTTATGGATTCGAACGGCTCGAATGGCTGTAAAGTGGAGAGTTATTATAGTTTAGGCCTCATCATCCCTTCAGTCAAAAATCACTCCCCCCCCTCCACTTGTAGGAAGGGTAAAACTCATAAGCCCAAATAGCGGGGGGAGTAAATTTCCAAGCCCACCACCCCTTACCTTATCATTATTATCCTTGTTGACCCACTCCAACGCCGCCCACACTTCCGAATCCGTGTAGCCCATGTCTTTGGCATTCCGAAGCTGATCACTCAATCTACGCTCGGTGGCTTCTAATACCATGTTCTCTATAGTAAACTATATACTATATGTTTGGTTGAGTAACTACAACCCAAAAACGTTTGAGAATCTACCTGTAACATCAACTTGTTGTATCTTTAATGTGTACAAGGTGTAACATAACATATCAGAGAGGACATCGCCAGTGTTATATAGTAAAGTATGTGAGCTTTTGTATACTGTTAACATCGTTTTTTTCACGATATTACTCATATAAGTAACAGGCATGTATAAAATGAATAAAAAATGCAATAACATAGCATAGAAAGTAAATGAGATATACCATAGTAATGTGTGAATAAGAGTGGATACTATTGATGTCAAAGTAAATGTCATAAAAGACAAAATCATGAGTGGTTTAGCAAATTTACTGATGAATAACATCATTGTTTGGAGGATTAACTCCGTCAAAGTAAAAGAAAAATCGTAAAAAGCTCACGTTTTTATAAACGTGGCTCAAATACATGTAAAACTACTGACAGCTTCATAGTTTAGTGTTGAGTACACGTGTTATTCATAACAATCATTCCCTATTGTTAGGTTTCGATTTATGGTTAGATATGCTAGGATAAGACATGGTAGGGTAGGATAATGTAAAGATTAAGTAAAACGTAAGTAGAAGTAAATTAAACGTAAAAGTGCGATATAATTAAAAAAAATTTAAAAAAAAGTAGGGTCCAGTAAGGTAAGCGGCGAGGTAGGAAAGAGTAGAGTAAGGGAATTTAGGGTAAGACAAGATAGAGTAGGTTAAATTATTAAATAGGTAGATTAAAACAAAGCAAAGATAAGGTAAAACTAAAGTAAACGTAAAGGTAAGACAAAGACATAAAAAAGTAGAGTAGGTTAATAACCGACCCTCCTTACAAGTACCATGTACCTTTGCGGCCCTCAGTCCAAAAATTGCCCGATAAGAAGCCTAATAACTATTTATTTCCAACAAAAAAAGTAAAATAAAAAAAAGTAAAAACTATCCAATTTTTCACAAAAATTTCAAAACCAAACCCCAAAGGCTAGCCAAAATCAAGTTTTTTTAAATCGTTCGTAGCCAAGCTCTTCAACAATGGGAACAAAAACCAGAACAAGTGTGGAAAGAAGTCGACAATCGCTTTTCGAGGTCGATCATGAAAGCAAGAGTGCCTGCAGGCTTTTCGACTGTCCTCAACGGATTTGCATTTTTAAAACCAATTTGAAACCCAAAATTTTTTTTTATTTTGAATTTTTAAACTTAATTTTTGAAGAAAAAACTTTTTTTTTAATTTCTGTGGATCCTTAATTTTTTCGTTTCTCAAAAATTTCAAAAAAAGACAGAAAATCCATTAATTATGTCATTTTTGTCACAAATCGACTAGTTTTTCCCATTTTTTCAAAATTTTAAAAAATTCAAAATCCAAAAACTTTTAAAATCTTCAATATAAAACTATAACTAAAACACCTCTATAGATACAAAAAAGACTTTATTATGATCTTCAAACCGATCTTACTACAATATTTAGAATGTTTTCATTCACCTCAGGGGGTGAGGCGTTTGGGGTCACGGGGGAACAATGAAGATAAACGAATGTTCTTCAGACCCAGGAACAGCATGGTAACGCGCTCCAGACCTGGAATTGTGTCAAGGTATTGATACGTATGTTTGGAAAATGAAATTCAAAATTTTATATTTTTTAATCTCAAAAGTTTATCATATCCACCCTTCAGTAATATCAATATTATCTTCACCTTCAGTATCGCCTTCCAAATTTACTATATTTTTGCCATAATGACCCTCTTAATAAATTGTAAACTACAAAAACTATATCCTAAAAGGTAAAAAAGGAGAGTTCTCTATAAAGATGCTTGATAGTTGTACCGATCTTAGCGTCACTAGAGCATCTTCCTGACCCTTCCTTTTTTACTTTATTTTATCTCCTTTACCTGCTTCACAACTCGCTCGCCTCATTTGTCCATAATATTTTTAAAAATGGACTCAATCTACGTTAATTATAGCCTTAACAATGAAGGTACAACCTCATCTAGAGTCGTACAAGTAAGTTTGAACATCTTTGCTGTTTAATTTTACTCATTGTGTTAAGGCACTGAATTATTTTAACAGCCTCATACTTATGTATTTTCATTACTTTAAAGCCTCAAAAACAATATATTATTTCAACCATTTCAGCCCGGAAGCCGTAAGCGTTGTCACGCCGAGCCTAATGATGACTTCGAGACACAAGAAGCCATCAAAAAAGCATATGAAGTCTTAAAGATCAGACTGATATGCTACAACGATCCCCAACGACGTGCAGAGATCATTGCAGAACTCGATCGGCTAACTGCTAGAGCCAATCAAATTAGGCAAGATAATGAAGATGGCGCCAAAAGAAGGCACTGAGCCTACTACAGCATACTCAACTATACAATTTTATGTACCTCTGTACTCTATAAGATGATTTTTTTAAATTTTGTGTACTGCAGCATTATAAAAATGTACAAGCTTTAAAAATAAAGAAAATATAAATAATCCTTGCCACTTTATATATATAACTTTTCATTTTGAGCCAATTTAAAACATTTTAAAGGTATCAAAAACCCTGGTCATCAATGTAAATTTAGTTCCACACAATTATTTAAACAACCATATATAAAATATTTTTTTCCTTCCCTACTCCTTCCCTAAATCAGCCCCCTAATAACCTACCAATTCCACCACCAGCATGAGGTGGGCATCCATACTTGAACGCGTCGATATAACACTGAATCTTCGAAATATCAATCTGATGATGTTTGGCTCTCTCCGTCAACATGACCGGGTCGTGGATACGTTGAGCTCCACTCAAGATTTCCTCGCCTCTCATGAACATGTCATACGAGTTCGACCATCTCGAGTCGTCTGGGTCTGACATGGTGTAGAAGGGTCGCACAGTGATGGGGAACTTGTCCAGAATGTAAAAGTCGGTCTGGTATTTCTCTCGAACAAGGCGGCCAAGCTCTTTTTCGACTGGGGTGGAGAGGTCTTCGTCTTCTTTTTGGTCGATTCCGTTTTCCTTCAGAAGTTGTACGCCTTCCCAGTAGTTGAGGACCAATGGTTGTTCGGTGAAGAGGAAGGGCTCGGACTTGTATTGGCGGCCGATGGTCTTGATTTCGGAATCGAGGTTAGATTGGAGGTATTTGAAGACTTCAATCATGCAGTTGGCGACGGTGTACATGGCCTGGAATGGTTAAAAATAGCGTTTTTGTCTTTTTTTAGTTTTTAAAAAGAAAAACCTAATCTTTTCAATTTCTTGTTATAAAAAAGGCTTTTTTTCATTTTTTAGATAAAAAATGTCATTACTGCCCAGATTACTCCCGTACTTTCGTCATCTTCCCAAAATTTTAGCCAACAATACAATTTTTTCATCTTCCCTTATCTCGACATTACTGTACTCAAATCAAAGTTTAAAGCAACTTACCTCATGGTAATGGAATTTGAAAGCCATTTCCAAGTCAAGTCCAACGAATTCTGTCATATGCCTATGAGTATTGGAGTCTTCAGCACGGAAGACAGCTCCAATCGTGAAAACCTTTCCAAAATCACCAGCAATTGCCATTTGCTTATACAGTTGAGGAGATTGAGCTAGGTAGGCCGAGCCTTTGAAGTAGGATACCTAAAATTATAATGAGGTCAATAAAATTATTTTAAATTTAAAAAATGTGACAATAAATTAAAGTTACATTAATATACTTAATATTACAGTAGTAAAGCCTAAACTATAGTATCAATATCCAAAATTAGATAAAAATGCTCAAAATCAAAGCACAATATCCAATATTACAATAAGATTTTTAAAGTTACAGCAAAATATAGAAAACTCACTTCAAAGACATTAGCACCGCCTTCAGAAGCAGCAGAGATGATTTTTGGAGTGTGAATCTCAATAAAACCCTTGTTGACCAAAGATGTCCTAAAAGCATGACAAATGCCAGCCTGAACCTTGAAAATTGCCTGACTTGTTACTGTTCGGAGATCAAGAACACTAAAAAAATATTATTATTGAAAATAACATTTAAAAGTGCCTAATTGCCAAAATATAACCATTTCAAAATCTTTTTGACCAAAATAAAGTCAAACCAATCCTAAAACACCCACTTACCGGTTGTCAAGTCGAGAATCCAAAGCAACAGTTGGCAATTCATTGCTTGGGTCTTCAGCTCGAGTTGCATCCTCAATTTGAATTGGTAGACAAGGTTCCGCGGCCGACACTACCCAGAATTCATTGACTTTAAGTTCTACAGTCCTTTGAGAACATGATTCAATTGGCTGGTCAACCTTGTGAATCGTACCGTGCACGTCAACAATGGATTCCTAAAAAGGAAGAACTTAATGGTGTTGTGAACAATGTTTTAGTGATTTTAGAAAATTATTGTTGAAGTTTAAATTAAATTAATGTTTGAAATAAAGATAACAATGTTTTCTTGCTATCAAGTAAAAAAGTCCAACTAAAAACCTCATTTTATAAACAATTTGAGATGTTATCCATGACCCACCTTAGAAACAGTGCTGATAAACTTCAACAACTGCTTGGAAACATCAGATCCAACAAACAAAAGCCCCTGAATCGTATAGATCTGTTGTCTAATAACAACAAAACAACTTTTTCCCTTAACACGAGAAGTGTGTAGCCTTCCGCGGATCCAAACTTCTTTGCCATCCAAACTTTCGTCAAGATTCTGAACATCAACAAACTCAATATCCTTCTTCTTGTCCAACTGACTAGATTGCAACAACTTGTAGGTTCCATATTTACCAGCACTCACATCCTCACCTTCTTCTTGTCCTTGTTGCTCCTGCTTTTCGCCCTGGCTCTGCAAACACATGGTTATTAACATTGCTTAATGCCTTAATTTCCATCAACTTTTTAGATTTTCTTATCTAAATTTCAAAACAAATTGTAAATGACTCACCGCGGCCTTCAACGCAGCCTTTTGTTGTTGTTTCTTGAGCTTGTTCAACTCTTTCTTGGACAACTTCACTTCTCCTACGCCTTGTTCAACTTGGTCTACAGCAGCGTCAGACATATTGTAAACCTAAACGTAAAAGTAGTTAAAATAAATCTAAATAATAACAAAGAACATTTTAAATTACTCATAAGCGAATAAACGAGTGAGATAATGGCAAAACAACAATTTTTAGGCAAAATCCCGAATATTTACATCAGAAAACGAACACTTGACGCATTTGTCAATTTCGCGTCAAGTCCTTCTTTTTATTTGTAAATTTCCTTTTCTCCCAAAAATTACTTTACCAAACAATAACTTCGTTTTGGCCAGTTGAATATTGAAAAATGACCGATTCCAACGAGGCTACAGAAGTGTTGAACGCAGAAGAACCGACTCCAGCTGTTCCTGGCGCTAAAGAAGGAGTTACGTACCCATTGAAAGTTGTTTATTGTGGCGAATGTACGTTACCTATGGAATACTGCGCTTTCGGTGGTCGCAGTGCTAAATGTAAGGAATGGTTGGATAAAAATTTGTCTGATTTGGCTTCCGAAGGCATCACGATCAATGACGACGATGGAGATGCGAAGGACGAGAAGAAACATCAAAAAAGAGGAGGAAAAGGCACGGCAAAGCCAGTTAAAGTATGTTTTTCAATGTTATTGTTGGATTTTAGACTTTATTTCAATTAGAAGTTGCTGTATTTTATTCTCCAAGATGTTTTGAAAAAGTGTCTGTCCTAAAGGTCCGTATTTTGGTTTACCTCTCGATATTATCATAGTCTTAAAAATATTCATTTTCGATAAAACCTGACTTTTATAACTTTCAGGAGCAAAAGAATCAACAAATCACGTTACAAAGAGCTCCTCGAGGTAAGAACAAGTCAGTGACGGTAGTAAAAGGCCTGTCTACGTTTGGAATTGACCTAAAACCGGCCAGCAAATACTTTGCCGGCAAATTCGCCTGTGGATCCTCGGTTACTGGAGCTGATGAGATTGTGATTCAAGGTGATGTGAAGGACGAATTGTTGGATATCATTCCGGAAAAGTGGAAGGAAGTTCCTGAAGAAGCTATCCTTGATTTGGGAGATCAGAAACGTTAGGTTGATGACATTAATATGTGTGATTTGATGTTGTTTTATATTGTTTCTTTGTAATTCATAATCAAAAAGGGGTATATCTTTATAGTTACCATACTTTAGTTACTGGCTACTATGTATTCTTTGTTGATATATCATTGTTTGCATCAGATACATTATTTATTCTTTTGAATCCCGAGTAAAATTAAATTTTAAAACCACATATCGAAACCTGTACACTTTATTACACTGTAAGATTTGATACAACCGGTTTAAAATACAACAACAGGGACATTCATGATCTATACATTCTGTAAGTTAATGAAAACACAAAAAATTAAATAAAAATTGGTTGATATGCACCACAAACCCGTATGAAACACGCGTTTTCGTTAGAATATACATCTAAAACGTCAGTTCTAACATTCCACAATTCTTCTCAAGTAATTCACAATCCATTAAAATGCCATTATATCAACTAAGCATTGCTATCAACGGCAGAAAAGCATCCACCAGCCACCTTAAGAAGAACAATATGACATGTCCGAACCATGGTATCTTGACTGGTGGCCTCCTGACCCGTATCAACGGCATTATCTTAAGGCTGTACCGTTGACAGCGGAGACATCTGACCATGTCAGGACTCTCATCCAGCCATACCTTGATACAATTGTTACATCCAATCACTTTTTCACATAATAAACAAAAAACTGGCTTTACACTAGGATCCTCCAGACAAATCGTACAAACATCATTGTCAATGTCATTCAATCGGACTGTCGCTGTTAATGCGGCTAGACACATGACAGAATATCTACAATGCTTCGAGTCCAAAGTCTCTTTGTCCATAATACACTTCATTAGGGCTTGTGTTAGGTTGACTAGTTGGTCATGAGACCTGGGTGTGTCTGAAAAGCTGATTTTTGAAAGTTTTACATTGAAATCAGTAAAAAATTGTGTCAAAATTACAGAACTACCAAAATTATTTGCATAACCTTATTGAATTTTCAATAAAAGTTCCCCCAGAGAGTTAAAAACTAGGGTCACGGTAGAAGTACTGTAACATAAAAAGACGTCCAAGCTTCAAAACCTTTTTCGTGCTGTTAATTTGCAAAATAAGCAAACTTTTATTGCTCAAAATTTCAAGTTGTTTCCTATTATTTAAAAGAAATTACAATAAAAAGTTTATATAAATACCAATTTTTTAAGTACTATAATTAAAAAGCCATATCTCTTGGCAAAATAAAGCTTTTTACTTCATTCTTTTTATAAATCGCTTGTAATAAACTATATTTTAATATTAATAAAAAACTATTAAAAATTCTTATCCCACGTTTGCGTTTTAACGTTTTTAGTAGTTCAAGTCTAATAGCTTAAAAAACTGTTGTTTCCGACACTTTTTCCTCATTTCCCACAAAATCCTCAATATCTAAACATAAAAAGCAAACAAAATACTTACGACGAAAAATTTCCTTCAGCTTTACATCAACTTGGCATTTTATACATGGCCCGATTTCAATGTCTGATCCCCTTCTGGCATTGAACCTCATATTTGAAATCTTGTCAATGCCTGGTATGTCATTTGGTGGTTCTTGAGGCTGAAGATACCGTCGGACTCGTTGACTACCTGATAACGTTGCTGGCACTATTAATTCACGTCGAATTTCAGGTGATAAAAACATGAGATCTCTAAAACTGGGTATTATCATTGGACGGCTATAACAACAATTTTAATATTAAGAGAAATGTTTTAAAATAAAATTACTTAGCATAAACTATTGTTAATTACTATTTTATTGGTTATTACAAGCTATATTCACTAATATTATTATAATAGTACTAACAAAAAAGTTTTTTTAATTAACGTTATGCCAAAATCATTTTCTTCTCAAGAATCATATAAGAACTCTTTCATTTTTTAAAATTCGAAAAATCTAAAATTTTTTTGACGAAATTTTTTTGCTTTTTCAACAGATTCTTGATCTGCCCATCGATATTTTTAATTCACGCATCAATTTACTCTATTTCACTGACAAATGACCAAGTTCAAGTTAATCGCTCGGAAATCCGACGATGTTGAAGATGTTTTGGACGTTTTGAACGAGCACAAACAGGTAATCTTTAAGTTTTATTATCTTAAATTTTCTTGAAAGGTTTGTAAGCTGTAGAAAGTTTATTTGAGTTTGTCTGATTACTTTTTATTGTTTTATGTGAGTTTAAGTAAGGCGAATATATTGAGTTAGACCTAACTTCACAAAGTTTTTTCAGACCCTCGACGATCTTCGTATAGCTGTGGAATACATGGAAGACGATGAGATTCTAAATCTAGAAGATGTTGAAGGAAACTCTTGTGCGTTTGTGCTTGACAACTTTGAGGGAGAAGTGTTTGAATCATTAAAAGAGAGAAATGCAAGGTATGTTGTCTAAAACAATATTATTTTCTTGGTTTTTAGAATCTGGTCGCCCCATGTGTTGTCCCAGTGCTTCAGTGTGTCTAAGCCCTTACCTAAAACACCGTTAATTGTACATTCGTTTGCTTTTGAAGGGACTTGTGTCAGTTTTTCTGGAATGACCAAGGAGGAGAAGGAAGAACTGGCTCGGAAGGTGGAGATGATGTGTGGAGCTGTGACTCCAAATTTTTATCAAACCAACGATTTGTTAATTGCTGAGACTTTAGACACAACAGCGCAAAAATACCTGGTAAAACATTCCTTTTATGGTTGATATTGTTTTAGGCAGCAATCATGTGGAAGATTCCGATTGTCCGGCCAGAAATCGTGGATCACATGTGGAAATGCGGTGCGAATGCAGAATCTTTGAAGAATGCCAAGTTTTTGAAAGAGTTTAACGTGCCAGTTTTTAAAGGATGCGTAGTATGTACTAGTGGTTTGTCTCCGCATGAAAGAACTCTTCTGGGACAGCTTGTTGAGGAAAACGGAGGCAAATACTCGGCTGCCATGGAGAAAAATGTATGTACTCACTTGGTACTAAATGCACCGTCTGGAGAGAAATACAAGTTTGCTAGTTCTTTTGGAGTTAAGGTAGGTATTTGGGGTAGATTGTTTGATTTTTAGTTATATTAACTATCGTATTGATGTTGTTGTTTTGAAGGGCTTAGTCTGGGGTTTAATGAAAATACTTTCAACAACTTTTTGACATTACATTGTTGAAAAAAGACATAATTTTATAATGAAGTATTAAACATAATATTATTTTGCTTTTTCTTTTTGTTATCACAATTTTTTGATATTAACTATGTTGGTAAAGATGGTATAGTTGTAGAGAGCGATTTTATCAGTAAAAATGGAACAATTAGGAATAGTATTTGAACTAGAATGTTTAAACAACGTTAAGTTTTATTTTTAGAATTAAAAAATTGAGATTTTTTTACTTTTATTTTAGTTATATTGTAGTAGATGTTGATGGCATTAAAATTGATTTTTAGGTTAAAATACGTCGAGTTAAGCTTCTAACATTTATCTTTAAAAAAGTTGAAAATTGATTACAAAAGTTACTTTTCAGCCAGTAACCCCATCATGGCTTCGACGTTGCATCGAGAATGGCATCAGGTACCATGAACGTAGATACCATCCTGATCCTGAGATTGCCAACAAGAAACGCTCTGTTCTGAAGGAGACCAGTAAAACCAACAAGGTTTGATTGTCATATTGTGTATAATGTTTGAACTGATTATTAACCTTGTCTTTATCACTTCTACCGGAAATAAAATATTGTCCTACTGTGGGAGTACTGTAGGTTATTGTGGAGGGCTTTTAGTCCATAGTTATTCAAGAAGAAAGTTTACTGATGTTTGTATTAAAATAAAATATTGTCATACTGTGGTAGTACTGTATGTTATTGTGGATGGCTTTTTAGTCCATAGTTATTCAAGAAGAAAGTTTACTGATGTTTGACAGCTACTATATTAGAAAGGTATATTTTATGTTATGTTCTTATTTCTATTATGGCAAATTGTAGTGTTATACCAATTATTAGGTTGTTCAAAAAATTTTGAGCCCCATCTCAAAACAAATGTTTGGGGTGAGGTTGATTTTTTTCATATTAAGGTACATTATGTTTATTTTTAATGTTTTATGGACTTTATGGAGTGTTAAAGACAGTAAAGTAGAGTAATAATAAGTAATTGAGATGATAAGGAAAAGAAGAGATTAGATTGGAATACCACCGGTTTTAAAATGAGATTTTTGGTTTGATAGAAGACACAACATGTGTAATATAACATGGGTAAGTAAAAAAAGAAAAGGGGTTTGGAAATTTTAAAGAATTTATGTTTCAAATGCTCAAAGATAGGACTATAGGGAAAAATTTAAAAAAAGGTATATCTGATACTGTAGGTCGACTAATATAAAGGTTGATCTACGGTTTTTGGGTTGTTGGTATCTCATATAGCTCTGTTTGGTATGTTCAGCTCGACTTTTCGACAACCATTTGATTGGGCACTTTGTACTGGTTCTAGAATAATTTTAGTTTACTATTGAAATGAAGTAAAATACGAGTTACATTCGGACATATATCTTAAAGAAGGTTTAGACTTATCTTATCCAACCTTAGCCTTCCCCTAGTTTAGCCCTAGCCCTACACTAGCCTAACGCCCGCTTTGTCCTAGCCATACTCTATCCCTAACCTATTCTAGCCCTAATTTATCCCTATTATAGCCCCAGCCCTAGTTTTAGGGCAACTCTGATTCTACACTAGCATAGCCCTTCCCTTAGCCCTACTCTAGTCTTACCTTACTCAGCGATTCACTGGCCCTAGCCTTTGTTCTCTATAATTGCCTAGCCGTAAGCTACTCTTTTTTAGACCATACCCGTCCCCAACCCTAGATTAACTCAACTCTATTCTTACTACTCTCTACATTAAAAGTAATAAAATAACCCGCCCACAGATAGTTACGATATCCAGCCTTACCTGTATAAAATTGAGTAGCCCTAACTGCATTTGAATCAGATTCGGATTTGGCTGAAACATTGGCATGATTTTCGGAAATTGGAAATTGGGCAGGGAATCTCGACGGAACAAAGGAAGTCGAGAGTGCAAAGTGGAGCCGGAATGAAGCTTCGGGTTGGGATTGGCAGAGTGGCGGTTCCTGAAAATTTATCGACCGGAAATTACTTGTTTTACAGATACTGTCAGGTTTATAAGGGTTTTGAGGTTTTTTGGATATTGGGTGAGGTAGAGTAGAGTAGGGTAGGGGTATTGTAGGGTATAGTAGGGCAGGGTAAAATTAAGGTAATGTTAAAGGAATCGGATAAGGTAGGACAGGTTAAAGGTAGTTGAGTGCTACGGTATTTTTCATTGGGGGAAGGGTATGGTAGAATAAGGTTGAGTAAAGAAGGGATGATTGAGGTATGATAGAGTAGGGAAGAGAAGGATAAAGTACGATAGGGTAGGTAAGGGTAGAGCATGATAGAGTAGGGTAGAATATGGGTAAGGCAGATTTAGGTAAAGGTAGGGCAGGGCATGGGGGCAGCGTAGAGTAGGGTAGGGTAGAGTAGAGTAGGGTGTGGTACGGTAGGGTAAAGTAGGGTAGAGCAGGGTAGAGTACAGTAAAGTAACATACCTGCTCCTCCTGGACGAAAACATCATTTCGCATCCGATTACCGTACACTTATGCATCTCCCTCAAATGGACGGCACTGTTATGAATCTTCAAAGCCCCTTTGTCACAGAACGTCTTCAAACACTTGGCACATTGGACGCGTCGTTTCGTGGAACGGGGCGATGAAGACGATGTCTGAAACGGCACAAAATTTGTGTTTTTGGACCGAAATTTTGAAATTTAAAAAAAAATTTTTTTAATTTTTGGTATTTTAGGTATAAAAGTCAAAGAGGCATGGCTAGGGTTATGGTTAGGCCTAGGGCTGGAACGAGAGTTAAAGCTATAGCAGTTCTACACTAATAAAACAACTTTTAAAAAATTTGAGGCAAAAAGAATGGCGCGCTTTTTAAATTATCACTGTGACAAAACCAATGGTATTTTAGGTATAAAATTTTCAAAAATAGTCTTGATCTTACCTGTTTCTTAGATTCAGAACAAGCTGTAACAGCTGTATCGACCGGTATGTTGCTTGCAGATGGCTGGCTTTGAGTTATTTGTTGATTGAAAAACTTTTGCATCAATTCCATACTTGGGCCTTGCTGAAAGTACAGTAATATGGAAGTTATTGTGGTAAACTTGTTAGTTTTACAGTAATTTGTTATTTACTGCGGTAAAGTTGAGGGTATTACAGTAATATGGAAGTTACTGCAGTATACTTGTAGGTAGTATAGCAAGACTTCGAATAGAAGTAGAGTAACGTGATGCAAAAGTAGTGGCGCGTCAATATAAAAATATCAGAAGAAATTGGTAAAAGTTGAGCTACAGTAAAATTATGATAGGGTTATGGTAAAACATGGTAAGGTAGGGCAAGGGTGGCATGTCTAGAATATGAGCATGACTATGGGCATTGTCATGAGCATGGGTAGGACGTGGGTAAAACATAGGTAAAGCGTTGGTATGCGCATAGGTAGGGCAAGGACATGGGCAGGGCATGAATATGATGGCATGGGCAAGGCACGAACATCGATTAGGGCATGGGCTAGATCATGGGTAAAGCATGGGCTAGGATTAGGGCAAGGTTAGGGCTGAGGCTAAGGTTAGGCTGGGCTACGGAATTTTAATTTGTAATATTTTACATTGCCAGTCAGCCTACCTCATCACTACTCTCTTGACTAACCAAATAGTCAACGGTGAAGCAGCCCTTCTTTTCCATGAAGCCGTTACCGTAGGACGAGGCCGACGAGTGGAGACCGGATGGCTTTGGGTCGCGTCGAATGCACTCTGCCCTCGGGGCATGAGGGCCTTTTAGGGGGTTGACGTGTCCACAGTGGCCCGAGGACCCAGAAACTCGCGAAATGGCGCACAGTCAAAGCGGGCGGAGCCTATATCGTGACTGTGCCGCTGCTTCAAGTTGACATTGCACCGTGCAACCGGGTTTTGGTTATTGTGCCATAGCTTGTAAGAGGTAGTTGAAAAATGAAAAATAACTTGATCTCACGTTTTTGGGGTTGAGGTAAAGGTTTTTTAGTTAAAAAATCATAATTAAAACATAAGGTCTAGTATAAAATGGCAAAAATCCAAAATATATGCTGCACCGTGCAACAAGATTTTTCTTTTTTTGAATTATCTTATTAAAGGTAGTTTGAAAATGAAAAAGATTTTTATGATACGTTTTTGGGACTAGTGTGAATCTTTATAGATACAAAGTTTAAAATTTTGGTAAAAACTTTAAAATAAAATGGCAAAAAGTTAATAAAAAATAAAAAACGGTTTTTAAAATATTTTTTAATGACAAAAAAATTATTTTGTGATTTAAATTTAACTTTGCTTTTAGATGTTTTGGCAAAAATAAAAAAAAACAAAAAATTGTTGCACCGTGCAATGAAAAATATTCATTGTGCTATATTTTAAAAACTATAATTAATATAGGGCAAAAATTAGTATTTATTAGAAGGGTTGATCAGTCAAAGTTTATTTTTTAGAGTTCAGTCTGGGTTTGGCTATTCAGTCTGGATTAAAATAAAAAATTTAAAAATTTGTCTGCACTGTGCAAAAATTTTGTCAAATTCTGACGTAAATGCGGAGCGAAAACCGTTGTGACTTCCTGAGGGCATTTATGGCCAATCAACGAGTCGCGTGTCCAGACCGTATATTGGGTGGGTAATGAGGCGGCAAATTAGCTATTATACCCGCTTGGGGAAGGGGATATTTTCTTTACGACCAATATTAGGAACACTTCCAAGATGTGGTAGCTTTTCGTGACAATAAAGTTAAAAAAAAATTTTTAATTTTTATAAAAAACAGTGTGTTTGGTAGTTCAAGTAGCTTTGTGTTCCTTTCAAAGCAAATTTTTGGGGTTGGCGCAGAATTATTTGAACAAAATAATATAGGCAAAAATTGATTTTATAAAGCTTTAAAAGCTTACTGTAGCAAAACTAACTAAAGATTATGAAATTTTGTCATATGACATTTATTGACATTGGAAACATTGGAGTGTTTTGAAAATATAATTTTTTTGATTAGCTTACTGCAACATGACTTATTTGGTTTTTTGTTTTTCCTTCCAAGCGTACTCTCTCTATTTTTTTTATTTAAAAAAAATTTAACTTTTAGTTAACGTTCCCCCACGTCAAAATTTTGTAAAAATAATAGCAACCCTTAAAACTATTTTAAAAAAACGATAAAACGCCCTTTCCTTTTTTGGTATTTTGTTTCTTTTTACTCAGCATTCTTCCCTAACTCAACAAGTCTTTAAAATCACCCCTTAGATCTAATTTTTTTTCTAAAAACACACCTCAAAATGAAAAAATCTTTGAAACCATCTTCCCCGGCCAAATCAAAAAAACCTTGAAAACACCCCCTAAATTCATTTTTTTCTAACACTACTCATTAAAATTAAAAACCTTGAACAACAGCCACTAAAACACATTTTTTGGAAATCACCCCCTAGATCCAGTTTTTTAACACCACCCTCTAAACGTAAAAAACCTCACAATCAGCCTCTAAAACCATTTTTTTTGGAAATCACTCCCTAGATCTAATTTTTTCTATGACACCCCCAAAATCTAAAAGCTCTAAAAACCACCCCCTAAATAATTTTTTTTTTCTAAAACTACCCCTAGACTGTAACAGCCTCCAAAACCACCCCTTAAATCTAATTTCTCTTCTAAAAACACCCCCAATCTGTAAAAATCCCCAAGACCACCCCCTAAATCCACACTGTCCCCAAGCTTCAAAACAGGCGGCGAAAATGCAAATTTTGTGGTTTCGGTCGGGTGTTCATTTACTTTTTCGGTCGTTTTTTATAATTCGAACAAGCCCTCGGCCAGTCGTTTTTTATGAATTCGAATTGCCATTTAGAGGTGGGCATTAAATCGAAGCCGGCTTCTTCTTCCCGGCGAATGACAAATGACATCTCAACGCATCGACATTTCCTTTTCGTCACATTTCGAGAGGCTACATCCATTTGTTTTGCGAGGATTCTGAATGGGGGCCACGGTGTGACAGTAATCGGAGGCGGCAGATGTGACAGTGTTTGTGGACTGATATGGGTGGTGTTGATAAGATGGGGGGGGGGGGGTGTTATTGATAAATTTTACAAATAGTTTTAAAAATTATATACTAATGTACGGGCAAGGTAAGGCAGGACAGGACCAAGCCGAGAAAGGTAAGGAAGGGTAGGGTAGGAGAGGGTTGGAAAAAGTAGGATAAGGTACGGAACGATAGGGTGCGGTAGGGTATTGCAAAGCTGAGTAAGATAGGGCAGGGCAAAATAAGTTAAAGTAGGGCAGGATAGACTATAGTAGAGGGCAGGGTGGATCAGGATAGAGCAGAGCAGGGCAGGGTACAGTAGGGAACAAGGCAAGGCAAGGCAAGGCAAGGCAAGGCAAGGCAAGGCAAGGCAAGGCAAAGCAAGGCAAGGCAAGGCAAGGCAAGGCAAGGCAAGGCAAGGCAAGGCAAGGCAAGGCAAGGCAAGGCAAGGCAAGGCAATGTAGAGTAAGGTAGGATAGGATACGATAGGAAAGAGCAGGTGAATAGAAACTCAAAATTTTTTGATGACACTATTATTTTCAAGATTCTAATTTACTTTACACTGTAAACAAAGTTGTTGCACTCGCGAACCGTGCAATTTGTCATCGCGCGCTCACTGCCAGCCGGCTGTTGCGCGAGCGGCAAGAGTGCGAATGTGTGAAGCCATAAATTTAATGTGAAGCGATGACCCGAAAGTCGTAGGCCCATTGGGAGTCGAGGCGAATAGACCCCCAAATCCGCCAATTTCAAGATGGGCACAATGAATGACTCTCGACTGTCTTTGGGGGATTGCGACAACAATAAGAAGATGGCCCGAGGAGACGGTAGAACGTTGTGGTGGTGACAGTTTTGAACATAGGACTGAGGTAGGGCACAGGGAAGCCTGGGGTAGGCTAAGGCTATGGTATTTTTAGACTAAAACGAAGGGGAATGCTGGGTTAGATTGAGCTGGGCTAGATTAGGCTGGGTGGGCCGGGCAGGACTGAGCTGGGTTAGATTGAGCCGAGTTAGGCAAGGCTGAGAAAGACTGGGCTAGACTGGGTTAGATTGAACTGGGCTAGTCTAGATTTGGCTCGGCTTGCATTAGCCTAAGCTGAGCGAGGCTGGCCTAAGGTTGGGATAAGGCTAGGATTAAAGCTAAGGCAAGACTAGGGCTGAAGCTAGGGCTCCTATAAGCTGAATAAAATGGTCCACTAGTCATACAACATGGCATAATCATCTTGACATTAGTCCAATCTTAATTTTTCTTAGCCTACGCCCAAAATGACTTGAATTATTTGGCCTATGGCGATTATGACGCAAATTTACATAATTATTCATCACCAAATTTTCGCGCATTCCCAACTGTCAATACGAGTTATTGACTGGAAATGACGACTATATTGACATAGATAAAAGAATAGTACTAAATGGTATCTTACATCCCCCCGCGACCCGATGATTTACTTTTTTCGTCTTTACCCTACCCAACCTTACACTACCCTGCCCTTATCTACTTTACCTTACCCTACGTAAGTAGGCCTACCCTAAATCATTCACCACACCCAACTTCAAAAATATAAAAAACTGCAAAAACTTTTTTTCCACCACACATTATTACAGTACAATCAACAGGATTTATTGTGAAATATGTTAAACATGATATAAGGCACAAAATGAATATATCTTGATATACGAAATGAGCAAAATGGACAATATGATAATGGGAATACGACCAGAAATGGCTGAATAAAGACTAAATAGTACTAATGGTGCTTTTACAGCACTTAAAATGAAAATTTTTAAAAAATTAAAAATTTCAAAATGTGACATGACTTTTTAGATGGTACTAACAAGATAAAACAAGGTAAATACATGAATTGAAAAAATTTAAATTTAAAGCTAAAATACGATATCATTAACAATGTTAAGTTTAAAGCAATATAAATCAGTTTAAAGCGAGATTTTAAGGAATATAGTGCAATATACTGTAGTAAAGAGTACTGTAACTTTTCAAAATTCTTAGTTTTTTAAGGACAAATGCAAAAACTTTCTTTACATATCCATGAATCAAAAAAAATTATGATATATCACTAAAAATGGCAAAAAAAACAACAAAAAAGGCTTTTTCGTCGTATAACTTGTCACCCGCAGGTTGCAGCCGCCATTTTTTCATTTTTTAGGTATAGATGAAAAAAATTTTAATTTGTAGAAGAAAAAGGTAAAAACTTTGTTTTCAGAAAATAAAAATAACAGTTTAAATTTTAAAACCAAAAAAAATTGAATTTACAGCATCCTTCACCTTACGTTATAGTAGATTGAATATAACCAAAAATTTCTATTCTTATCTTATGTTCGCTCACATCAGCTACAATAATAGGCCTATATTAACTTTAACATCCATAAATCATTGTATAATATCATAAAACGACAAAAAAACCAATAAAGGTTGTTAGAACTTCAATGTTAATATAGGTACATTACTGTAGCTTGTTACAAAAGTTAAGTGAATTTGAAGTGAACGAACAAAAGAAGAAGAATATGACATTTCAGATGTTGACAAAATTAAAATTTGATGTTCAGTTGATTAAAACTGAAGTATTTAAGGTCAAAAACTGTCGGACCTTCTCCAATTGTTTTGACATTTCGTCCACATTCAATTGGGTACTGGAAATAGCAAGAATTAAGCTTTTTTACAATTTTTTTAAAAATTTTTAAAAAAATTTAATCATTTTTTTTAAATTTTAAACTTTCAAAACTCACTTTGAAGTGATCGAATCATCGCAAACACTTGAACTTGTTGATGAGTTAGACTTGTTGGGAGATTCTCGATGAATGTCGTCCATTGGTGAAGTCAGACGAGAGAATAGTGACATTACATTTGGATTAGCAGTAGGCTGAAAATTCGATTTTAAAATCTTAAAACTATAAAAACCCTACTCTAACCTATCCTATCCTAGCCTACCCTACTCTACCCTACATTACTCTACCCCTTAAAATAAAAAAAATTAATCTTACCCTGCTCTGCCGTACCCTACCCCAACCTATAATACCCCCAGCCTACCCTACCCAACCCTACCACGCCATATTCTATCCTATCCTCCTACATCATCCTACCTTACCCATGTAGACATACCTTTGCTCACGTTAAGTCAGATCTGAGAAAAGCCTATCTTACCCTCGCTACATCTTCTCTATATACCCAAATTGACCAACCCAAAGAAAGCTATGTTTATATAAAATCTACCACACCCTTATGTTGGCTTTACTTTCAAATTTACCCTGCCTTTATATTTAATTTTTTTCTAGAATTTACCCTACCCTTCTACCATAAATTACACTGACATGCCCACTGTATCATGACCTATCTTATCCTACCTTACCTTACCCAAGTTTACCCTACCCCACTATACCTTACCTTACTTTACCTGACCCTGTCCTACCCTACCCTACTTTATTCGACCCTGTCCTAACCTAACCCAACCTATCCTACTTTATCATTCTCTGCCCTATCCTACCCTAATTTACCTTACGTTACCCTACTCTACTTATCCTACCCTGCCCAAATGACCAAAACCAAAAAAATCAAAATTGGAAACCCCCTACCATAAAAGCAGGTACAGTGCACTTGAGAGTCTGTTCCACACTCGAACTGCCACTTCTTTTCATAGTCAGTGCTGTGTGTAGATTTGGGTTTCCAGAATGGCGGTTTCGGCTCCTCCTTGATGAGAATACCCTGCCACATCCCTCCACTGTGCAGGTATGGGTCTCTTTCAAGTGTACCGCCGAATTGTGGATCTTTAATGCACCTTTGTCACAAAAGCTCCGACCACAGGTATGGCATTGGACTCGGCGTTTGGTCGATTTGAAGATACGGGACTGAAACTTTAATTTAAATTTTTAAAATTAAAATGATTTATTTCAAATTGTAAAGTAAACATAAAACCTTAGGCACAAAACCTAAGCCTAAGCCAAAAAAATCAAAAACCACTCAAGCCTAGGCCCTTCAAAACAAAACAAGAAGCCCTGAGGCCTTCTGCCCAACTATAACTCACCTTTTCGGACCTTTCACTGACCTCGAGAGGACTGAATGCCGGAGGGAAAGTGGACGAGGTCCTGCTGGATGAGGGACCTTCTTGAGTGGCGCCTGTTGTTTCCACTAAAACGACTTTTTTTTTATTTTCCAGCTCAACAGGTCGCTGATCTCCTCTTTTTTTCCGGATCAATCAAATATTGAAACAAATCCACGAAAAAGAGAGCGCCTCAGGCGTTTTAATGCACAAGAAAAGAAAAAAACTGTACCGAAAGTAAAAATTTTGAATTTTTTAAAAACATAAAGGGTACCAAGAGTACCAAAAATAAAAATTTGGAATTTTTAACGTAAAGTGTACTAAGTGTACCAAAAATACCAATTCAATAAAAACGCGTTATTCAATTAAAAGATACTCCTGATGGTACTATTTAACCAATTTAAACAAAAAAAAGCTCATATTTAAACAACTAGTACCATTTTAAAAATCTGAATCCAAAAAGTGTACCAACAGTACCTATTTCAATAAAAAACCATTTTTCATGTAAAACCTTTTCTTAATAGTACCATTGCCACTTTTCTCTTCAAAAAAGTACTTTTTGTATTATTAGTACCAATTTATACTTCGAAATCCAAAAAAAATGTAGCAAGACCAACTTCCGGTAACAAAAGTTTTTTTTTTCAGTAAAATCTCTACCTTTTATGGTACTATTAACAGCTTTTTATCCAAAAAAGCTATTTCGTGCCTCAAAATAGTACCATTAGTACCATATTCAACCTCAAAACCTCAAAAAATGTACCAACAGTACCATTTAAACATTTTTTATACCAAAAACAAGCATTTTTGAACCAAAAACAAAACTTACAATGATCCAAAACAGCACTAGTACTCGCGACAGGTAAAAGCTGCTGTGAGTTGTTGCATACGTTGCCGGTGTTGCCCATCAACGACTCCAACAAAGAGTTGCGCAGCTTGTCGGCCGTTGAGGCCAAATCAGGAAACAAAGAGCCGATCACGTGAAACAATGTCAGTTCACTCTTAATTCCAACACATTTAAACGTCGGGCTGTCGGATACCTGCAAAATCAAGGTTATAGAGACGATTTTTATATTGAAAAACCAAAAATTGCAAAAATCAGGTTTTCGTGGCGGGACCCAAATAGAGTATACTGTTAAGTAAAAATACTTGTTTTTTTAAAATAAAAAAAAATCTTGCTTAAAATAACATTTGTCTAAATCAATATTGTTTACTGCTTTTTTCGTCAAAAATCTTACAATTTGCTATACTTTTACATTTCAAAGTTTGGAATCACTAATAAAATAAAAAATTTTGACCTCAAAATCAATACCAAGTATAACATACCAAATAACCTCGCTGCAAATCGTCCAAACTCCAACCACTCTTACTCAAAACTCGGATCACATCCTCCAGATTGAAATACTCAACAATCTGATCAACCAGAATCTTCATTCGACTTGGAATCAGCTCGTTTCCCACTAACAAAGCTCCGAAGATCATTTCCAAATATTGAATCTTGTGGCTTTTGGCCAATTCCTGGTTTTCGCCACAATTTTCGTTGGATACTGATGCAAATATTGATGAAGCTGGCTCCGGTTTCGATGTGAACGATGGTATTGCATTGAAATTCACGGGGAGAAAGGAAATGTTCGACATCTGAAAGAAATAGCGACGTTATCCATGATAAAATTGTCGAAAATTGATGAAACTCGAAAGATAATATAGATAGATACAAAAATTTAAATTTTAAATATAAAATAATAGCCTATTTTTATAATATCAATACAAAAAGTGTAAAACGTTAGCTAAAAAATCAAAAATTTTAATAAACATAAAGTTGCAACCTGCGCCCGAAAATGTTGCAGCCTGCGCAACGAAAAGCTAGAGTAAGATTAACAATAGTTTAGATAGGGTATAGGTAGAAAGATGAATGTAAAGGTAAAGCAGAATAAAGTAGGATAGGGTAGGGTAAGGTAGGGTAGGTTAGTATAGGATATAGGATAGCAGGGTAGAGTAAGGCAGCAAGTACGGAAAGTAAGACAGTGTAGAGTAAGGTAGGGTATGATAGGGTACGGTAGGATAGGGTAAGGCAGAATACAGTTTTTATTCCCCCCCCCCTCAAAGTTTCCAAATTTCAAAAATAACCTCAACTTCCACTACCGTAACCTCTTAAGTGACCCTGCGACCAGTCCCATTTCACCCTGGAAACAGCGAGATTGTGACCAAAACAACTGACCAGTTTAAAGTCAAACACAAAGAAGAAGGTGGACTAATAGATAGTTTACAGTAAAGAACGTTAGGAACGTTATAAATCGGGGTTTGGCGAGTAATCACGATCAAATGTGAGGACATCGGTAGTGGTTCGAAGTGTAATATTATTATATTTGTAGAAAATTTTTAAAAAATACTACAAATTTAAAAAAATTACCCATCCCTCTAAAAAAGAGAAAAAACCAGTTCCCCGTCAAAAATTACCCTACCCTCCCCCAAACCTCTTAAAACACATTTTTTGTAAGACTGGAGCAGTGGCCGGACCCCTGTCGACACCAAAATTTTTTTTGCTTCGAGCTGGCTCAAACTTGCACCAATGTGTACTAAGGTACTCATAAACACTTTAAACTCAAAATTTTTTTTTCAATGTTACAGTAGTCAGGTATACTGTAACTGGCCTATGATTTCTATATCTCAAGAACTAATGGTGCTAGGAACGTGAACTTTTTTTTAAATGTAGGGCATGCAATATGATGTTACTTTGTTGTTTACACCAAGTTTCTAGGTAGTGTGCAAATATTTTTAAAAATTAAATTTTTGATGACAATTACAGTAATTTAAAAATATTTCAAAATAAAAGCACTCGTTACGCCCTGTTTTATTTAAGATTATTAAACTACGTTTTCTTGCGGTTCGAACGCACCTACAAACATCGAAAAAAACTGTGTATACGGGGTGCAAAAAGTGCATTTGAAGTTTGCACACCCAAAAAAAAATTTTTTTAAATCTCAGTTTTATAAAAAACTTTTTAATTACAAAGTTTTTCAGCATGGCAAAAAACATAAGTATGCAAATTTGCAGACTTGTAAGTGCATTAGGAAAGCCACAGTAAAATTTTAAATTTTTGGACAGTATGCTGCCGTAATTGTGTAATCGACCGTAAACATTCAAAATTAGCAGCTTTAGAGATGACCTTATAACCTATCAATACCTACGTTTCATGTAGATTATAAATATGCTAAAAATGACTATAAAGACCCGTGTTAAATTTTTAGATATTTGCACTTTTATAATCGACCGGTCAGATTACGGTAGGTTACGGTACTTTTAGAAAAAAATTTTTTAATTACAAAGTTTAATGTCGAATAACATTACTAGCAAACTAACAAGGTTTTTAAACATAACTACGCGTTAACTAACACGTTATTAAGTACATAAAAAATTTTTGAAAAATTTTTTTTGGGTGTGCAAACTTCAAATGCACTTTTGCGCCCCGTATACACAGTTTTTTTCGATGTTTGTAGGTGCATTCGAACCGCAAGAAAACGTAGTTTAACAATCTTAAATAAAACAGGGCGTAACGAATGCTTTTATTTCGAAATATTTTTAAATTACTGTAATTGTCATCAAAAATTTAATTTTTAAAAATATTTGCACACTACCTAGAAACTTGGTGTAAACAACAAAGTAACATCATATTGCATGCCCTACATTTAAAAAAAAGTTCACATTCCTAGCACCAGTAGTTCTAGAGATATAGAAATCATAGGCCCGTTACAGTATACCTGACTACTGTAACTTTGAAAAAAAAATTTGAGTTTAAAGTGTTTATGAGTACCTTAGTACACATTGGTGCAAGTTTGAGTCAGATCGAAGTAAAAAAAATTTTTGGTGTCGACAGGGGGCTCGACCCTTACAAAAATTGTGTTTTAAAAAATTTAAAAATTACTCTACTCTCCCACTACTTTTCAGAAAAATGCAAATTTACCCCTCCCTCCCCCAAATTTCAAAAAAAAATAAAAATTGCCCTACCCTCTCGCAAAGCGCCAAGAAATTAAAAAAGTATCCCGCTCTTCCCTTACCTTTCAAAAAACAAAAAGTTTTGTCTTACCATGCCCACCCTTGTCTAAAAAACGAAAAAAAAGTTAAAGTAAACCTTGTCAAATCGTACTTTTGGCTTTCCTAATCAGATGTTATACTCAAAAACAACAAATCAATCGGACCAAAAGTTTGCAGAAACTTTTACCTTGAGCCATCTGTTCCGCCGGAAGGTGTTTGTCACGATAGGTGTGGTTATTATACTATTGTTTTTTTTTATTTTAGAATGTAGCAAGATATACGTACAATTAGGAAAGAATATATCTAATGTTAAGTTACTGTATAAGTACGGTAAAGATACAGTAAGACGAGACAAAGCCCAGGGTAAAAGTGTAGAGTAGGGTAAGACAAGGTACGGTTGGGTAGGGCGAAGCAAGATTTTCTAAGACAAGATATGGTAGCCTCGGGACGGTAATGTAATGTAAGGTAGGTTAGGGTAGGGTAGGGTAGGGTATGGTAGGGTAGGGTATGGTAGGGTAGGGTAGAGTAGGGTAGGGTAGGGTAGGGTAGGGTAGGGTAGGGTAGGGTAGGGTAGGGTAGGGTAGGGTAGGGTAGGGTAGGGTAGGGTAGGGTAGGGTAAGATAGGGTAGGGTAGGGTAGGGGTAGGGTAAGGTAGGGTAGAGTAGGGTAGAGTAGGGTAGGGTAGGGTAGGGTAGGGTAGGGTAGGGTAGGGTAGGGTAGGGTAGGGTAGGGTAGGGTAGGGTAGGGTAGGGTAGGGTAGGGTAGGGTAGGGTAGGATAGGGTAGGGTAGGGTAGGGTAGGGTAGGGTAAGGTAGGGTAGAGTAGGGTAGAGTAGGGTAGGGTAGGGTAGGGTAGGGTAGGGTAGGGTAGGGTAGGGTAAAATGTACCCTTGCTACCTACTACCCCTCATTGCTAAACAAATTTTAAAAAACATCCCTCCCCTTTCCATATTGTCCCCTACTAATCGCTAGTACCCACAGATCCACCCCTACCACCAAATTTCCTGAATGTTCGTTTTTTCGATATTTTTTGTTCAACTTCCACCTGCCACATCCCATTTCCCGGTCCTAAATGTCATTCTCCCGCACTCTCTTTTGTCGCATCAAACAGCCGTCCCCACCCCAAAACTTTCTTTATTACGCCGAAACAATCGCGGCCCGTTTTTTGGCCATAATGTCCCAGAGTGATCGATGGCACACTGTAGAAAAAAGTTTTTTTTTCATTTTTGCCGCACCCTACCCCACCCTAATACGCCCTACCTTACCTACCTTACCCTAACCTACCGTACCCTACCCTACCCTACCCTACCCTACCCTACCCTACCCTACCCTACCCTACCCTACCCTTCCCTACCCTACCCTACCCTACCCTACCCTGCCCTACCCTACCCTACCCTACTTTCGAACTACCCCGCTCTAACTTACCCTACCTAACCCTAATTTTCCATGCCTAACCCTATATCATGTCTTACAAAACTCTATCCTGCCCCACACAGCGCCACCTTCCCTACCAAACATTCCCTTGCTCTACCCGATCTTACGTGCCCTACCCCACACTATCCTGCCTTTGACAATCCTAAAATGCCCTATCCAACCCTACCTTGCTTTAGCCAACTTTACCTTGCCCTACCCGATCCTATATTGCTTTACCCAACCCTACATTGCCCTAGCCAACCCTACTTTGCCTTACCCAACCCTACCTTGCTACCTTGCCCTAGATAAGTTTACCTTGCCCTATTCTTACTTCCAAAAAAACACACCTTCCGTATCTTTTATTACCCCTCCATAGCCCTGTCCCAACTCATTCACGTTTTGTCATCCCCCTTTATGCCCTATCCATCCGGATCTCTCCACCAGGTCCAACACCATTATCGCTTCCAATCGGATCCATCATGAGTAATATAATGTCACATGATGATTCGCGTCAAAGTTGTTTTGATTCCCACCAGAACGTCCCGACGCCCCCCCCTCCCCCCGTAGGACATTGGCTCTCTTTTGTTTCAAAATTTCTGGTGGCACCCAAAAAAGTGCGACCGACAGTTGGTCGGGTCGAATGGGGCGGGGTGATGCGGGCGGGTTATATTTAGGTACGTTGTGCGTGCGCCCAACGTGGCCTAATCAATTGTTTTGAAACAGTTGATTTGCGGAAAAAAAGATAATTATGGAAGTAAAAATTAAGATTGTGGGTACGGAAAGGGAGGGGGGGGGGAGGAGGGAGAAATGGCCGTGAAAAGAATCCCGCTAGGTCTAGCTCATGAGCCGGGCCGAAAAACTGGGCGTCTTGGCTGTTTTACCGGTCTAGTTGCGGTGGAACTAAAAAAGTTCCTTTGGCAGGATGCGGCCGATGTTGAAGCATTTTCTGCAGGCTGCGCATTAAAAATTTCGTTTGATTTTTTGGCTAGGATTAGAACTAGCTCTAAAGCTAGTGGTAAAGGTAGACTTAAAGCAAAGGCTAGCATTATGTGTAGCAGGCTGCGGCCGATATTGAAGCAAGTTCTGCAGGCTATGCATTAAAAATTGCAGCTAGGGATACCGGTAAGGCTAAGGCTAGAGCGAAGGCTAAAACTAGGGCTAAAGGTAGGCTCTGGCCCAGGGCTCTAGACTAGG